ATGTATATAAAATTCATATTATAAAAGTATTATAATTTTACTTTTATAATAAAAAATTGTTTTTTTATTTTTTATTTCAGAGGTTATCAAATTAATTATTTATTTAAAAAATATAAATTATCATTTAAATTTACTACTTTATAATTTAAGACAAAAAAAATTAATATTCTGTTCTGTGAATTATTTTAAAAATAATTTTCCCAAACGGAAGAAAAAACAAATTAGGTTGCTAAAAGTAGCTCGAAAGGTCTTTCGATGCTTCCCATGAGTTTCTACTTTTTTTTTTTTTTTTTTTTTATCTATCTATTTATTATTTTTGTTTGTTTGCAAAACATAATTGAAGATGGAGGAGAACGAAACTCTGCAATTTAGAAAAAAAAGGAATGAAGGAAGTAGAAGGTGGATTATTACAGAGTTTATGATCCATGCGTATGCTTGAGTGAATGGAGTAATTTGAAATTCTATTTTCTTGAAATGTATAGTTTGCTCTGAGTGTTTCCTACATTGATTCTTTAATTCACAATATTATTATTCCTCTATATTACAACTTTTCTGTTGTAAACTAAATTTTTTTTTTTTTAGTTTAGTTTTACGACTGATAAATACACGAGAAACAGAAATTATATTGCATATATAATTGAAACTTTTTGAAGCGAACGAGAAAATGGAAAAAATTGATTATTTTTTTTTAAATTAAGTGATTTTAGAATTTGATTTTAGAATAAAAAATATGAATTTTTCCAAGAAGTTGAATAAAAAAAATTTGATAAACTGAAGATTAATCGGTGGGAATATCGAATTTCAAATCGGCAAACAAACAAGGAGTTGCATTCCACGAATTTTCGATTTGGATGCACCATTGACCTAGGATCAATGGCCGCATTGTCAAATAAACTTAGGTTGAATGTCGGCCAATTAATGTCGTAATTGTTTTTTTTACGTTCCTTTAATCACACAATAGAAAAATTCTTCGTGTAAATTAAAGTAATTATCCCAAAAAAAATTTCATTCACAAAAAGTTGTATTTTGAATAAATTTTTTAACCAGATAAAATTTAAATAATTAATTTTATTCAAAATTTATATTGTTTTTTTTTTTTTTTTTTTTTTTTGAAAATGAAGATTTAAATCTGGGATTTAAATTTTTTACATTTCAATGTATAAATAAATGAGATTGTAATTAATATAGGGAAATAAATATTTTTTTTATTTCCTCCCCACAAATGATATGGAGTAGGTGAAAATTTGATTAAAAGATTAATTAAAGATTGAGTTTAAAAGGCGCCAAAGTAAGAAATTACAATGGCATACTTATTCTTTTAACCGGGTTCTTCGCACTTTCGCGAATTCTGAGTTGTCATGCAATATTCGTTTTTCACAGGCTCGTAAGCACGTGATCAATTCTGTTTTACGAGAACTTTGTATAGTAACGAAATTAAATTTGAAACATAATGAGCATTATTTGTAAAAGAAAGATTTAATTTACGCTCTTTTTTAAAAAAAAAAGGATAAATTTTGAATTTAAATTAAAAAAATATTTGCAGGACTCGAATCGACTTTAAGGCACGAAAAAAGTCGTTTTAATCGATTTATATTCAAAAAAAAAAGTTGATTTTTTTTTATTTTAACAAAATTTAATTGGTTAATGAATAATTTACTTTATAAATAACTAATGTTAGATATTTCATTTTATTAATTTTGTAATGAAAATAATTCTATAAAAATATTATCAAGAAAATTTTATTTCAAATATTTTCAGAATCGAACTAATTGTAAGACAAAATTTTCAAAATTTTATTTAAGTAGGACAAATTTCTAAAAAAAAAATTCTTAAAATTCCATTTTTATAATCAGCCAAAAGTTCTGAACGTCCATATGAACAAAATATTTTTTTCACATTTATAAATTATATTTATTTATTTAATGATTATGTATTAAAAATTATAATGTCAATGTTAAATAAAACAGTAAATTAAACAAATATTAAATTAATAATTTCTTTTTAGATCTTTAAAACAAAATTTTTTTGTAATAAAATTCGTACTTAAAGAAGTTGCAAAAAAAATTTCGTTCATTAGAACATTCAAAATTTTTGGCTCATTTTTTATTTTTTCAAGACTAATTTAAGCAAATTAATTCGAAATTAAAAATTTTGTCCTAGTATTTAGTTTTGATGATAAAAAAAATTTCAAGCAATACTTAATCAAGTTTTACAGATTTTTAAATAAAAATTTGTTTTAAATAATAATTTTGGAACAATTAAAGTTGAAATTTTTAAAAATAATTGAATTTCAAAAGAATTTTGTTAATTTTCAGACAATATAATTAAATTTTACAGAACTAAAAATAATTTATCAAATAATTTTAGATAACATTTTTGTAAAAGTAATTGAATTTTCAATGCGATTTATAATTTTGATTTTTGAAATTAATTTTACTTCAAGTTATTTTTAATTACAAATTTTTTTGATGATATTACTAAAAAAATTTATTAGAAATTTGCAGACAAAAATACAATAATTTGAAAACTTTTTAAGCGAAAAAACGTATGAGCCAAAAGTTTTGAACGTTCAAGTGAACGAAATTTTTTTTTTTTTGCAATTTCTTTACGTACGAATTTTATTACAAAATATTGTTTTAAATATCTAAAAAAAATTTATTAATTTAATAATTTAATTTACTGTTTTATTTTACATTTGCCATCTTAATTTTTAATAATTTATAGGATATTGAAAAAAAAAAAATATTTCGTTCCATTTGAACGTTCAGAATTTTTTGCTAATAAAAATGGTTTCAGATAGTTGAATTTTCGAAGAATATTATAAAAATCATTAAAAATAATTTAATTTCAAGAGAATTATATAATTGAAATTATTAAATTTCAAAAAATTTTAGAAATAATTAAATTTAAGAAGTTTTTAAATTAAAATTTTTGGAAAAAATTGAATTTCAAAAGATTGTGTTTAAATTTCAGACAATAATTATTATAATAAGAGAAAGTTTTAGTGATTTTTGTTGATGAAGAATTTATTAGAAGTAACATAAAAAAATTGAATTCCAAAAGTTTTTAATTGAGAAATGCTTTCATAAAATTAAATTTTCGAAGAATATTATAAAAATCATGAAAAATAATTTAAATTTTTGCAAGTAATTAAAAATTTCAAGTGATTTTGAATGAATAATTTTTGGTAATTTTATTTGCTAATTTTTTTTTTTTAATTATAAACAATTTCATAAAAATTTTAATTGAAAAATAGTTTAAGATAATTGAATTTGTGAAGAATTTCATTAAAATTATTTATTTATTTATTTATTATTTTAATTTAATTGTAATTAATTTTAATTTTAATTTAATTTATTATTTATTTATTTATTTTAGTTAAAAATTTGTTAAATAATTGAAATAAACAAGGTCTAAAGAAGATCTGTATTGTATACTAAAAAAATGTATTTTGTTTAAAAATTTTCTTAAAAAATGTAAAAAAAAAAGTTTTAAAAAGTCGTATATTTTATTGAAATATGTCAAAAAAAAATTAATATTTTTGAAAAAAAGTCGGAAAAAGTCGAAAAAAAATAAAATAAAAAGGAAATTCACTGAAAAAAATGCAATAAATATTTTTCACTTTTTATTTTTAAATTAATTTAAAATTAAGTATTTTATAAATGTTTTTTAAATTATTTTGAAATAATTTTAAAATGTTTTTTCAAATGTTTTTTGAAAACAATTTTTTTAAATTCAAATTTCTTTTAAATTTCACTGTCATTCAAAATAAAATTCTAACCAACATATATTTATACTTCCAAAGGGCGTCTCTAAATAATTTTTATTATTAAGTACCCGCATTTGTTGGAACTTTTGTTACTAAAAGAAAAAAAAAAAGACTTTTCTTATACTATCAAGCTGATATTTTTAAAACACATTTAAATAAATTTTGAAATTTCATGGCAAATAAATGTTTCATGATAATTTCAAAGTGGAAAAAATACAATACACTCATTCTATTTTAAAAATACTAATAATAATTATTATAATTCCTATAAATTTTTTATAATAATAATTATGAATAAAAACGAAAACACAAATTACAAATTCTATTCTAGCTCTGGAAACTAATACATATTAATAATAGGAAAAAATATATATAAAAGCACGTGTGTAAATTCATACAATGTGAGAATTTACAAAAATTGGCTAAAATTTTTTAAAAAGCCTTTAAGCGATTAAAGAAAAGTGACATTTAAAAAAGTAGCTATATAAAAAAAACTAATTCTTTTTTTTTGCATTCTAATGTAAGAAATTCTTTTTTCACTTACTTTCTCGCTGGGCTTGTAACAAGCTCGGACATCAACCATGTTGCTCAACAAGTTGTGAGAATCATCTTTACCCTCGAGAGTAAATTTTTCACGAAACTCCCCCTTAATTTGAAGCATTTCCCAATCTCGAAGTGTGTGGCCCATAAATATTTTTTTAATATTTCAACTAATCCAGAGAATAAATTATTATTATTATCTTTTTCTTTCTCACACCTACAAATGTATAGAATTTTGGAGGCTTCTTCCAAAAAAAAAGAAAAGAAAAACAACGCCCGAAATTTTAGTTATATTGTAAAAAAAATTTAGGTTAGATAGATTACAAGTATTTGTTATTTCTTGATAATATTCTTTTACACTAGGATTATATTATTTATATATTATATTAAAAAAGCGCCAAAATACAACGAACCGGCACTTTCTTTGTTTGTAGTGTTAAAGAGATTTATCGATTTGTCAACACAATTTTGTTAAAATCACGGAAGTCATAAGCGTCATAGGTAATATACGGTAATGATCTTTGTAACAAGTATGGTTGGTAAGTTGGGGCTACGAGCAACAAGGGTTGGGTTGTGAATACAAATCTGCTTTTTAGGGCGTTTCTACAATATTTTTTATTATAAAACAGAGGTCATACCCCATTCGATCGTTACGCTACAAGTGGCAAATATTGTAAACAGCATTTTACACAAAACGTGAGCGATTAATCTTATTTTCCATTCCCATCTATTACAGATTTAAAAAGAAAACACACGTTGAATTCTTGATTTGATGGCCGCACTAATTTTCTCATTTCGCTTGTTATAAACAATATAATTTCAGAAGAAAATAATATAAGTATTTACAGTTAAAATAGGTAAGATATAATTTAATCCTATGTGTATTAAATAGATTAATTATAATTAACTAACATAATGTGCAAGTTGATCGCAGAATAACCATATATATTATTTATCTGCTTTTTTATATTATATTATAAATATATTATATAAATGGGGGATTATTACAAATTATAATTTTTTTTGCTGTAGAATATATGGGCAAATTCACGAAACTTTTAACTTTCAAGAAAAAAAATTTTCTTTTTTTTTAATTTGCCGGCATACATTGATGTCACTTTGTATACATGTTTAAGTACATTTTAACACTACAAATTCATATGCGTGATTCATTTTTAGCTCACGCCGTCAATGTTTAACTCTTTAAACTCTTTAATGTTAATAAATAACATATAAAATTGAAAAATTCAACTTTTTTTATTTTTGATATCGGAGTGGTTTTCAAAGTATTTTCGTCCTCTGAACATGATTCTGGCACTTAAATTTGCTTAGCACGTCAGAATTTTGAGAAAAGAGGGGGTAAAGACTCCAAAAAAAGTGTTTTCAACATATTCTTAACTTAATAAAATTTATTTCACTCTCAAAAATGTATAAGTTTAAATGAAATCACGATTTTTATTATCATCTTCAAATTGTTGCCACAGGAATACAATTAGAGGCACATTATTAAAGAAGGTCTTAAAATTTTTGTTTTTTCATCACCTTTTAAGAAATGCATTGAACTTTTATTTTTATCCAACGCCGTAATAGATATTTTCATAAGAAGACGTTCAATTGAATTTTTTTAAAAAGTGCTATCACTCAATCAAACCTTCGTATTTTTAGTTTTAGTGGTGGCACACTAATGGGATAGTGAAAATTTTTTTGACAAAATATGTCTGTTAGATATTTTCATAGTAGCTGAAGTGATATTTTATACACGCAGCAAAAATAAAAACGTTAAGAATATAAACTTTTTCAAGAAATTCAAATGAAATTTAAGCATTTTTTTTTCACTTTTTAACTTATAAAACTAATTGTCAAATAAATATTTTGTTCTAATACTGTACATAAATGTTCTTTTGTATATAATTTTTAATTTTATAATTTATTTTGTATATAATTTAATTTAATAAAAATGATACCCAAAGTTTTAATTAAAAATAATTCAGATTTTTAAGTGTTCGATTCGAGAATCATAAAAGTTAAAAGTTTCGTGAATTTGCCCATATATGTTTTTTAAATTTATTAATTATTTGATGTACATATTTTAATTTTTAGAAAAATGGATCCAAATGTACAAGATTTATTAAATTCTACAGACCTGTTAAACTTTAATTGGATAATTGAAAAATTCAATGAACATGAAGTATATTCGTCAAAATCATTTAATATAGCAGGCATTCCCAATGTAAAATGGTTTATTGAAATTTCACCACAATACGAACATCCAAATGAGAGGCATGAACCATTGCTACAATATAATGAAATTCGAATTTACAATAGGATTTCACATAATTATTTTCTTAAGAATCCAGTAAAAATAAAATTGGAATTAGGAAAATTTCCAAATACAAAAATAATTCTCATAACAACAAAAAATATTTCAGATTTTAAAAAAATAGTTCCATGTGATAATTTACAAAAATTAACGTACAAACACTTTTCTTCAGATCTATATATAAATCTCAGAGTGACACCACTACGTAGTGAACAAAAGATAAACAATATAGTTCCACCTTCGACTAATTACAATAATTTTAAGCCATTTTTAATGAGCGATCACTTAAGTGATGTTACATTTAAAATTGATAACAAAGAATTTCCTGCTCATAAAATAATGCTCGCTTCTGCGAGTCCAGTTTTCGAAAAAATGTTTTCTCATCAGATGAAGGAGAATATTACAAACACTGTTGAATTAAACGACACTGATCCAGACGCTTTCAAAGAAATGTTGAACTTCATTTACACTGGAAATGTTGATAATTTAGACAATGTGGCTTTTGGTCTTTATATATTGGCCAATAAATATGATATATCTAAATTGAAAATAATTTGTGAACAATATCTTGAAAAGTGTTTAGCCGTGTACAACGTAATTTCTATTTTCGAACTTTCCGATCGCTATAATTCATTACATTTAAAACAAAAATGCATTGAATATATCGATAAAAATTTCACAAAAGTCAAAGAAACTAAAGAGTTTAATGATCTGAATAAAGAATTATCAATGGAATTATTATGTGCCATAATCACAAAAGCTAAACTAACAGAAGTTTCGTAATTTTATTGATTTGTCATTCAACAGATTTTTTTATCGCCCTTTTGTTTGATTGAAAAAAAGTTTACTTTAAAATACACAAGAACAACATTTTAAATATATAGCCTTAGTTTTTAAAATAACGTAATTGATGAGTGTTTGATAAAAAAAAGAAATTTGAAATATTTTATAATATAGAAATATTGCTGTTAATTTTAAATAAACAAGAAGAACATCGAACTCAAATAATTATGTTAATTTGAAAACATGTTTAACAAAATTTGAATGTTTAATTTAACAATTTATGATTGAACTGCATTTATCATTAGTTGTATGTGTTTTTGTTCTTGTTTGCAAAAAAATGAAAAAGATTTATGTATTCATATTTTTCTTTTACAATTTCAAATTGTTAATAATAGAAAAATTATATATAAACGAATAAGCTGTGTAAATGTATTTTTAAAATATATTTTTCTACCATTGTATAATACTATTGTTTTTTTTAATTAGAATAAGAAATAACCAAAGTAAAACTCATTAAATTCAAATTTAATCATTTTCTATATTTTGTTTTAATAATACGAGGAGGAAAATCTCGATAAATCTATTTTCAAAAAAAATTGTTAAATTCAGATAAAACATATTAAAACCTTACTAAACCAACTGTCATTGTTGAATTTAACAAAAAAATGTTATTAACAAAGAAATTTTTAATTTAAAAAACATCGGAATTTAGCCGAGATTATTTATAAATTAAATTACATTTTTTGCTAGAAAAAATGACCAAAATTTAAAAATTCTCCAATTATATGATAGACTTTAATATTAAAAACTAAACGTTTTAAATCAAAAAAAAATTTATATAAATAATTTATTACAATTTTTCTTCTTTAAAATTAATTTAATTAACAAAATATGGAATTATCAATTTTTAAAAACTTACCCCTCATATTATTATTATCTTATAATTGTATTCTTCAAATATTATTATTAATTTTAATTGTTTATTTGTAAAAAAATAATTTAATTATTAAATCGTTCAATTCTGCTTTTAGTTATTAACAATTTATTTGTAAAAAGGTGGTGAAAAGTTATTTTTTTTATTAAAAATGATAAAAAATTAATAATAATAAATAACTCGAATATATATGTGTGAATAATATAAAAATAATTAAATAATATTATTAATAATATTATAATAATAATAATAATAATAATGCTATTTACACTGTTTTTTTGGCGCAGAATTAGATAATCTAAATAAAAAAAGAATTAACGATTTATCTTCATTTCTTCAAATATTATTAATTATTTAAATAATTTTTATTATTAATTATTAATTCAACACCCGTTTATCCAAAATAGTTCATATAGAGGGCTCGTTGGATGTTGATTTCGATAAGCATTAGAATGACATTTTTAAAATTATTCTAATTTTAGTTGTTCGTAAAATATTTCATTTTTTATTAACTTTTGTTAGTTAATTAATTAATATCTCGAAAACAAAAAATAATGCTATCTCAAAAATTTAACCATCGATTTATTATGACTTAAACAATATTCAGGATTTTTTTCGCGCTTCAAAATGAGGGAGAACATGTTTAAAAGTTATAAACAAATTTTATTTTTTTAACAAATTGTTTAAAAATTAATATTAAAAAAAAAAAAAAAATTTTTAGAACTTTTCAATGTCTACTTTTGGCGTAGAAATTATGAAAATATTATTTATTTACAATAAAGTAATTTAGTTTTTCTCAAAAAATGTAAGATGAATAAATAAAAATAAAAGCATAAACAATTTTATAATTTCTACATAAAGCATGTTTCGGAGAAAAAGGAATTTTAAATCAAATAATTGGATTGTTTAAATAGAACGAATTTTTTGTTTTCTCAACAATTTTATTGTTCAAGAGTGTCAAACAATTTCACGAGAAAAAAATACCTGACTTACTACCTGACTTGAAGAAAAAAATTAAAATTATTAAAAAATGAAAACCGTAATTTTCTATTACGGCGCGTTTGAATTAGTTTGTGTGCGTCAATTACGGTGACCAAAATTACATGAATTTTGAAGATACTTTGCTCGACGTAATTGAAGGCAATTGAAATCTTAATCTCTATTAATAATTTTATCAAAAAAAAAAAAAAAATTTTCAAAATAAAAGGAGAATTTGAAGGAAAAATTTAAAACACGAACAGTTTGAAGAAAATATTGAGGAAGAATAAAAAAAAACTTCAAAAAAGGAAAATAGAAAATTTTAAGGAAAAATCGCTTTAAAAATGAGAGTTTTTAATAATAAATAGATTTAAGGAGATATAAAAATTATTAAAAAAGAAGAAATTGACAAAAATCGAAAAAATTTTCATGTTCTGAAAAAATTATAATTTATTATAAAAAATCGAGATTTTTGTTGAGTTTGTGAGAATAAATAAATTTTGATAGTGAATTATCAAAAGATTTCAAAGTTCAATTAAAACACTGTAACATTCTCACTGAAGAAAAACACAATATTATATAAATGATAGAAAAATATATTTTACGTTCAAATTAAAAATACAATCGTTTATTGATAGCTTTCTTTTAACATTTCAAAAATATAAAAGAAAAAGATTACGGGCAATATAAATCTTTTTCATTTTTTACAAACAAGATAAAATTTGTTACAACTTTTGAACTCATTACAAACACAGTTCAATTTTCTTTCATATATATGTATATATTTAACATGTTTATAGCTAAATATAATTAAATATTTTAATTAAAAAACATTTTCAGTATTTACTTAACATCAGCATTCATTTCACAAAGAAATATTAAACATTTTTTTTATCATCATCAATATATTGAGTTTGATTTTCTCAAATTTTCAAATTCAGCAGTAATAATTTGAAATAAAAAAAAATTATGTTATTTAACCTTTTATGATACAGAATAATTCCATTAATAATTCTTTACTCAAATCTTTAAAATCTTGAGTTTCTTTCACATATTTAAAATTTTTGTCGATATAATCAATGCATTTTTTTTTTAAATTTAAAGAATTATAAAGATGGGCAAGTTCGAAAATTGAAATTACGTTGACAACGGCTAAACATTTTTCAAGATATTGTCCACAAATTATTTTCATAGTAGATATATCATATTTATTCGCCACTATGTAAAGACCAATGGCAATAATTTTTGAATTATTAACTTTTCCAATGTAAATGAAGTTTAACATTTCTTTGAAAACATCTGGATCAGTGTCGTTTACTTCAACAGTGTTTGTAATATTCTCCTTCATCTGATGAGAAAACATTTTTTCGAAAACTGGACTTGCAGAAATGAGCATTATTTTATGAGCAGGAAATTCCTTGTTACCAATTTTAAATATAACATCACTTAGTTGATCGCTCATTAAAAATGGCTCAAAATTATTATAATTGGTCGGAGAAACTGTGTCGATTGTCTTTTTTTTATTGTTGAGTGGCGTCACTCTGAGATTCACATACAAAGATCGCAAAATATCATCTAATAATTGAACTAATTCACAGGTTTGAATAATATTTTTAAACGTACAAATTAGACCATCTTCAATGATGCTAAATATTCTTCTTCTCCTAACGGTACCAAGAAAAATTTCTATCTTTACTGGTTTATTCTCACAATAATAATTTGAATTCTTCTTATTGCAAAGTTGAAAATAACTATATGTTTTTTCATCATCTCTTTTATTATTATGTTTTTGTGGAAGGAATTCAATAAACCATTCTGCATTGGGAATTCCATTTATAGAGAATAAATCGGAAGTATGATGTTCGTAAATTGAAAAATTGAAAATACTCCATTGAAAATTTGTAATACCTTCTAATTCTGAAATGTCTTTCATATTTTCATCCATTTTCTGAAAATTATAAATTTTTAATATATAAAATAGAAATGCTTAATATTTTTTATTTATTATATACTTAAATTAAAAATCTTTCTTTCCATTCTCTCAAAGTTTATAACATAAAGAAACGTGATATACTTTTAGTATGTTTATTAAATTAATAATTTAATTTAATTAATTTCTTAATTTATTTAATTAATCTGATTTAAAAAAAACGAGATTAAAAGTTAGATCGTTCCACAACGTTAAAATTATTGATAGGATATGAAAAGGAAGATTTAATTAAAATATTATAAGATTGGATTTTTTTGTTTTTCTGGAAAGAAGTTCAAAATCAGCGAAAATTCTCAAGAACCTCAACATTTTATGTCTATTTATATTCCAAAAAAAGTCGATTATTTTTATTTTAACAAAAATATTTTACAGATTATAAAAAAAAAATTTTTTTTTAAATAATAATACTTTTGGAAGGGTTAAAGTTGAAATTTTTAGAAATAATTGAAATTCAAAACATTTTGTTAATTTTCAGATAATAATTAAATTTTACTGAACTAAAAATAATTTATCAAATAATTTTAGATAACATTTTTTAAATGTAATTGAATTTTCAAAGATTTACAATTGAGATTTTTGAAATTAATTCAACTTCAAGTGATTTTTAATTAAATTTTTTTTGATGATTTCACTAAAAAAAATAATTAGAAATTGCGGACAAAAATAAAATAATTTAAAAACCATTTTTATTTGAAAAATGTTTTCAGATAGGGGAGAGTGGTTTTTTATCGAAAGTAAATCACTTATAAAACTTTTTGTGTTGATATATTCGTTTCGGCAAGTATTTTACATCTTTTTCAGCATTTATTTACGAGTAATTTTCATTAAAAGTAATTGTTAAATTATTAACAATAAGCTGAGAATTTTACATTTTGTAAAAAAATGCAGTACGGGGCAAAACCGGGTACCAAACGGTGGGGCAAAATTGGATATATTTAAATGTATTACACTATACATATTTAAATTTTATCTTAAAATAATCGACATGTATGTTTCGAAATCGATGTTTAACTTTCGATATATCATTTATTTACCATATCGATAAATAAACGATAAAAAATTAATAAAAATATGAAAAAATTCGTTTTAAAAGATTTTTAATTGCTGTTATTCATTTTTAATATAATATATTTAGATTAAATTTATTGAATATTAATTATTTTCTATAATGTGAGTGATATATAATAATAATTGAACAAAAAGTTAAAGAATATTCAATGATTTATATATTTTCTTGATAGTACCCGGTTTTGCCACACCATCGGGGCAAAACGGGGTACTTTGCATTTTTTTTTTTGAAAAAGCTGGTTTAAATTGATCAATAAAAATGTTTTTCATGCAATCGACCTTATTTTCTTATTCTCTAATGTTCAAGGAAGAACTTTCAACGACATTTGAACTAATTTATTTGATAGATTCTTTGTAAACCGAGAATTCCAAAAAGGTACCCCGTTTTGCCCCACTCTTCACTAGTTGAATTTTCAAAGAATATTATAAAAATAGTTAAAAATAATTGAATTTTCTTAGAGTTATAATTGAAATTATTAAATTTCAAAAAATTTTCGATGGAAAATTTTAGAAGCTTTTAAATTCAAATTTTTGAAAATAATTTAATTTAAATTGAAATTTTTGAGAATAATTGAATTTTAATTGATTTTTGACTGAAAATTTTGATAATAATAATTAATTTTGAATTGAAATTTTGGATAATTATTTAATTTTTTTTTTATTGATTTTGAATTGCAATTTTTGATAATAATTGAATTTTATTTGATTTTGAATTGATTTGTGATTTTGAATTAAAAAGTTTTGGTAATTTTATTTGATATTTTTTTTAAATTATAAACAATTGTTAAATTTCATAAAAATTTTAATTGAAAAATAATTTGCAATAATTGAATTTGTGATGAATTTCATAAAAATTATTTAAAAAATAATTAATTTAGTGAAGAATTTTAGTTAAAATTTTTTTAAATAATTGAAATAAAGAAAATATGAAGAATAACTGCATTTAATACTAAAAAAAAAAATGTATTTTATTAAAAAATTTGTTGAAAAAAATATTTAAAAAAGTCGCATTTTATTAAAATAAGTCGAAAAAATTTGTTTTTTTGAAAAAAAAATCGGAAATAGTCGAAAAAATCATATAATCCGAGGCCTGTTAAATGAATAAAATTTTGATATTTCACAGGTAATAATTTCTGTGCTTTTTTATCAATAAATTTTTACAACTGCCAAATTAATCTTTTTTCCATGAATTTAAATCATCTTTAAAATTAAAATTTCAACTTCCAAGGTATTTATATATATATATATATTTTTTTTTAATAATTGTTGACAATAAATTGGATATAACATTAAAAATGATTATTACGAATTATAAAAGATACTTTTCTAAAAATAGGCCGCAACAACTTTAGGTGAAATATATATAATATATATATATATATATATATATATATATATTTCACCTAAAGTTGTTGCTTTAATATAATAATATTAAATAATATAATAATATTAAATAATATAATAATATTAATTGCATGCTCCTTTAAAATGTATTAAGTAGGAATATAAAATATTCATTGTAGTTATTTATAATATTTTCGCTTACTATATAAATTAAATTATTATACGTTTAGACACGCGTCGCTTTATTAATGTAAATTAAATTACTACTTAAAATTATATCTTACCTATTTTGACTGCTGATGCTTTCTATTTTCTTTGGAATACCTTGTTGCAGGTAAATATGTATAATTCCTCTTCTTTCTTCAGTTGCAAGAAAATATCTTATATATTATTAATAAGACAAGATTATAAATTTCCTTAATTAATATTTGGTAAATTTATATCTTTGTAACAATAGCAGGGTTGGTAATAATTATAGGAGATACAACCTCAAGCGCAGGGTTGGGGTCTTTTAGGCTGCGTCTACAATAGATTAAAAAATGTGTAACCAGTGATGGGTACGTATAATACATGACGTATAATACGTGGTTTTCTACGTGTATAAAGGTGCTTTTCTACATCAAATTTCGATCAGATGAACATTATTTCTGAACTGTGAAAATGCGTGAAAAGTCATTTTCACGGCGGGTATTTTTGAATTGTTTTAAACAAAAAATGTTTTTTTAAGAAATATAATATTAAATAATTGTTTTAATATGTAAGAACACTTTAAAATAGTGATAGAAAGATGATTTGATTGAAAAATTTAGCAAATTTTGCTTTAAAACGTTTCCTGCTATAAGAAAGTATAAAATGACAACGTTTGTGAAATGGTTTGTACAGTGCTTCTTCCTTGTGAGTGTCTCTCAGAGTTTTGTTTATGTTATGTCGGTTCTTTTTAACTTGTAATAAATAATGAGTACTGAAAATAAATCGGTAAGTTGAAATGTTTATTAAGTAATTTTAAATTCAACTACTTGATTCGAAAATTAATTATAATTACTTATGAAAATCATAACACGCGTCACAACCCATCACTGTGTGTAACGATCGTGTAGTGTAATGGGATCAGAAATCACGCGAAACTGACCCACCCCTGAGCCTTCTTGTGAAGGCCTAAGCAGAATAGCTTCGCGAAAGACGTTCGCGAACGTGTAACATGAGTTAGAAAAGGACAGAGATATATTCGTATCCTTTTCTATCTCATGTATCTCGTTCGCGAACGACTTTCGCGAAACTATTGTGCGTTGGCCTTAACAACCATCTTAGTTTTTTATCTCTTTCTTTTGTATATGTCAGAGAAACACGGAATGAAAACATGGCCACCACAACAAGGCTCTCACCAGATGGCGTATCGCAGTATTTCAGATCCCAATACAAGATACACGACTTTACACTACACTACACGATCGTTACACATTTTTTAATCTATTGTAGACGCAGCCTAAGGTGCTTCAACAATATTTCTATAATATAGAGGTTATACCCTATTCGATCGTTACGCTTCAAGTAGCAAATATTACTAATTTCCTCATTTTTTTTTTGTTATAAACAAAAATTCCAAAAGAAAATAGTAAAGCATATTTGCAATTAAAATTGGTAAGATATAATTTAATCCTATCTATGTATATTAAATTGATTAAATTATTTATAATTATCTAACAAAAAGTGCAAGTTGATCGCGTAATAGGCAGTCTTCTTTAATTATTTATAATTATTATGATTATATCATATGTATATATCAAAAATACTTATTAAAAATCTACTTTTACAAATTTTCTATATAAATTTAATTGAATATAAATATAAATCAGATTATTTTTAACAATTATATCAGTGAAGAAATTTGTTACATTAATCTATATTATTTTAGTGCTTTTTTGTATTAAATTTTACAGCTATACAATTAATCCTTTCGTGCAACTCATCTTTTAAATTTAAATTTCATATAGTAAATGTAAATATATATAAAATCTATCAAATTTAATTAAATAATTGTCAAAAATGAATTGTAAGGATCATATAAATGATAATGACGAATTATAAATTTTGTTTTCGCTTTAGAATATATAGGTTTCTTTAATTTATTAATTATTTCATATAAATATATTTTAATTTTTAGAAAATGGATCCAAATGAACAAGATTTATTAAATTCTACAGACCTGTTAAACTTTAATTGGATAATTGAAAAATTCAATGAACATGAAGTATATTCGTCAAAATCATTTAATATAGCAGGCATTCCCAATGTAAAATGGTTTATTAAAATTTCACCACAATGCGGAGATCTAAATCACATTTATATACCAAATCACTATTCTGACCTAATAGAAAAAAGTGAAATTCGTGTTTTCAATAATATTTCACAAAATTATTTGTTTAAGAATCCAGTAGATATAAAACTTAAACTAGGAATTGATTCAAACACAAATATATTTATCAGGACCACAAAAGAGATTAAAGAATTAAAATTTGTTATTGGTTATAGTGAATTAATAGAATTATGCTCAAAAACCAACAATGGATTATTATTATTGCATGTAAATCTTAATATTCAAGAAGCAAAAATTAAAACTAAATCTACTACCTTGACTTCTTCAAGTTGTTGCAAAAATTTCAAACCTTTTTTCTTGAGCAATGTACTAAGCGATTTTGTATTTCAAATTGATGACAAAAAATTTCCTGTACATAAAGTAGTACTCGCTTCCGTAAGTCCAGTATTTGAAAAAATGTTTTCAGTTCAGATGAAGGAGAATATTACGAATATTTGTGAAATAAAAGATATTGATGCTGATATTTTCATTGAAATGTTAAACTACATTTATATGGATAAAATTACGAATTTAAAAACACTGGCCTTAGGTCTTTATGAATTATCGAATAAATATTACATATCTGAATTACGAATAATTTGTGAACAATATCTACAAGAGAATTTATCTGTGGAAAATGTAATTACTATTTTGGAACATGCTGAACTTTATGAATCCACAAATTTAAAGAAAGAATGCATTAAATATATTGATGAAAATTTTGAAAAAGTCAAAGAAACTGAAAATTTGCAAAAACTCGGAACAAAATTATTAGTCGAATTATGCAGTGCAATGAAATCTGCTAAAATTACATAAACTTTGAAATTTTGCTTGATTACTCAAAAAAGAAAATCTTTTTCTTTTATTATATTGTGTTTTTATTAGCAAAAAATTTCTATTCTTAAAAAATAAGAACAATTTTTTTTTTAATATTGTAAACGTTACGCAAAAATACGTTTTCCTATTATTATGTATATGTTTTTTTCAAAAAAAATGAAAAAATCTATTCCTTTGTAATGATATTGTATTTTTTATTCAAAAAATAAAATATGTAATAATTTCTTTAAGTTTTCTAATTTTTAGAGTAAAAATTTATTTTTTTATAATTTTAATTAATTTAGACTTAATTCTCTCAATTTCGTTGTGAATGAATAATAAATTTTATTTTCAACACAAATAACAGTATTATAAAACTGAAAAATAAATTTCTAAATTATTTTTATTGCCCGATTTAAAAAAAAAAAAAACAATAAGAAAAAAATCAGCATTTTTATATCGTGAAGCGCAAAATTAGTTATAAAAATTTTACTTATAACTAAAAAGTATTAAGAAACTTTTTTTTGGTAAATAAATCTTTCCTATATGGAAATTAAAAAGAAAAGTAGAAAATTAAAATTAAAATTTTGAGAGATAAATAAAATAATCGGAAAAAAATTGTAGATATTCAAAATAGAGAGAGAATAAAAATTTTATGATTATGGGTATAAAACAATTCAAAATAAATTAATAATGCAATATAATTTTCATAAGGGCTAGGTATACTAAATTTCACTATACATAAATGGCGCATTAATATTTTGTCTTCATCTGATATTTATTGAACATTTTTAAAAATATAATATCGATTTTTTTTATTATATAATACGATAATTCAATTAATTTTTTTAAAAAACTGTATATGTATTTTATTTTACCCAATATGCTATGAAAATTAATTTTTTTATAAAAAAAAAATAAATGTACGCATGCGCGTCTAAATTTGATATTTTCAGGTTATGTGTTATGTCTCAGGAAAAACTCAAAACCAAACCGCATAATAAATCAATAAATTGAACAAAGAAGTTGATTATATCGATTAATTTTCTTGTAGTAAATTATTTTTCTTAAAATCGCAAATACATATTATTATTAAATACAAAGAAAAATAACATATCAGCAATTAAAGACGGTAAGATATACATAAAAATGATCAAAAGTAATTAGTATTTTGTTTGAATTTTTTTTTTTTTTTGTTTTAAACAAGAAAAAAGACATTTTTTTGTGATCCCATATATTTCCATCTAAAAGAATCTTAAAGATCAAAACAATTTTCAAAATATTTATTATACTATTTCAAAAAAATTTTGACGTTTATACTTGGAAATTCTATCAAATTTTTTTTTTTTAATTTTGTTAATATTATAGTTTTTAGAAATTAATAAATGAAAAATGTTTCACTTCTTCCGATAGGGTAAGTCTACCAATTACGGTGCGTTCATAAAAAATAACTATTATTACTATTATATTTAATATAACTTTTAAAAAAAAAATTATTTTAATCTTTTTTTGATACAATTACTAATAAAGATGCAAATTTAAACAATTATTAATTTAATTATTTGAGATCAAATTTTTTCCCTCGCCGTAATTGAAACATTTTAAAGATTTCCATTGGCTTCAATTACGGCGGGCAAAGTATCTTCAAAATATACGTAATTTTGGTAATTTTTAGTTTCTCATATCTGTTTAAATAATCGATTTTTATAAAATTTAAATTTTTTTAAATATCTAAATAACATAACCTTTTAGTATAATAAGTCTTCAATTGACTTTATACAATAATAAAAATGTCGATTTTTTTATTTCAAAGGTACTTTGACTCGAATCGCGCCATAATTAGTACATTTACCCTATATACTTAACATTTTTTTATGTTTTAATTTTTAATTAATACGAAACTAAAGTACGCAACGTTTATGATAAACGATTTTTAAAGAAATAATTTTTTAAAATGAAAAATTCTATAATTTTTCGCCTAAAAAATATTTCTTGTAGTTTTCATTAATCAATAAAATATAAAAAAATATTTTTTTAGACAAAAAATTATAAAACTTTGTTAATTAATGCAATTTAATTGGTTTTTGTATCTATATAAAAATTATTATTTGAATTCTTTTTAATTCAAATATGATCAGTTGGGGTAAATGGGGACAAAATCGCTATTTTTCACAAATTACGTAAGTTTCTTCCTTTAAAAGGTAATATTTGCGGGTTTATTTTTTTTTAAGTTGTTATTTACGTTCCCAGGATTAATTTTATGCAGCAGAAAAAAGTTTAGATAAGCTTTAAACGCATGAAATTGACTGTCCCCATTTACCCAAAAATTTAGAAAATTTCATAAACTTCGGGGTAAATGGGGACAGCATAGTTTCTAAGAAAGTTTTAAGAAAAAAGTTTTCTTATGTATATTACTGTATTAAGGGATGAAAAAACTTGAAAAAAATTTGTAGTAGATGTATAATAGTTGAACCAATTGAAATTTTTTTATAAATTTATTTTTTATTTCAGTATTTTGTTTCGCATTTGAAAAAAAAAACAGTCTTAAAAATCATACCAAATTTTTTTCTTATTCCTTTTGACTCCCATAACAGAAATTCACTTGAATTTCTGTTATAGGAGTCATAGGGAATAAGAAAAAAATTTGGTATGATTTTTAAGTCTTTTTTCTTTGAAATGCTCGACAAAATACTGAAACTGTTTGACTTTGATTTTCAAGTTTTTATGCATTAAGCGATAACTTTTTTTTATCTTGCTGCCAATTGTCAAGATAAAAGCTTGGCAATACTCAAAACCTCATGTAGGTGATCTGAGGTTAAAATATTGACGTTGAACTTCATTTTAAAACTGTAAATTAAGCTCCTTATCCCCATTTACCCCAACTGACCCTATAACGTTTTGAAAAATATTTTTATATGGGTTAAGACAAAAAAATTTTTAATTCTGACTGAAAATCATTGAAAAAGAAAAGAAATTTTTTTTATATGATTAAATAAAATTTTAATAATTAATAAAATTAGTAATAATAAATTAATAATTGAAATTATTTATTAATTTTTACAGAAAATGGCAGAAAATGTTCAATACATACCAAAGAAAGAATTAATAAACATTAAATGGATAATTCAGCATTTCTCTTCTTTTAATAAACATGAATCGAGATCATTTAACATTGAAAGTATATCAAATATAAAATGGATTATGCAATTCTCTCTGTATCAAGCACAAAAGTTATGTTTGTTTAAACTTATCAATGATAAAAATGTGGGATATCGTTATAAATATCCATTAGAAATAAATCTTATGATTGGATTAGATAATAATTGTTTAACATTAAATAATGTAACAACAAAATATAGTTTAGGTGATTTTACAAAATCTTTTCAAATTTCCGAAATAATAGAATTAAGAGATTTAAATGATGATTTGCATGTACATTTAAGTGTTAATCTATTAACAAATCAAGAAAAATCCAACGACATGAATTCATCATATTCAACGAATATTAGTATAAATAATTTTAAACCATTCTTAATGAGCGATTATCTAAGTGATGTTGTATTTAAAATTAATAATAAAGAATTTCCTGCTCATAAAATAATGCTCGCTTCTGTGAGTTCTGTTTTTGAAAAAATGTTTTCTCACCAAATGAAAGAGAATATTACTAATGTTGTGGAAATAAATGACGTTGATCCAATTGTTTTTAACGAATTGTTAAGATACATTTATACTGGCAAAATAGAAAATATAAATAATATGGCATTTGGTCTTTATGAATTGGCTAATTATTATGATATTAATAAATTGCAATTAATTTGTGAACAATATTTACGAAATGGTTTATTTGTGGAAAATGTAATTTATATTTTGGAACTTGCCGATCGTTATAATTCTGTTGATTTAAAGAATAAATGCATTAAATATATTGATGGAAATTTTGAAAAAGTAAAAAAAACGGAACCATTTAGAAATTTAAAAAGAGAATTACTAATGGATTTTATTTGTTGTACAAGATAAAATGTTTTTTTTTGTATTTTTCATTGTCACTTAGAAAATCGTTTATATGACTTAATTATTTTTTTTATATTGAAAAAATATTTGCGTTAAACTATAAAAAAATTCTATTTCAATTATATTTTTATTAATATTGAAAATTTATGAATGTTGTATTAAAAAAAGGAAATTAATATTTTTTATATCTTGATACTATATGTAATTTTCAAAAATACAAAACAAGATTTTAAATTGAATGCATGTTTGTTTGAAACAAAAAAAAAAATACTGAAATTCTCTGTTTCAAAATATATATCGCATATTGTAAACGTTAAAAGTGTGAAAAAAAATTGAAACTTCATGTATGTTGTGTTAAAAATGTTTAAAAAGGAGAGAGTGAAAAATAAAAAGATAGATCTTTTTCTTTTTAAATTTGAATTGTAAAAAAGAAAATGATTTATAAATGTGATTTAAATATATATACAAAATATTTGTCTTTCATATTTTAAAAATGTTTATAATAGAAAAATTATATGATAAATAAGTTGTGTAAAAGTATATTTCTAAATTTGTAAAATATATTTTCTACATAATACTTTTGTTTTTTTTTAATCAAAATAACAAGAAATTGTAGTAAAATTCCTTTATTTCAGTATCTATTGTTGTTTTCCTTTTATATTATATTATCATCAATAATTTTAATTATTTACCTTTATTAAAAAATATAATAAAGAAAATTATTATTAAATTTTTTAATTATATACCCTGTTCTTGAAATTTTCTGTATCTGAAACATTTTAAAAATTTTAATTGGCTTCAATTACGGCAAGTACCTATCTTCAAAATACACGTAATTTTGGTCACCGTAATTGACGCACAAAAACTGATTCAAACGCGCCGTAATAGAAAATTACGGTATTAATTTTTTAATAATTTAAATTTTTTTCTTCGTGTAAGTCAGATATTTTTTTCTCGTGAAATTGTTTGACACTCTTTAATAATAAAATTGTTGAGAAAACAAAAAATTTGTTAGTTCTATTTAAATAATCCAATTATTAGATTTAACAAATTCCTTTTTCTCCGAAACATGCTTTATGTAGAAATTATAAAATTGTTTATGCTTTTATTTTTATTTATTCATCTTATATTTTTTGAGAAAAACTAAATTACTTTATTGTAAATAAATAATATTTTCATAATTTCTACGCCAAAAGTAGACATTGAAAAGTTCTAAAAAAATTTTTTTTTTTTTAAATATTAATTTTTAAACAATTTGTTAAAAAAATAAAATTTGTTTATAACTTTTAAACATGTTCTCCCTCATTTTGAAGCGCGAAAAAAATCCTGAATATTGTTTAAGTCATAATAAATCGATGGTTAAATTTTTGAGATAGCATTATTTTTTGTTTTCGAGATATTAATTAATTAACTAACAAAAGTTAATAAAAAATGAAATATTTTACGAACAACTAAAATTAGAATAATTTTAAAAATGCCATTCTAATGCTTATCGAAATCAACATCCAACGAGCCCTCTATATGAACTATTTTGGATAAACGGGTGTTGAATTAATAATTAATAATAAAAATTATTTAAATAATTAATAATATTTGAAGAAATGAAGATAAATCGTCAATTCTTTTTTTATTTAGAAGATTATCTAATTCCGCGCCAAAAAAAACAGTGTAAATAGCATTATTATTATTATTATTATTATATTATTAATAATATTATTTAATTATTTTTATATTATTCACACATATATATTCGAGTTATTTATTATTATTAATTTTTTATCATTTTTAATAAAAAAAATAATTTTTCACCACCTTTTTACAAATAAATTGTTAATAACTAAAAGCAGAATACATAATTGAACGATTTAATAATAAATTTATTTTTTTACAAATAAACAATTAAAATTAATAATAATGTTTGAAGAATATAATTATAAGATAATAATAATATGAGGGGTAAGTTTTTAAAAATTGATAATTCCATATTTTGTTAATTAAATTAATTTTAAAGAAGAAAAATTGTAATAAATTATTCATATAAAATTTTTTTTTTGAATTTAAAACGTTTAGTTTTTAATATTAAAGTCTATCATATAATTGGAGAATTTTTAAATTTTGGTCATTTTTTCTAGCAAAAAATGTAATTTAATTTATAAATAATCTCGGCTAAATTCCGATGTTTTTTAAATTAAAAATTTCTTTGTTAATAACATTTTTTTGTTAAATTCAACAATGACAGTTGGTTTAGTAAGGTTTTAATATGTTGCATCTGAATTTAACAATTTTTTTTTGAAAATAGATTTATCGAGATTTTCCTCCTCGTATTATTAAAACAAAATATAGAAAATGATTAAATTTGAATTTAATGAGTTTTACTTTGGTTATTTCTTATTCTAATTAAAAAAAAAAACAATAGTATTATACAATGGTAGAAAAATATATTTTAAAAATACATTTACACAGCTTATTCGTTTATATATAATTTTTCTATTATTAACAATTTGAAATTGTAAAAGAAAAATATGAATACATAAATCTTCTTCATTTTTTTGCAAACAAGAACAAAAACACATACAACTAATGATAAATGCAGTTCAATCATAAATTGTTAAATTAAACATTCAAATTTTGTTAAACATGTTTTCAAATTAACATAATTATTTGAGTTCGATGCTCTTCTTGTTTATTTAAAATTAACAGCAATATTTCTATATTATAAAATATTTCAAATTTCTTTTTTTTATCAAACACTCATCAATTACGTTATTTTAAAAACTAAGGCTTATATATTTAAAATGTTGTTCTTGTGTATTTTAAAGTAAACTTTTTTTTAATCAAACAAAAGGGCGATAAAAAAATCTGTTGAATGACAAATCAATAAAATTACGAAGCTTCTGTTAGTTTAGCTTTTGTGATTATGGCATCTAACAATTCCATTGTTAAATCTTTATTCAAATCTTTAAAATCTTTAGTTTCTTTAATCGTTGTGTAATTTTTGTCGACATATTCAATGCATTTTTTTTTTAAATGTAATGAATTATAGCGATCGGCAAGTTCGAAAATAGAAATTACGTTGTAAACAGCTAAACCATTTTCAAGATGTTGTTCACAAATTATTTTCAATTTAGATATATCATATATATTAGCTGATTCAAAAAGACCAAAAGCCACAGAATCTAAATTATCAACATTTCCAGTGTAAATGAAATTCAACATTTCTTTGAAAACATCTGGATCAGTGTCGTTTACTTCAACAGTGTTTGTAATATTCTCCTTCATTTGATAAAAAAACATTTTTTCAAAAACTGGACTCGCAGAAGCGAGCATTATTTTATGAGCAGGAAATTCCTTGTTATCAATTTTAAATTTAACATCACTTAGGTGATCGCTCATTAAGAATAATTTAAAATTATTATAATTGGTCGAAGAAGAAATTATGTTTTTTATCTTATTCAGAGGTGTCACTGTTAGATTTATATGAAGACAATTAACGTCAAGTAATTGAACTAATTCACAGGATTGAATGTTATTTTGAAAATTAGAAATCGGACCATATACAATAATGCTAAATATTCTTCTTTCCTTCCCAACGGTTCCAAGAGAAATTTCTATATTTACTGGTAGATTGTTATAATGAAAAAATGAATTCTTCTCATTGCGAAGTTCAAAAAGAACAAAATCATTTCCATCATCCCTAAATCTCTCAGTAGTGTATTGCGATTGGAATTCAATAAACCATTTTACATTGGGAATACCATTTATAGAGAATAAATCGGAAACATAATTTCCTTCAGGATCGTAATTTTTAATAATCCATTCAAAATTTGTAATGCCTTCTAATTTTGAAATGTCTTTCTTATTTTCATCCATTTTTTTCAAAAATTATCCTATATAAAATAAAATTATTGAATATGAACTAAAAATATAATACACAAAAAATAAGAAAATCATAATCTACGTGTAATTTGATATTATTAATAAAATAATCTTAAAAAAAAAACACCAAAATATAATAAAAGGATCTCTAAATAAAATTCTCTAATTAAAATATTATAATAGAGAAAAAAATGAGACAAAAGTTTTCAACGTTCAAATGGAATGAAATATTTTATTAATATTTATTAAGATAGCAAATGAAAAAATAAAACAGTAAATTAAATTATTAAATTAAATATAACTTCTTATTAGACATTAAAAACAATATTTTGTAATGCAATTTGTACTTAAAGAAGTTGCAAAAAAAATCGAACGTTAAAAACTTTTGGCTCATAGAAAAAAAGTTGTTCCCGGGAAAAAGTTATTATTGTTCTAAATTAGCGAAAATTCTCAAAACTTGAATTTGAAATAATATCTTACCTATTTTAACTATTGGATTCTTTCTATTTTGTTTATAATAATAGCTGAGAGAATTAATATAAACTACGCATACACACAAAATATTCTACTTTTGTTACTGAACATAACCTAAAAATCGAATCTATCTGCGCACGCGCACTTTTGGTTCAACAAATTAGGGTACATTTACAGCTCTGTCTATACGTTCCACTATTGATAACTATACAACCCTGCGGTAAAGCGCAATTTTTCCTCTCTGTAACTAGAGTTCTTAAATTCTCGAGAATTTATGTGGAGCATATGCTCTCGAGAATATGCTGAGCATTTAAACAATAACGGAGCATTCATTGAGAATTTTTGAGAACTTTGAGAATTTAAAGTTTAGTAACTACATTAACTATTTTTGTTAAATGTTTATTTTAAATTAATAACTATGTTAGTATAAAATTAATTTACAACCCCTTGTTTTAAAGTTTTACGTGTATTATGCTTTTAGGACATATTTATATGCTTCTGAAAGAAACAAAAAGATTTTTAATCTTTATCAGTTTTAAGATTAAAAAAATAATATTTTTAAATACTCAGTCTTTTTGGTTCTGGTTACAATTAATACTGTCCTTATTGTACGAAATATTTTTTTTTGTTATATATATTCTTTAATAACATTTATAAACTTAAAATAAACTTAAAAATATGCATATTTACTTCTTCATTTTAACTTTTTTAATTTAAATGATTACGGTATACCGCCGCAGAAAGAATGTACTGAAACGTTTTTTAATCCTGTTCAGTATCTACTGCGGGTTATCTTCCACTGAGATATTCGCATCTTCCAACTGTTTTACAAAAAACAGGCAGAATTTATCACTTATTTTGATTATATTACTGACAATATGTATAAATAAAAACGTATAGAGCGCAAAGTAGTATTTAAACTAAAGACATATAATATTATATGTAATAAGTGCTTGGAAACCCACCGTAATAGATTATTTTTACCATATTTACGTTACGGTATATTTTTTTGTTCTCATAAATTCTCAAGAAATGGACTGAGCACATTGAAGTCGAGAATATTCTCGTGCTCGGGAGAATTTCTCCGAGCACTTAAACCATTTAGAACCCTACCTACACTGCTCCATCTACAAAATCATATTCCTGATCATTCAGTTTTTTGTCAGCGAGATTGTAGACGGACTATTATATAGTTTCAGATTCCTGCCGGCAGTGATGGGTTGTGACGCGTCACACAAAGTTTTGTACGTATAATACGTTTTCGACGTAATATACGTATAAAATGTAGAAAACCACTGACATTTTGACGTCCATATATGATCCTCTGATTTTTGCCATAACCAATTTTTCTTATCATTCTACCCCTTGACAGTCCAGGGCCCATATGTGGCCAGAAGAAGCAAGTGGCCATATATGGCCACCGCAAAAAAATAATACTAAATTTAATTTGATTCGCCTGAAATTTGTTACTCGGTGGTTTTCGGGGTCGCTAAATTTGAATATGAGGTCGGTTTTTCAAAATTCAAAATGGCGGATCCAATATGGCGGACAAATTTTTAAAAAATCAATCTGATTTGCCTGAAATTTGTTACTTGAAGGTTTTTGGGGTCGCTGAATTCGAATTTGTGGTCAGTTTTTCAAAATTCAAAATGGCGGATCCAATATGGCGGACAAATATGGCAGACAATTTGAAAATTGATGTGTTTCCACCGAAAATCGTTTTTTAGAGATTTTTGGAGTCGCTGAATTTGAATTTGATGTTAGTTTTTCAAAATTCAGTAAGGAAAATCCAAAATGGCGACTAAAATTTTAGAAATAAATAAAAATCTGACGCTAGACTCCAAAAATGCAAGTAACAAATTTCAGGCAAATCGGATCAATTTTTTTAAAATTTGTCCGCCATATTGGATCCGCCATTTTGAATTTTAAAAAAACGACCCCAAAAACCCCCAAGTAACAAATTTCAGGCAAATCGGTTTGATTTTTTAAAAATTTGTCCGCCATATTGGATCCGCCATTTTGAATTTTGAAAAACTGACCTCAAATTCGAATTCAGCGACCACAAAAACCTTAAAGGCCTAAGCAGAATAGCTTCGCGAAAGACGTTCGCGAACGTGAAACATGAGTTAGAAAAGGACAGAGATATATTCGTATCCTTTTCTATCTCATGCATCTCGTTCGCGAACGACTTTTGCGAATCTATTGTGCGTTGGCCTTTAATATGATGAAGTCATATTTTTTTGGAAACTTTTTTTTCGGACCGTTTTAGGCTCACCAGCGATTTTTAACTGGACTGCGAAGGGGTTAAATTAAAGTCTTAAAATAAAATAGAAAAAAAGTTTTTATTTAAAAATTGTTTATTTTGGGAGATACCAAACGACTAGACTGACAATATAATACTTAGAATATAGGTTATGTTATTATGCACGTGGCCCGGTGTTCACTCTTATTTGTGAAACCAACTTAGAAATAAAACCGATATAAAAACATTTCAATAATTAAAAATTTTGTTTTACAATTGTTAAAATAATTAATAATTACCTAAATTTTGTTTATATTTTTAATTTCTCTTTCAATAGTGTAAAGTAATGAATGATGTATTTTAATGAAGAATTTAAAATTGCCGCTCTTAAATCACGTGATCAAATGTAATAAACATCGTGTAGAAAACTTAGCACGTAATATACGTAGTATTATACACGTAGAAAACCACCACGTATTATACGTCATGTATTATACGTACCCATCACTGAATTATCCTGCGTGTTACATCTCCTCGCACTATGAACACACCTTAATATTACATTCTATATCGTCTGCTAAATTGTTTTCTGCTAGAAAATTGAGAAGGGTTCATCACATTTTTCCTAGATATTTTCGTCAGTTCAATTTGTCATTTAGTAATAGAACAAAGAGAATTAGTGTCAAGATGACTTTAATGCAAGGATTGGATCTTAAATCAATAAAGAAACATCCATCGGTGAGAAATAACAAAAATTGTTCGTCATTCTTATCTTGTAGTATAAAAATAACGATTTCTTTCTTTTTTTTTTTTTTTGTTAATCAGCTGATACCACTTTATGCGGTCTTACTTGCTGGATGTGCAACTTCAGTCCTTTATTTAGCAAGATTGGGTCTCAAAAATCCTGATGTCTCATGGAATCTTAAATCAAAACCAGAACCTTGGAATGATTATAAAGATCGCCGTTATAAGGTATATGTAATTTCAAAATATAGACTTAAGAAAATGACATTTTTTTCTAATAAAAATTTTTATTCTTTTGCAAAAAATTTTTTCCCAAAAAAATACATAAATTTGCAATAAAATTTGAATTTTCTTACAGCTTTTAAATCCAATTGGAGATAAAGAGACACCCCCAAGAATGAAATCAATATTTGATTTTTAAATTGTATGAAAAACTAGACACAATTGAATTTAGTCAGGTACAAAGAGTGTAATTTATTTTATTTTATAATGCACAATCACAGAATTCTCTTTTTTGAAAAAAATAAATCTGAAATCAAATTTAAATTGAATTCGGATTTTTTTTTTTTTGAAAAATAAAAGATGAATCTCAATTTACAGTGTGCTATTAAAATTATTAAATATAGGTTTAAAGAAAAAAAAACAATAGTTACCTGAGTCTTAAGTGATTCTCGATCAGTATTGGCCATGCTAGTTAAAGTGTACATTATAATAAAATAAATTTTGAGAATCCTAAATTTTAGTCATTTTCTTTTATACTTTTACCATAATTCCTATTTAAAAAAAATAAATAAATTTTCTTTTATCAAAATCAAAATTTACAGTTATTGAATATTTAATTAACGTTTCGAAAGTTTAAGGTTAAGTTTGAATTTTATACATATAGTGCACGCAGTTACATAAGATCGTTTCATCATTTCACACGTTCAAGATTGGATTTTTTTTATTATTTCTAATTACGCTATAGATAACATGTTTTTTTTAATATAGAACACAATATGTGTTAGAGAATTTGTATTATCGTCAAAATACAATTAATCTATGTATTTAAATTTTTTTTTTTAAATCGTTTTCGGTCTTTAAATTAACCTAAAAACCAATAATACAATATATTTTCTAATAAATATTTTCGATGTTTTAGAAATATAGTAATTTTTTTTCAAAACAAATTTAGAAAATAATTTTTATTTCACATACAAAATAATTGATTATTTTTTTCGAATTTCGTTATCATATCTTGATTAAAAATTTTCGAATTTCTTTTTCCTGATAATAATTTTTGTGAATTAATTTCGAAATATGGCATCAAATTGGGAAGAATTTTATGCAAAAAATTCGCCACCTTTGGATTTAGTAAAAAGTGAAGAAGAAATGAAAAATTTTATTCAACAACACAAGGATCAAAAAGTTGCTCTAGTGACGGTAATGTTAATTTTAATTTTTTAATATTTAAAAGTAATTTCAGGTAATTTTTTTTTTTTTTTTTTTTTTAATATGTATCTAATTATATTCAATTTTTTTTTCAAATTTAATTAATTTGAACAATTTTATTTGTAAATAGTTTGGATAAAAATAATGTGTATTTTTGAAAAGTACTTTCTAAATTTATATTTAAAAAACAAGTTGTAAATTCAGATGTTCATTACATGAACATTTTGCTTCCTGTTTACGATCAGCAAAAAAATTTGCTTCCTCGTGGAAAAAGCATAAACATTGAAATAAACATACAAAAATAATATAATAATATAAACATTTGAATATACATTTGAGTTAAATTTAAAGAATTAATGTAAGTTAAAAAATCAAAAATTCATATTTTAGCCGAAATTTCTGAATATTAATGAAAAATAATATATAATTTATCATTATTTACAATTATATCGATTCGTTTCAATGCAAGGAACACAATTATTTTATATTTAAACTTGAATTTAAATAAATATAAAATTTTTCAGTTAAAATGTGAATTTTCTATTTTTTAACTTTCATTAATTTATTAAATTTACCTCAAATGTGAATTTTATATATACCAATCAATTCGTTTTCATGTAAGGAATACAATTAGTTCATCTATAAACTTAAATTTAAATAATCACAAAATTTTATAGCCAAAATGTGAATTTTTGATTTTTTAACTTTCATTAATTCTTTAAATTAAAATTAAAACTATACTTTATATATACCGATCGATTTGTCTCGACGTAAGGAATACGATTTTATTATATATAACCTTAAATTTTTATATTTAAAAATTTTTTTGATTAAAAAAAATTTTTTGGAAAAATCACGATAAAATTTGTTTTTTTGAGTATTTTTTAAAATCCTTTGGTCAGATTTGAGATATTAATATGATAAATGAGCCTACCAAATTTTATCTAAATCCATTAAAACCTGTTAAAGTTATCTTCTAAACAAAAAGGGATCCACAAACACACATACATACATCCGGACAATTGATCAGGATATCATATAACATGTTTCTATATAGAGAAAAATTTGTTTCCGCCACTTTGAAAATTTTTATAAACGAAAGGACTACAAAGCTTCCTCCATGAGGTAGCAAAAAGAAATAAGGAAAATTGTTGTTTTATTTATATTTTAATTAACAGAGTGGAGGAACGACAGCTCCCTTGGAGCACAATACAGTGCGTTTTGTTGATAATTTTAGCGCCGGAACAAGAGGATCAATTTCTGCGGAATATTTTTTAGAACATGGATATTCTGTTATTTTTTTGTACAGGTAATTTTTTCGTAAAAAAAATACCTTTTGGAATTATTGTGTGTATTTGTTTTTCTTTTTTTTTTATTTTATAATTATTTTTATTTCACATTATATTTTCAAGTACATTTAAATATCGTTACAAATATATTGGGGAAAAATATTAATTTTGATATTTAATGGAAAGAAAGATTTCAAATTATAAAAATGATAATAAATTAATTTAATATTAATATTGGAAAAAGGAATTTTAATTATAAAAATTAAAATTAATTAATTTTCTTTGATATGAAATTAGAAAAAAAACTTTAATTATAAAAATGAAAATTAATTAATTTTGATATTAATTGAAAAAAAAACTTATAACTATAAACAATACAATATGTTACAGACTTAAATCTCTGGAGCCTTATTCACGTCATTTTTCAAATCAATCATTTCTGGATATGCTTGATTTAGATATAGAGAATGATAAGCCAATAGTTAAAGGTGAAACATTTTTTATTTTAATTGGAATTCAATTTTTAAATAATACTTTCCTGATCTATTTTTAGAAAATTTTTTATAATTTATGAAAATCTTATTTTAAAAATTACATATATAAATAATTAAAAAGAAAATATTAAATTTCAATATTGATTAAATATCTTATTCAGATGTAATATTTTTATAATTTCATTATAATATTAAAATAATAATAATAATAATAATAATAATAATAATAATAAAAGGAAGACAAAATATTGTCTTTTGTAATTATTCATAATACATTGTCAACTTTACTGACATTAATTGATAACTTTTAATTATAATTTTCTGCAAAGTTTATAAATTTAAAAAAAAAATTTGTCTTTCCATATTTTTTTAATTCGAAATGCTGAAAATTATGTTTTCGATTTTTTTAACAATGGAAAATGAAAATAAACAATATTCTGTTTAATAAAGAAAATACAATTTAGTAAAAAAAACATCTTTTTCTCAATTTACTCAATGAGTATAATATTTAATTTAAAAATATTTTTAAAAAAAAGTTACCAATGAATTTGAATAAAAGTTTAATTTAATGCATCCTAATATTAATAGTATTAATTTTAATAATACATTTTTTATTTTAATGCATAAATTGAAAAAAAAATTAATTTATTTCAAATAATCTTGACTATTATCAAATAAATATTTATTTGTATCAAATAATATTATTCTTTGAGTTAATTAAATTATATTTTCTCCAAATACAGAAATTATTGGTTTAAATACAGTTTATTTAATTCAAATAAAATTCATGTTGTTCAAGTAAATATTTTTTTAATAATAGTCAAGTAACCAATTAGTTGAATCAAATTAATTTTTTTTTTCAGTGTATATGAAAAAGAAGTTTTTTGCTAAAAAAATATATATTAATTATTATTTTTTTTTTTTTTAATACAGTTTCTTCAGAATATACGGAAAAAGTATCAACAGTTTTATGTAAATACAAGGAAGTATTGAAACAAAAAAAATTACTTCAAATAAATTTCACAACTTTAGTCGATTATCTTTGGTTATTGCGATCTGCATGTCAGGCACTTGCACCATTAAAAGAAAAAGCAATTCTCTATTTAGCCGCCGCTGCCTCAGATTTTTACATTCCACCAAGTGAAATGGTAAATTATTACAAGTATTTCTTTCATTTTTTTTGAAAAGTGGAAAATTTTTTCACTTTTCTATATTCAAAATAGCAAATAAAAAATAAAAACTACAAGTTACACAGTTTTGCCAAATTTGAAGATTTATACAAATTATTGTTATAAAAATTTTTGTGTGCGATTTTACAAATTTTTCTATTAATCTACAAAATTAATTTTTCTATTCCTTGGCTTTATTATTTTAAATTAACATCGCTTTCGATAAATATATCTCTCTTTTTGAAATTATGTAATTTTTTATAAATATAAATATAATTTATTTAAACAAATAGAAATTAATCTAATTTCCCCCTCGATTTTTCAAAAATTTTAAAATTCCTAAATATTTAATTATATAATAAATTTAATATTTAAATTGTTAATAAATATTTACAGGCTGTGCACAAAATTCCGTCCAGTGGTCCACCAAAAATTGCATTGCAATTGGTACCAAAAATTTTGAAACCATTAGTTAATCTTTGGGTGCCTGATGCTTTTGTGATATCGTTTAAACTTGAAACTGATGAGAATCTACTCATTTCTAAAGCGAGAGATGCTCTTAATAATTATCAACATAAAGTAAGTATTAAATTCAAAAAACAAAAAGAAAAAAAAAAAATTGTCAATTTTTCCTCTTTTTTTTCCAGTACGTTGTGGCAAATATGCTTCAAACACGAAAAGAACGTGTTATAATTGTCAGCAAAGAGGACGATTATGAGATAATAATGAAAAAATCAGAAATTTCCCAAGGCATGGAAATTGAGGAGAAAATTATTGCTGATCTTGTTGAGAAACACGATAAATTTATTTTTAACGCTGAAAAATCTAGATAAAGATTTTTTTTAAAAACCATTATTATAATTAAATTATACAACAAATTATATTTTTTTAAAAAAAAATTTTTACTACTTCAGTATATTATACAAGAATTATCAAAAGAAACACTTTTAAGGCCATAAAATATTTTCGATGAAAATGTATACAATTTTTGTATTTTATCGAAAAGAAAAGTGTTTTTTTTTTTAGTTAGAAATAAATATATTAGGAAAATATTTTATATTTTGGTGGAGGGAAGTTATTATTTTGTTTTGCGGAACTGGTTTCTGTTAGAATATTTAAATTTTTATAAATAAATTAAAAAAATTTTTTATTATTAATGTATTTTAGTAGATTTTTATAAATATTATATACAAGCGAATCTCATATTAGGTTATGGTATTTATATATTTTGTTGAAATAAATATAAATTTATATTGTTTCAATTATTTCAATAAATCAAATTTAATGTTGTAAAATTTTCATTCTCATTTAAATCTATGATAATAAAACAAATATTTTTACATCAATTTTTAAATATTTTTTTTTTCTTGGTAAAAATACAATTAAAAAAAGTCCAAGAAGACATTACATATTACAGTAAAAATTACATATGTAATAAATTATAAAGTAAAAGTACTTAAAAAAAATTTTTACTTGTAAAAAAAAATAAAATTTTAAAAGTAGTAAATTTAATTGCACTTTGGTTTTCTTTTACTTATATAAAAGTGCTTGAAAACCGTTAGAAGATTTTTTTTTGTCATTTCATTTTTTTTTTTTTTTTCTATAAATGTATATATATAATATAATTGTGTACGTTAAATTAATTATGAGAATATTACATACGTACATTAATAAATTGAAGAAAATTGAAATTATGGAAAAAAAAACAGTTCTAAAATTTTTTTCTTCATTTATTTGCCGTTAAAGTGGCAATCATGCCATTTATTTTCTCGGCGATTCTTCGATCGGATGTTCCACAATAAGCCAAGACATAGGACAAAGCAGCGGTATCTTTTTGCTCAAAGGCAATTTGTGCTGCCTCCGATAACATACTGTAATATTATTTTTAAGTTTTAATTATATTCTAAAATTCCATTTTTTAATTCATTATTTAAAATCGATCATTTTTAATTCATTATTTTAAGGGAAGGTACCAGTGAAATTTTCCTTGTTTTAGAGTGTCAAAAAAAAAAAAAATTATTAATTTTTAGAAAAATATATTTTTGAGAATAAAAGATTTTTTTTTAGAAATTATTATTTCCTAAATTAAAAGATTTGAAAAAAATATACATAAATTTTAGAAATTAAAAGTTTTTAGGAAATTATATTTTAGAAATCAAGTATTTAGAAAATTTGGCTTGGAAAATATTTAATAATAATAATATTTATAATTAATACTCACTTTACTTTTGTTAAATATTTCACTTTCAAGTCATCTTTAACTCGAGGTAAATATTTTTTTGCCTCTATTTCGTTCTGGTATTTTAAGCATTCATCTATAAAAGGCTGAAAATAAAAAGAAAATTCTTATTCACCTTCTCAAAAGTAAGAAATATTTTTTTAATTTAATTTAATTGATACCAATATAAATAATTTCAAATTATTTTGTTAAAAATTTAACTTACATTTTGACTCTTTTTTTAAAACTATTATGTAGATACCTTATTTGTATTTAATTTTTTATATTATTTTTTAGAAAAAATTTTTATAAAATAAAAAAAAATTTACAAGAACTATTAATTATATTTGTTATTAAAAAAAAAGTTGACATAAATACATTAGTAGAAAAAATTACCTCATAACCAATTGGTGATTTTTTACTTTTTGAAAATTTCTCCAACTCAATCCAAATTCCTTTTTTGGCTAAACTCTGAATTCTTAACCACCAATATCTATAAAATAAAATATTTATTATAAACAATTTTTTTGTTTTCCATTTTTCTAATTAGATAAAATACGTTACTTTAATAATTTATTAGTTTAAAAATTATTTATTCATGCAAAGAGGTAGTGCATTTAAAGATTTAGTTATGATTTAATTAATATATTTAATAATTAATAAATTAATAATTGAACTCGAATTAAATTTATAATTTTTTAAATTGCTAAGAAATTTTTAATTAAATTAATATTAAACAAATTTATTGATGAATTTAACATTTAAATACCTTCGATCTGGAATTTTATACTCGGATCTTAATTTATCAGCGAGTTTAATTTCATTTTGAAGAAGTAAAATTTCAACAGTCTCATGAAGGGGTTTTCCAACAATTGATTCGTGTAAAGTTTCCTCTAATGAACGTTGATAACGTAAAAGTTTAATTTGTTCTTCCGTTAGCGTTGCATTTGTTTCATTGCGAGCTAATTTAAAATTCTCTTGAGCAGATTGTAACATTGCATCTCTCGAAGCAGTGTTCTGAATAAAAAAAAATACAATTATTATTACAATTTTTTCTTCAATTTTTCCTCAGTGAATTTTAATTACATCCATCTATTTCAATAAAACTTATTCGTTTCCCTTTTCCAAGCGGAAGCTTTTTAAAATCACTTTCTCTAAATCTTAAAAATTAATTAAATTTTTTATCTAATTAGTTTTATTTAGTTTTTCTCTTTGAAAATTTTTAGTAGAACTTACGCATAATTATGATTGTGAAAGAAATAAAAAATTCGTATTTTTTTTTTTTTGAAATCATTATTGAAAAGTAAAATATATTTTATATATATTTATAAAAAAAATGTACCTTTGGTCTATAACTCTCTTTAACGAACCAGAGAGCGTGTGAATGATAATCATCATACTGATTATAAATATCTCTTAAGGTTTCTCGATTGTGACTCTGACAATATTTTATATACAAAGCCATAGCAAGAGGACAATGCATAATAGACATCTGAAAATGTGAAATTTATAAATATTGATTTCGATAATAATTTAAAATACTTAAATTATTATATTATTATATTATAAAAACTAAAGTTTTAATTATTTATTAATTTATGTATAAATATTAAACTTACAGTAAATTTAAATATTCAAAACTATTTTTTAAAGATGGTTATTATTATTATTATCATTATTATTATTATTATTTTATTATTTATTTATAGTCCATACCTTTCAGTTTCGGACGAACTTCCGATTTACACATTTTCGTATTACATAACTAAACTAAATTTCACACAATTAAAATTAAAATTAAACCAAATTAGATTAAATTGAATTAAATTAAAGATGTTTATTTATATATATTGTATTAATTTAGGATATAAATATTAACATAAAATAATTATTAATAATATTTACACATAGTATTTTTAAATTAATCCATTATATCAATAGTATTATATTTTAATTCAATATAATATAATTGTAACAATAATACGAATTAAAGTATCATAAAATTATAAATCCTAAATAGAATTTAATTTTTGTTATATTTAAATTTTAATCAATTTAATTAATTAATATTATTAAATGTACACAAAAAAAGGAAACTAAAAAAAAATCGAAAATTATGAACTAGAAATAAATATGAAAAATAATATAAATCCTCAATAAGTAAATTATTAAAATAAAAAATTTTTCTTAATTAACGTTAAAATATTAAAATATTAAATTATTAAATTTTTTTAAAATACCTGAAAATCCCTCAAAGGCATGTGTTCTCTGAGATGAAGAATAACCGTATAAACTAAATCAGTATTTCCACTTTCCACGGCTTTATTAAGAGCAGCTTTTTCCTCGCCAAGTCGAAGTAATAATGGAACTTGAAGTTGAGCTCTTGGCTCATAATCTATTAACTGAGAAAAAAAATTTATTTATTACATTCAAAATTTTTGTGTTTTTTTTTCTTTCTTTCTTTTCTTTTTTTTTTTTTTTTGAAGAAATAAAATTGAAAATTTATACTATTTTTATTTTTAAGCTTGCTGAAAAGAAAATTGTAAAACTTTGTAAAAATACATATAATAGAGAAATAAAAAATAATCAAAAAAACAAATTAATTAACTGAAAATTTGTTGTCAACTTACTTTGATAGCTAATTGTTTTCTTCCACAGTCAGCTGCTCTTAATGCAATTTCACTATAGGAAACTCCTGGTGCATAACCTAATTTATCGGCTATTTCTTCTGCAATTTGTTCTTTATCTAGTTGAGTTTGTCTCACCTGATTTCAAAATAAAAAAAAAACAGATAATTAATAATTTAAATATTTTTTAAAGAGAGTAACATTTTTTTTTAATTATTTAATTAATATTGTGAAATTATTACCTTGTAACAAGCCCATTGAGCCAAAATTCGACTTTCTCCATCTACCTCCGACAAACGAAGATGTCGAGCAATTTGAATACTTAAATAATAATGTCTTCTTGCAACAAGTCTGTCCAATAATACCTGACTCGTCAATGCATTTAATCTGTGCTTGTTAAGACGAAATTTTTATTAAAAATTTCATATTTTGATTAAAACAAATTTTTTTAAAAATATATTTAAAGTATTTGAAAGAATTTTGAATATAAACAATAATAAAATAATAAATATTAGTATATGTAAATAATTATGTACAATTACATTAATTAAAAATGTAAAAAAAATAATTAAAGGCTATTAAAATGTTCAATAATTAAAAAGGATACTGTGTATACGTCAAGGGAATTCCAATATTAGGATGACGAACAGCATTTAAAATTCTCAAAACTCGACACATGTTCACATAATGCTCTGGATTTATAGTCTTACTAAATCCTTTTCCATATTTTGCAGCCTAATTGAAAGAAATTTTTTTAACTTATGTTCAATGATAAATAAAATTTAAAAAAAAAAACACTAAAATTATATTTCCTTTACACATTAAAAGAAAAATATTTCAAAATTATAAAATTTTTCTAACTATATTAAATATAATGAAATAAATAAATATATATGTTAAAAATGATAATAAAGAATAAATAAAAAAATAAAATTTAACTCACTCGCATAAGAAGTTTTTGTGTATCAAAATTAAATTCATGACTCGCTGCATCAACACAATCAATCACTGCTGCGTCAAGTTTCTCTTTAACTAAATCCATATAACTATCGGCTTTATGACTTTTTTTTTGAAATTGTTTTGATGCCTCTAATAAATATGATGCAGCGTCCGTTGAATTAATGCGAAATATTTTTTGCACAACATTGGGAACTTTTTGTATCATTTCATGTGAAAAACTTGAAATAATTCGTACGCCATCGATTTCCGTTACAAGATGAACGGGACCATCGTAATTAAAAATCATTGTTTCGCCTGATTTTCCAATAACCATTACAGTTGAATCCCAATTACAAACAACGGCTTCCGTTCCACACCTGGTGTAATTTTTTTGAAGAAGGAGAAAAATAAATTAATTTCTTTCTTCAATTTAAAAAAAAATTTATTATAAGAAAAATGATTATTTAAAAAATATATATATTTTTTTAGTGAACTTTTCCTTATCTTTTTTGAATAAATTATGAACAAAAATTTTGATTCAAAAGCAAAATTGAAAGATTTTTCTATCTCAGTGAATTTTGAAATTATATTTTGCTTTTTCGTGAAAGAAAAAAAAAATGATATAATAAATATAATAAACAAACCAAGCAATATCTGTTAATTGTTCCTTCATATTTGTTGCACACTCGCAATATTTGTCTTTGAAGTCAGATGAACCGAGATATAAATATCCCGTGTCGGAATATAATGCAATATGTCTATTATTACCGGAAGCAACAATTGCCACTATACTTGATATCTTATTGTTAAATAGTTTACTCTGAAAAATTAGAAAAGAAAATTTTCTTTAAATGCAAATTTTACAGACATTTATATAACTATATATTATTTTTTAATAATTTATATAATTATAATTTTCGTTTCATTTCATTTATTTATTAACGGGACATAAATAAATTAATAGAAGATTATTAAAAAAAAATTAAAACTAATATTTAATTAAGTAAATTAATAAAAAAAGTTAGATATAATAGTAATTACTATAAATAATTAGAAAATATTTGAAGAAAATTGAAATAAAAAAAAAATGCAATTAAAATTATAATATTATTATTAAATTTATAATCATAATTATATTATTATACATACAAAAGCTGTTGTAACGAAAGTTTGATTTTGATGAATCTCCTGAATTCCTTCTTGATTTGAAATAATAACTTGACTATCTCTATCCTTACGAATAATGCACCATTCGATTGGTCCTCCGAGTTCTTAAAAAATAAAAATAATTAAACAAAATTTAAGTGTTAAAAATAGAAGTTAAAATTGTAATTAATTTGTTTCCACATTTTTTATTTACTTTGTGAATCGTTAAATTATTCATTTCTTTATCAAAAATTTAAAAGCATAATTCATCAATTAATTATATTATTAATATTATATATTAATTTCATTTTAAATAATTAAATTAATAAATATTATTAATAATTATTAAATTAATTAATAAACAATATAGATAATTTAGAAAAAAATATATATATATATATATATATAATATTGACCATTAACTTACTGGGAATTTCTAACTGTCGAACTTTTGGTTCACTAACATTGTTCACCAAAAAAATACGACTTGTAGACGTTAAAATAGCAAGTCCAGTGCCATTGACGCTAACAAAAAATTTTGCATCAATAACTTTTGTCTGCTTCGCTTCCTGAGAATAAAAAAAAATATTATTTTCACAAATAAAATCGAGATATTAGGAATTATTATTATTATTATCATATAATTTTGTTATTAATTTTGAAAACTTACATTTCCCATGCTAAATGCATGTTGATAATTGCCAAACATATCGTAAATAAGAACCATTCCATCTTCCTGAATGCAAAGTAATTCTTCTTGATGTGACCAGCCTAAAGTTACTAATTGTCCACTCGTCCACTGGTTAAAAAAAAGTGCCATTAAAATATTCTTTAATTATTAGTACTCTGAATTTTTTTTAAACCTCTGTACAATTATGTCGTCCCTCTGATTGTATTTTGTTAATTTTAATAAATAAATTTCAAAAATTATAATTGAGGTATGATATTCACATAATATCGAAGTATTTTCGTAAATGTTTTATTTAGAAAAAATTATATTTCACAGTAAACTAAATTTTAGAAAATATTTAATAAAAAATTTTTTTTTTATTTTAATTTTCGAAGAATTTTGTTAAACTTGTTAAAAATAAATAAATTGGCGATTAATTTTAATAAAAATTTTTTTAAATTATTACATTTTAGAAAATTAGCAGTTAATTTTTTTTCACAGCAATAAAATTTCAAACGATTTTCCCTTGAAAATTTTAATAATAAAATAAATGAAAAACTTTATACAAATTTCTAAAAAAAAAAAAAAAAAAAATTTAATTTAGACTTTTGAAAATTATTTGATATTTCAAAAAGATGTAATTAAAGTTTTTAATATATATTAGGTAATTTTATTTTAATTTATTTGTAACAAACAGAAAAAGAAATTAAATAAGCCCTTTTGTACGCACAGTACTAATATAATAAATCATTAAAACTAAAAAATTCAGAAAAGAACAAAAACAATTTTAAAAAATAGAATAATACTTTCATTTTTTTTTATAAACATAAAAAAATTCTCTTGAAATTAAAATTATATAAAAATTTGTAACTAAAAATTATTCAAAAAGAAATGTTTTGATTTTTGAAACGTCAATAATTTCATTATAATTCAAAGTAAAATTTCTCAAATTAATCAATTGATACGTTTTTAAAAATTTTATTTATAATTTTAATTTCACAATAAAAAAAAATGTTTTTAATATTAAATTCTTTAAAACCTTTTTTTTTTTGCATTTTTTTGTTCAAATTAATAAAATTAAATTCTACTCAACCATTTTTTGAATAGAATATAAATATACATATTTCTTAATAAAAAAAAAATGAATCGTAAAATTGAAAAAAAACTTATGTTTAAAAAAGAAAGAAAAAATAAAAATTACTTGTAATTTTGCCATAATCCTTCCAGAGGATGAATAAAATAATATTATCGGTTTTCCGGTTCCTTGAACTTTAACAAATTTTTTCGGATTTCTTGTTATTGCTATGGACCCTCCATAAGGTGCTGCTACTACTAAATGATTGGCATTTGCCTCATTATAAAAAGACAATGGATAAAGTTCGAATTTCCTGTAAATTATGAGAAAAATTAAACGAAATTTTAAAAAAAAATTATTTATAAACAATATTTAAAATTTGATTAAATAAACTAGAAAAATTCCGTATAAAAATATCAAAAGAAATGTAAAAACTATTTTTTTTCCAATAGAATAAAAAGTACATTAAAAAATAATAATTATTTACCAAAATAATAAAATATTATATTATAATATAAAATAATATTTATATTAACAATAATTAGTAGTATTGAAATAAATTTATTATATATTAAAAAAAAAACATAATGATTGAAACGTCAAAGTGATTTTTCTCAATTTTCATTAAATATAAAATACCTGAAATATATATCACATCCCAGTGAGAACCAATCGGCTGTTAACATAACCGACATGATTAATAATTATATTAAATAAACTAATTTTACTTTATAAACATTTATTTTTACTTATTTGACATTTTCTATAAAGAACTGTCATTTTTTAGGTTATGTGTACAATTTTGACATTTTTGTTTTTCTTTCGTTTTGACGTTTGTCAACACTGCGTTTGGTAGCACTGCGCTAGAACCGCCAATATTTAAATAATTTTAATTTACACCACACTTTGGACTTCCCCTGTTTTTCTCTATGTTTGACCTTGACGAAAGATAGGCATGATCTAAACCTAAAGAAAGAGAGTCAGTCGCTACTAGTTTATTTTTGGACGTGGGCCAAGGAAAACGTGGGCATTGTTTTATTGTTGTGTTTTTAAATTGCTTTTCATTTATATATTTTTCTCTTTATCTTTTGAAAGTAATAATATAGTGATTACTGTTAAAATACATAAGTTATAAATTATTCCAACGTATCAACTTTGTTTTATTAGAAGAAAAATTAAAAAAAAATATATATATCCGATATGGCTGAAGGAAATCGAGGTTAACTTTTTAGATAATTTTACTAAATTATTTAAAGCTTATATTCGTAATTTTTAAGATTTTTAGGTTTTAAAAATTAAATAGATTATATATACAGGGTGTTCCAAAAGTATGGAAACTTGCAAATATTTGGAAAAGTACGCATTTTCGTGATACTTCTTTTTTCACTGTTGGGTCCCGGGACCAATTTTTTGGGTTCAAAAATGTAGATCTTATTTTTGTGAATTTTTTTGAATATTTTTCACGAAAATGCGTACATTTCAAGATATTTGCAAGTTTCCATTCTTTTGGAACACCCTGTACACTGTAAAAAAGGTTTTAATTTTACTATTAAAATAGTAGAATCACAAGATTCTGTAACAAATTTTGTTATACAGAATTATGTGATTTTACTGCACTCAGTTTGACAATATTAATGATTTTGAGGTTAGAAATACAAGATTTTAAATGTCGATTGTAAAATTCCAGTTCCAATGTAAATTTGCCCTACTGTATCATGGTTTTTTTCCTCGCATACACTGTATGTAATTTTATGGACGAGTGTAAAGTTACATTTTTTTGTTAATTTACATTTTGAAAATGTGAATATCATGAATTTTGTAAAATTTCTAAATAAAAAGTAAAAAAGCAATTTTTTCATTGTAAAATCACATATATTGATAGAAAAATACATCGACAATATTAAATTTTCTTTAAATTTAAAAATTTGTTTACTTTTGCATTTTTTTGCCTAATTTCGTTTACTAAACAACTATTTTAATAATCTGTTATAATTTTAAATTAATTTCGTTTCGTGTATGTCGTCTTGTTACGAAATTTTTCGACTTATTTCAGTAAAATGCGACTTTTTCGACTTGTTTTTATAAAATTTTTAAATTATTTAAATACTTTTAGTATACAGTATTCAAATCTATTTTATTTCAATTATATCTAACAAATTTTCAAATAAAATTAATTCATCATTTTCAATAATTTTAATAAAATTCTTCACAAATTCAATTATCTTAAATTGTTTTTCAATTAAAATTTTTATAAAATTTAATAATTGTTTAATAATTTTCAAAAAAGTAGCAAATGAAATTATCAAAAAAAAAATTTAATTTTAAATCACTTAAAATTTAATTATTTTGCAAAAATTTCAATTTTTCTTAATTATTTTTATAATATTCTTCAAAAATTCAATTATCCGAATGCATTTTTCAATTAAAAACTTTTGAAATTATGTATTGTATTTTTGTCTGCAATTTCTAATAAATTTCTCAGTGAAATCATCAAAAAAATTTTTAATTAAAATTCAGTTTTAGTTCAATTAATTTCAAAAATAAAAATTAAAAATTTTAAATCAATAAAAATTCAATTATATACTTACTTTTAAAAAATGTTATCTAAAATTATTTGATAAATTATTTTTAGTTCTGTAAAATTTAATTATTGTCTGAAAATTAACAAAATCCTCGACAAAATCTTTTGAAATTCAAAAATTATTAAAAATTTAAACTTTAAATCTTCCAAAAATTTGGTATGATTTTTAAGTCTGTTTTTTTTTAAATGCGAGACAAAATACTAAAATAAAAAATAAATAAAATAAAAAAATTTCAATTGGTTCAACTATTATACATCTAATACAAATTTTTTTCAAGTTTTTTCATCCCTTAATACAGTAATATACATAAGGAAACTGTTTTCTTAAAACTTTCTTAGAAACTATGCTGTCCCCATTTACACCAAATTTTATGAAATTTTCTAAATCTTGGGGTAAATGGGGACAGTCAATTTCATGCATTTAAAGCTTATCTAAATTTTTTTCTGTTGCATAAAATTAATCCTGGGAACGTAAATAACAACTTTAAAAAAAAATAAACCCGCAAATATTACCTTTTAAAGGAAGAAAATTACGTAATTTGTGAAAAATAGCGATTTTGTCCACATCTACTCCAACTGACCCTATTTAAAAAAAAAAAAAAAATTTTTATTTAAAAATGTGTAAAACTTGATTAAGTATTTTTTGAAATTTTTTTTGGACAATGAAAACTAAAAAGTATGACAAAATTTTTAATTCAAATAAATTGCTTAAATCAGATTTGAAAAAATTATAAAAATGGAAATTTAAGAATTTTTTTGAGAAATTTGTCATACTTAAATAAAAATTTTGAAAATTTGTCTTACAATTAGTTCAATTCTGAAATATTCGAAATAAATTTTCTTGATAATATTTTTATAGAATTATTCTCATTGGAAAAGTAATAAAATGAATTTAATATCAAATAACATTAAAAAATAATATTAAAGTCAAAATTGATCAGGAAATCCAACAATGATGGTGTAAAATTGATAAATCCTCTTATTGTAAGGATTATGGGAAATGGAAAACTAAAATAGGGAGGGAAGATTACTGGGAAATGAAAGAATTGAGTTATAAGGACAAAGAACAATGGGCTCGTATTAGATGTGATAATGTAGGGAGGGCAGGGAATAAGGATTTCAAAGACGTAAGTTGCAGACTCTGTGCGGGTATGTAACAGAAAACGTTGAACATATTTGAACGTGCAAAAAAGCTAAAGAAATAATTGATAAAAAATGGGTGAAAGAAGTGGATAAGTGGACCAATTCCGGAGGAAATCTCTTGCAGAAAATATGGACAACAATGTGTGATAGGCCGAACCTCGCTCTCTGCAGATACACAAGGGCTTTCGAGGAATTAACTCGAATTAAAAGTTAAAATTTTGTAAATTTAGTTTTAAATATTTATTAACCACAATTAAATTTTTTTTTTAAATTGAATTTTTCAAAAGATATGAAAAAAAAATGATTTGCTCCATTGTCACTCTACATTAAAAATAGAACTGCCATTTTATACAAAAAAAAAAATAACATTTATTATTTTCATTTATTTATTTTTGCCATTAAAATTAAAATAGAAATAAGTAATATATTTTTTTTTTAGAAACAAGGCTCCGTAAACTGCAATGTCCTTTTACGTGGAAAAATATAAGTGAAAATGATTTAAATTCAGTTAAACAAGATTTGCATCATGATGAAGCATTTGTACCACTAATGTCCTTAACTCGATATTTAATAATCAGTTATGCACAGTTTTTAAAACAGGATTATAAATTAGCTGACGAAAAAATTGAAGAAGCAAATAAACTGATTTCTCAGTTTAGCAAGTAACTATTATTCAAAAATTATTATTTTTAACAATATACAAAAAAAAAATTCTAATGAATTAATTCTTCATTAAAAAGATTCGTACATATGGTTTTCCATGTGAGATTTTCAATAAAAAAAATTTTTTTTAACTTGAACATTTTTTTACAAAATTTTTATGAAAAATAAGTAAATAGGGTATTTTTCATTTTTTTTTTTGATTTGATAAAAATTATGGAAGTTATAATTTTGAAAATTAAATTTCGTTAGAAGCATTAATTTTGAATTAATAATCATAAGAAATTTATATAATATATATAATTTCTTACTTTTTTTCTCTACGTGTAACACTTTGGAAAAATTGTAATTTTTATAGAAAATAAATTACGTCACTGATGAAAAAAAAAAAATAGAATTAATTACTATTTTTAATTTAACTTTTTGAAGAGAAAATTTAATTTAATTTATTTAATTGATTAAGATTTGATTAAGCAATTTTTCAAATTTAAAATTGTTTTTATTTTTAGTTCGGAAAAAGAAGTCGTTGAGCATATTTTAGAAGCAACAAAAGCTCATTATTTAATGATAAAAGAAAATACCGATGAAGTTGATGAGATATTAAAAAAAATCAACAATATTGATGATGAAAAATATTTAAGTACATTAAATGTATTTAAAGCAGCATTATGGACACATTGCAATGATTTTATAAATACAACAGAAATTGCCATTGAATTTGCTAAACTTTCATTGAAATACAATCCCGAATATGCAATATCACATTATTTTCTTGCTAAAAATTTGAGAACATTAAGAAGATTAAAATCATGTCACACTTCTCCTGACGATGAAGAGATGTTACATTTTGAAACAGCTTATAAACTTGATAAAAATCCTCAATATGGTCTTTTTCTTGGTCAAGCTTACAAAGAAAAAAGGATAGAATACCAAAAGAAAATGATGAAAGACGAAGAGATAATGATGAAAAAAAAAGCAAAAAATATTTTAACTGAAATTCACAAAATGAATATTAAATGTCCCTCTATTAATTTGCGCTTAGCTTTATATTTTGAGCAAAATTTTTTATTAAATGAGGCAAAAGAATGTTTAGATTATGTTGAATCAGTAACACCAGATGATTCAATGTTTCTTCATTATAAAGGACTTTATTTTATGAAAATGAAAAATTATGAGGTAAAATTTATATTTTATTTAATTTTCCATTAATTTTTAATTTAAACAGAGTTTGCATCTAAAAAATTATTGTCTTACATTTTTATATAATTGTAGGCCCTTGGATTGACTTTTGAAAGAAAGAAAAAAAAATTCATTTTTAGTCGATTTAAAATTACAAGAAAAGTACATTTTTTTATTTGCAATAAATAAATTGGTTTGAAATATTTTTTAAAAACTTTAGACAATAATTGATAATTAATTTCTTTAATAATAGGAGGCAGCTGAATATTTAAAAAAAACATATGATTTGAATAATTATGGTGCTGATATTGGATATGCACAATGTATGCGAATACTAAGGAAACGTTTTGATTTTGTTGAATATTTTTTAAAGATGATAGAGAAATATGAAAATATTGAAAAATGTAAACAAAAAGAAATGCATTTACATGTGGCTTTTACATATTTTAATATTAAAAGAGACATTCGTGAAGCAATTAAATATTTTTTACAAGCATTTGAAATTGAAACTTTTGAATTTAATATGGAAGTATGTAAAATTTTCAAGAAATATTTATTAAAATTATTTATTATCTTAAATGATATTATAAATAAAATAAATTAATTATTTTAATTTCTTGTTTTTTTTTTTGCAGAAATACTTTTATCCTTTGGAGGATGTTAAAGCGAATAATAAACATACATTTGGTATAAATGTCTATAAATTTCTTGAGGACAATATATTTCCAAAAATTACTGACTACATGAAAAATAATACAATAAAAATTCCTGAGGATGTCATTGCAGCAAATGAAAAATTGAAAAAAATATGTGAAGAATATCATCAACATAATAGACATAATTTATAATTTGAATATTTTTTTTTTTTTTTTTTGAAGAGAGTTTGTAACTTTTTTAACATTTTATAAATATATAATTAATTCTATTTTTTAATTGTACTTCACGTGCAAGACTTGAATTTTACAATAAAAAAAGTATGTACTAAAATTTAATCGCAATTCTATATAATTTTTTCTGAACGTATAATCGAAAAAAAATCAGAAAGGTCGTCTTCGTACTAAAAAAAAAGGTTTCCTTTGTTATAGAAGATTAAAAAGTTGCTGGAAATAAAAATAGAAATATGAGTAATACGTGAGCTGATAAAAGAACATAAAAATCTTTCGACAATTTAAAAATTGAAGACGAAGTTTTTTAAATTACTCAATAAAAGAGAAGTAAAGTATTTATTTAAAAAAAAAAATTATAGTTTCATGATAAATTTGAGAAGATAAGATATAATAAAATAAAAGATCATTAATTGTGAGCGAAAATATTGCTATTAGTAATTTAGAGAATCTCTCGACAATTTAAAAAGTGAAGACCTCTCGGTGAAGACGCAGTTCTCCAAAATATACATAATCAATATGAGCGGAAGTAAGTTTTTCATTTAAAACTAAAATCAAATTTATAGATATAAGAGTGATTTCACGTGAAATTATTTTTTCTTTTTTTTTTTTTTTTTAAGTGCCAAAACTTTTGAGTTATGAATTTTTAAAAATAATAATTGTAAATTTAATTTTGTTTGGTAAAAAAACTTATTTCTTGCATTAAAACTAATCGATTAATCTATTATAACGTTCATATTTTACTGAAATCTATAGATTAAATCATTTTTTTTTGAATTTTTGAAAAAAATCGTTTTTTGTATTTTAACTTTGGGCACGATTTTCATTATTATTTTTACACACCTTGAAATACTAAAAATATTTTGAAAAAACTTTTAGATTGGTCATCATGAATATGAGTCTTTTTGTTTAAATAATTTGTTCAAAAAAATTTTTTTCTCATTTTTCAAAATAAAATGCATTTTAGTTTATTTTCTATGAGAAAAATAAAAAAGATCCTAGTGGACAAAAAATTTTTTATTTCGAAAGCCCAAAGTTAAAAATAATTAATTTGTTTATAAAAAATCGTAATTCTTTTTTATCGTTAACATATTTTGACAAAATATGTCTACTAGTCCTGGAAGTCCTGGAAATGTCCTGGAATTTGAAAAAATGTCCTTGAAAGTCCTGGAATTTGAATTTTTGTCCTTGAATTTTTTATATTTTGCTTTTAAATTTTGCGAAAAATTTCTAATTTTGTCAATCAAGTTAAAAAAAAATTCATTAAATAAAGTAAAATGAAAATTTACTTAAGTAATTAATTAATTTTTTAATAATTTCTGAAAACAATAGTTCAACTAAAAATTTTTTTATTCCTTAAATTCATCCAATTTAATGTCCTGGAAAAATAAGAAATGAATGAAAAACTGAAACTTTTCTTCTCTTGTCAAAAATTAACTCTAGTTTCAAAAAACTTTTTTGAAAATCACTTTTTTCTGCAAAAAGAACCAAAAAAGAATATTTTATATATTTAAAGAATTTTCCTATCATTCAGATCATTATTATCGTCAAAAAGATGTTGATCGTCTTCAATGTCCCTTTAATTGGGATTTATCTGAATATGATATTAATAAAGTTACATGGAATTTAAAACAAAATGAAGAATTCCTTCCAGAAGTGAATTTTACTAGACTCCTAATGTCGGCTTATGTTGAAATATTAAAAAAAGAATATAGGTAATGAAGCAGATAAAAAACTCGAGGAAGCAGAAGCCGTAATAAAAGAAATAAAGAGGTTATTAATTATTATATATTTTTACTAAAATTATTATTGGCCATAAAAATTTATTTAGATCTTAAAAAAAATCAAATACTTTCTTTTTTTTAAATACAAAATACGCTATAAATTCATTTCACAAAAATATTTCCCTTTATATTAGTCAACAAAATTGTTAATTCTTTATAAACGAAAGATTTTCTATTGCATCAAAAATTTTAATTAAAATATAATTATCAATTTTTTTTTTTTTTTTTTTTAGTGATCGAAAACAAAAAGTGGCTCAACATATATTTTTGGGAACAAAAATTCATTTTTTGATAAGAAAAGAAAATTTCACAAAAATTGATGAGATTTTTAAAATCATCAATTGGATTGACGATGAAATTTACAAGAGCTCATTGAATGAATTTATTGCTTGTTTATGGACACAAACAAATTATTGTAAAAAAAACAGCAAATATTGCAATTAAATATGCTGAAATTGCCATAAAACATAATAAAAAAGCTGCAATTGCACATTACCTTTTAGGAAAAAATTTGCGTACTATTAGAAAATTAAATCCAAGATTTATTAAGCCGAGAAATGATGAATTAATGCATTTTAAAGAAGCTTATAAAATTGATGAAAATCCAAAATTTGCCGTTAATCTCGCTCAATGTTTGAAGGAAAGTAAAAATAATTCAGAAGCTATGATAATATTTGAGGAATTATATAAAAAAAATTGGAAAAGTGTCACAATACAATTAAGATTAGCTTTAGTTTTTATTAAAACTAATAAATTAGATAATGCAGAAAAATGTTTAGATTACGTTGAATCTGTAGCACCGGAAAAATCTATGTTTTTACACTATAAAGGATTGTATTTGATGAAAAAAAACAATATGAGGTATTTTTTTAAAAAAATAATTCAAAAACTTAATAATTAGTGAAAAAAAGTTAATAATAATGATTTATACATTAAATTTTTACAAAATAATTATTTAAACAAATTTTTATTTATATATAGGAAGCTTCGAAATACTTATTAAAAGCTACATCAGGAGAATTTAATTTTCCAGCGGAAATGAGTTACATAAAATGTATGAAAATATTTGACACAAAATTTGATTTTACATCACATTTACTTGAAATCAAAAAAAAATTTTCAGAAGCTGAAAATGAAAGAAAAACAGATATTTTACTTTATATTGGTTTTAGTTATTTTTACAATAATAAAAATTATCTGGAAGCTATGAAATATTTTTTATCAGCATTTAAAATCGAGGAAAATAAATTGTCACTAAAGGTAATGAGATATTTTATTGTATATTTTTGAAATTTTTTTGAAAATTAAATAATTTTGTTTTTTGTAATTTCTTAAATATTATATATTTGTTTACAAAAATTTGAATTTTTTGCTTCGAATTGAACCAAATTTTTTTCAATTTATTAAAATAATAATAATAATAATAATAATAATAATAATAATAATAATAATAATAATAATAATAATAATAATAATAGCTATAAAATGTAAATTTGATATTTAATGACTTTGCTTTCCTTTTATCGTTTTAGAATTTCTATTGTTTACTTGCTAAGACACCAACAACAGATGTGTATGATTTTGTAATAAAAGAATTATTACCAAAAATTAAAGTCAACTCGACGACAGGTACAAATAATCTTCCAACGAAAGAAATAATTGAAATGAAAGAAATGCTGAAAGAAATTTGTGAAGAATATCTCTAAATGTTTAAAAAAAACAACAATTAAGGAGCAATTTTTAAAAATAAATAATTAATTGCTGATTCGATTTAATAATATTCATAAATATTTTTTTTTTATAAATCTTCTATGGAAGATTGAAAAATAAAAATATATTATACAAATATTATTCAACAATTTTATTTTTTTTTTTTTATATATATTTTAGATGGATAAATGCATCAATTACGGTGCGTTTATAAAAAAACAACTATTATCACTATTATATTTAATATAAATGTTGCAAAATGATTTTAAAAAAATATTTTAATCTTTTTTTGATACAATCACTAATAAAGATGCACATTTAAAGAATTATTAATTTAATTATTTTTAGATAAAAATTTTTCCCTCGTCGTAATTGAAATATTTTTAAAATTTCCAATGGCTTCAATTCAAACGTAATTTTGGTCACCGTAATTGATACACCGAAACTGATACAAACGCGCCGTAATAGAAAATTACGTTATTAGTTTTAATTTCTCATATTTTTTTAAATAATCAATTTTTATAAAGTTAAAAATAATTTAATATCTAATTTAATTTAACATCTAAATAACATGTAATCTTATTTAGTTTAATAAGTCTTAAATTGACTTTATACAATAGAAATGTCGAATTTTCTATTTCAAAGATGTTTTAATCCTATATTCAAAGTTTCAAATAAAACATGATTTAATTTTAAAAAAAGCATTTATTATTTAATACTAATTAAAAAAGCATCATTTTAATAAATACTATTTATTCTCAATATTTTATTTTTCATACATATATATTATGCAAATCAAAGCGGATTCAAGTAAATTGTTTAAAAAATAACTCAAATAGAGCAATAAGTTCCAGAACATTCTTTATTAAAATGTTTTTAAATCGAAATAAAACTTTTTTCATTTTGCGATTAATTAAACTTAAAATTAATTTTTTCGATATATTTTTGAATTGGTTTTTTTTTAAATATTACAATAAGATCCTTTTATTATTGTCTAATTTTCATATTAATTAATCTACATGCATATTTTTTTTTTTTAATAATTTGAAAACTAATATTTCAAATTTATAATCACAAGTTTATGTATACACGCACAATAAAAATTATCAATTTACATTACAAAAAAAATGTACATAATGAACACAAATGTGCAACAATGTTAACACTTTTTTCTGACGTAGTGTAAACAATTAAATTTCAACAAAAATTTCAATATTTCAAATTTTCATATTTAAATATTTAAAAATGACAAACGACATTTAAAGCAAGTGAAAAAGAAAGCTGTAAATTATCGTTTCTGCAAAATTAGAAAAAATAATATATTTCTGGAGAATTTGTTAGATAATTAAATAAAATAAATAATAATATAAATAGTAACAACAACAAATAATAATAATAATAATTTTGATGTAAAACATTAATACATGTAGCATTAAGGAAATAAATTATCTATCTATCTATCTATCTATCTAATAATAATAATAATAAATAATAATAATAAGCAATAATTAAATAATCATAAATTCTACTTCTTAGATAAAATAAATAAAAACTAATAATAACAAAATAACAGAAAAATTTAATAATCTAAATTAATATTTGATATTGAAATATAATATAATTGAAAATAAAAATATAATACTATGTAATCATAAAATTAAAATTTCCAATTTTTTCTTTAATCAAAACAAAATATTTCTTTTTAAATTTCATTTGAGCATATGGTGGGAGTTTTTTTTTATAAAAATACTGTTTCACAATTTCTTTTGAAAAGAAATTCAAAAGAATTTGTTTTGAAAATCGATAGTAAATTTAGAATTAAGTAATTTAATTTTTATGTCCCATCAAAAAAAAAAAAAAAAGTTTTAAATGATCCACTTCTTGTAAATTGTATTTTAGAAACAATTTTTAAAGTTATAGAGAATTCCCTAACATTTTTAATTTTAACACTATATCAATTTTAATAGCATAAATATTTGATAGATATAAAATGAAAAATTGTAAAATATCAATACGAACAATAGTATTTTTCATTTTATATTTATTATTTACCAATAAGTGATAAATTATTACCTATATTAATATAATTAATACTTTTGGTAATTTACATAATACTTATTTATATTTTATTTTCTATTGATATTAAATTTTATATTCTTTTATATTTAAATATTATTTATAATATTTTTTATAAAGTAATTTATATTTTTGATGGGACGAAAAAAATTGAATTATTTATTTAAAAAATCACATTAATTACGTTCGTGGAATTTTGTCACGAAGATAAGAAAGTATATCTTCTGTTCCCTTAAGTAAAGTTGCTTGTCTCGGTTGTTTAAAACAATTTCCAGTAAGCGATAATGTTCTGAAATTTAAATATATATTTATTATTATTATTAGAAATTATTTTTCAATTATATTTTGACAAAAAAAAAAAAAATTTTCTGCCCCTGGAATAGTGAATTGAAAATTTCAACAAATTAAATTTAGAGCTTATTCACGAGTCTCTAAAATTTACAGTATTTTATTTAAATATAATAAATTATATTTCTGTATACAGGGATTTAAAAATAATATTTAAAAATTAAATTGAAAAGAACTATTTCAGAGGCAAAATTAATTTCGGAGAGTGCTATCAAATACAAAAATTAATTTTTTCACAATTAACTAAAAATTTTTATAACTTCAAAAAAAAGTATAGCGAAAGCAAAATTTAATTAAAATGACGAAAAATAAAAAATTATATTTAGGAAATAATTTGAAAAATAATTTTTAATTAAATTAATACCCTCTCATATATGATAATTAAAAAAAAAAAATTGAAATGTAGTGCAACAATTAAATTTCATTCTTACCTTATTTTTTTGTGTAATTATTGAATTATAAGATGATGATTATGATGATAATACGAAAATAAAATGGGAAATGTCGATGAAAAACGGCATCATAAATGTTCCAGTATAAATATTGAATTCTGAATATATTTTATGGGATATATCATGCGCACAAAATGCAATATACTTGGTAAAGCAAGTGGAAAAGTGAGCAATTTTATAATATGCAGTGTTTAATATATATGCACATTAAATACGTAACTCACTTATGTACATATACAAAAATGTATATATCTATTATACGAATATAAAAATATCTGCACGAAAAAAATTTCACTGATTCATGCAAATTTATACAGCTTTTCGTTTTGTTTTTTTTTTTTTTTCATATTATGAAATGAATAATACTATAGCTACAAAAAAAACAAAAATTTGTACAAAAAATTACGAAATAAATACATAAATTATTATACTTAAATAACATAAATTAAATTAATTAATTATTATAATTATAATTATTATAATAATAAATTAAAAATAAATTAAATTAAATAAAAAAAAAACATAAATCAATTCTAAAATTAATTAAAATTTAAATATAACAACAATTTATACAGGACATGATACAAATTTATTATTATTAAACAAATATGTATTTTAATAAAAAAAATTTAAATATTTTTAACATAAATTTAAATTCAATTTAGTATTTAAAAAATTCTATTATTTACAAATTTAATTAACTTCTTTTTGAATTAAATTAAAAAGAATTTTTTTTATAATAAATTAAATTAGAGATTTTTTTCATAAAAGTCTTATAACAATTAAAAAGCAATAATAATAATTATTTAATTAAAAATAATTCAATTTTAAATATTTGTATAACATTTTTTATTTTAGGCATTTTTATTTTTTTTTAAATGTTGTTTTATTTGTTAAATAAACAAATAACATTTAAATTTAAAAAAAAAAAAACTAAATTGGCAACATCAATTTTTTAACCAAATTTTTAATATTTTAGAAAAAATGATATAATTTTTTAAAAAATATTGTGTCTTTAATGTAAAAAAGAAATATTGATGATGTAAAATTTATAATATTTTTTAATTTATGGTAAAACTAAAATTTTATTAAATTACTTATTTGTTCAAAAGAAATAATTCCTGTCTCGATAATAATAATAATAATAATAATAATAATAATAATAATAATAATAATAAAAATTGAGGATGATTTTTTCAATTTTCATTTCTTGATTTTAACATTTTAATGAAATTATAATAAATAATTTCATTTAAATTATAAATTTTTGTTATTATTAATTAATTAATTATTAAATTTTATTTTCTTATTAAAAAGTAGTTAAAGAGTAATAAATACAAATAAAAGCAGAAGAAAATAATAGAAAAGAGAGAAAAAAGGACTCGTTTTGTATGAGAATATAAAATTTTTTTTGAAGGGAAAAAAGTTTTTTCTATAAAGAAAGAACCCACTTATTGTTTACTATTATTATTATTATTATTATTATTATTATTAATATTAAAATTATTAAACTAAAAGAACATTTAAAAATATAATATTGTAAGCAATAAAAAAAAAAATGTTTCTAATTTTCCAAAATACCTGAGATGTATTAAATTTCCCAATTCCGGTGGAACATGTCCAATATTATTATTAGAAAAATCAAGAATTGCGAGTCTTCGTAATTTACTTAATCCAATTACATCAATATTTTTAATTTGATTATCGTTTGCTGCAAGTATTTCCAAATGAGAAATTTCATAAATGCATTCGGGTATTTCTGTGAATCTTCGACAAAAATTAATTGTATTAATTTTACAATTCAACTAATTAATTTAATTAATTAAATTAATTATCTAATTCGACATTTTCTTTAAAAAAATTGTATTTAAATTTATTTAATAATATTTATATAGGTATATATTTACTTGTTAAATGATATATTTAATTCTCGTAAACGTTCAAGTTGTCCAATATTCATCGGCAAATTACACAAACGATTTCTATTTAAATCCAAAAATTGTAAATATTCAAGTACACCAATCCAATTTGGTATTTCAATTAATTGATTACATGATAATTTTAAATCGGTAACAGTTATTATTTGCGATAATGCATCTGATAATTCATGTAATCTATTTCGACTTAAATCGACACACGTTACTTCAGCTTCTTTTGCATCATTAAAAACAATATCGGGAATATTTGACAAATTCTTACCAATGAGACTCAGTAGTCTTGCATTTTTCATTGCATATCTAAAAGTTACATTAAAAAAAAAAAATATTAAGAAATCTAAACATTTTTCAAATCTCTGAAGAAATTATTATTTTTCATTAATTGAATAATATGTTTCGAAATATTCAAAATATTCTGTGTAATAATTATAAATTAAGAAAACAATATTAATTTTTTTGCAAAATCTTTTTTTTTTTAGAGAATTAATTTGGATTTATTTAAAATTTATATTTTAATTTAATAAAGGGGAAAAAAAATTGACATACTTGTCGGGAAAATTTTCATCCTCATAAAGTGGCGACGAACAATCTCGAATTTCAATATTACTTGCGTTTGTGCTTTGTCGTAAATGACGTAATATTCGAGGTGTGCCTAATTGGACAATGTCACGTCTAATATTTTCCAATTTATTTCCTTCCACAATGAAATTATGTAAATTTGGCATTATGCCGATACAATTTGGAATTCTAAAAATATTTACAGATTCTTTTATAAAATGAATTATTATTTAAAGGAATCTTTAATTAACTTTCATTTATACTTGAATTTATTTTATAAAAAAAAATACAACAAATTTAAATAAATAGTAAACATAAATAAATTTTGATAAATTATTATTATAAAAACAAAATAAGAAATAGTAAAAAATTAAAAAAAAATTACTCACGAAGATATATTATTGTGTGAAAGATCAAGTTGTTCCAAATTTATAAGCTGAATCATTTCTTCTGGAATTATTTCAATTTTATTGCCTCCGAGTAAAAGTGATTTTAATTGACCCATTCCTTCCAAACTCAAAATATCAATTTCCTGAACAAAAAATAGTTTTTTTTACTACATTTAAGAGATTATTAAATAAAATTTTAGCAAATATTAAAAATAAATAAAATATTTTACAAAATAGTTTCTTTTTCCCCTCTGAGGAAATTGATATTAAAAAAATAAAAACTCACCGGTATATTATTATTTGTGAGATGAAGTTCTCGTAATGAAGAACAACCATTAACATCAGGAAATATTTTTAAATTATTCGAACCAAATAATAGAGCCTCAACTTTTCTCAATTCACCAAGAGGCGGTAATGTTTCCAAATGATTGAAACTTGCATCCAATTTTTTTAACGCTGAATTAGAGTTCAAAAAAAAAAAATTACAATTTACATAAAAATTTTTACAGTGGAAATTCTTCAAAAAAAATTTTAAATAGCATACAAACATTTAAATAAAGAGCAAATAATTTGCAAAAAATAAAAAAAAATTTTAATTTAAAATATAGAAATACAGAAACTAATGTTTAAAAAATATGTTTTGTTGCGATAAATTAGAAAGAAATTTTTATCCACTTCAAGGCTGAAAAAGTTGAATCAATAAATATCAAGTCAATCGATAAATAATAATATAGAAAGAAATTTCTTTCTACAGGTTAATCCATTATATTTCACCTATAAAGACATTGGCCTACTTTTAGAAAAAAATTTATAATTCATAATAATTAATTTTCATATCCGTACAATTCATTTTTGACAATTAATAAAATTCTATATAACAAATTTTCAATTTACAGATTTTTTATTTCATCGAATTAAAATTTAACAGAATAATATTATTTGCTCGATTTTAAATTAAACCAAATAGTCATTTAAATGAATTTTTATTCTAAAAAAAAGAATATTAGAAAGAATTTTTTTCTAGTTGAATTTAAATTTAGCATTAAAATATTTATCGATGTTTTGTCCCAATAAATAAATATAATTATTTTAATAAATTTTGGCAAAATATAATGGATTGACCTCTACATTCTAAATAGAAAATTAATAGTGTGTGTGTGTTTATTTTTATTATAATACAAAGAAAAAGAGTTCCTGTTTTAAAAGACACACCTCGCATGTTCGTTATATCAGGTGGCAATTCAGTGAGCATATTGTGACTCAAGTCAAGAGAAACTAATCGCACCAAATAACCAGTTCCAATAGGTAATTCAGTTAGGTTGTTACTCGAAAGATTCTGAATAAATATGCAAATATTTTACCAAAAAAAAAATCATTTTACTCTTCAACTTTACTTAACTTTTTGTATAATTATTTATATCTATTTATCAATTATTAAATATATAATAATAAATTTCATTTAAAGACAAACTTATGGAAAAATTTAAATGAAACCAAAAAAAAAAAATACATACCAAACTCTCGAGCATAATTAAATCACCAATCGCAGAATTTAATTCCACGAGAATATTATTCTTTAAATCTAATTTTCGTAATTCAATGAGTTTGTAAAATTCTAATGGAAGAATTTTTATTTTATTAAAAGAAAGATTTAATCTCTTTAAATTGTTCAAATTTTCTATTTCAGACGGTAAAGTTTCTAATAAATTATCATGAAGCTGCAAAAAAAAGGAGAAAATTGAATAAAAAATTTTCTTTGAAAACTAAAATTGTTTTGAAAAAACTATATAATTATATATAATTTATTATTTAATGGTAAAAAAAATTAATTGCACACTTACGTCAAGAAGTGTGAGATCCAATAAATTTTTTATACGCGAATCAATTGAACAAAGACTATTGGAACTTAAATCTAAAATTCTAAATGGTTCCTGTTCCCACCAACAATCTTTTCTCTGTTCAAAATCAATTTCCGTGCGAAGATTATCTAATTCCTCTTTTGTTAGTTCATTAATAGTCCATAATTTTTCAGGTACTGAAAAAAAAAAAAAATTGGTAAAAATTGATAATATTCATGCAAAATATTATCATTCTTACAGGTCTCGGATTGACTTTAAGGCACAAAAAAAGACGTTTTATTCGATTTATATTAAAAAAAAGACGATTGTTTTTATTTTCGAATAATCGAATTAATTGTAATTGTAAGACAAATTTTCAAAATTTTATTTAAATAGGACAAATTTCTCAAAAAAAATTCTTAAAGTTCCATTTATATAATTTTTTCAAATCTGATTTAATGAATTTATTCGAATTAAAAATTTTGTCATTATAATTTTTAGTTTTGATGGACAAAAAAAATTTTAGGCAATACTTAATCAAGTTTTACAGATTTTTAAATAAAATTTTTTTTTTAAATAATAATAACTTTGGAAGAATTAAAGTTAAAATTTTTAATAATTGAATTTCAAAATTTTTTATTAATTTTTAAACAAAAATTTTAATTTTACAGAACTAAAAATAATTTATCAAATAATTTTAGATAAATTATTTTTTAAAAGTATAATATTGAATTTTCAAAGAGTTGATATTTTGATTTTTGAAATTAATTCAACTTCAAGTGATTTTTAATTTAAAATTTTTGATAATTTCTATTACTAAAAAATTTATTAGAAATTGCAAACAAAAATACAATAATTTGAAAACTTTTTAAGTGAAAAATGGTTTTTCAGATACATAGTTGAATTATTTTCGAAGAATATTATAAAAATCATTTAAAATAATTAAATTTCAGGAGAGTTATAATTGAAATTATTAAATTTCAAAAATTTTTAGAAATAATTAAATTTTAGAAGCCTTTAAATTGAACTTTTTGAAAATAATTGAATTTCAAAAAATTGTGTTAAATTTCAGACAATAATTATAAGAGAAATTTTTAGTAATTTCTGATGATGAAGAATTTATTAGAAATCACATAATAAAATTGAATTCCAAAAGTTTTTAATTGAAAAATGCTTTCAGATAATTGAATTTCAAGTGATTTTGAATTAAAAATTTTTGATAATTTTATTTGCTAATTTTTTTTTTAAATTATAAACAATTATTAAATTTCATAAAAAATTTTAATTGAAAAATAGTTTAAGATAATTGAATTTGTGAAGAATTTTATTAAAATTATTAATAATTTTAGTTAATTAATAATTAATTAAGTGAAGAATTTTAGTTAAAAATTTGTTAATTAATTGAAATAAAGAAGATCTGAAAAAGATTTGCATCCTATACCAAAAAAAAAAACATATTTTGTTTTAAATTTTTGTAAAAAAAATGTTAAAAAAAAGTAGAAAAAATCGCATTTTATTAAAATAAGTCGAAAAAAATTGGAAAAAAATCGAAAAAGTTGTATAATCCGAGTCCTGTTGTTATATTTTTATTTTTTCCGTCATTTTTTTATTGTTATCCTGTACAGTGTTAAAATAAATAAAATTTATTTTGTTCACAATCGTCAAATATTTATTGTTTAATTCAAGATACTTTATTTATTAAATATTGTAAAATATTGTAAAATATATCTTCAGTTGAAATAAAGATAATTTTTTATATTATATCTAAAAATAAATAGTAGATAAATATATATATATATATATATAAATAAAATTTAATATTGTAAAAAACATCGATACAAAAAAATAATATTTATAATAAAATATATTATTCTTTTGCAAAATAGAATGTTTTGTTTATAAACAGCGAATTTATAGGTTATGTTTCAGTTTTGTTTACATGTAATTCTTATATTTACACATATACAATAAATGAGAAGAAGAATGTAAATAATAATTTATAGGTTATGTAATTAAAAATTTTAATTACCTGTAGCTAGACCACGACCTGACATATCTAATTGACCAGATTTTCTTGTTGAAATTATTAATTCAAACGAGAGTTCATCATTGTCATCTGTTTTTGTACGCTGTTTAAAAACAGCATTATGATTTATTATTTTCTTTCTCGCTGATTTCATATTGAATAAAAATTACTCCTTTATTATTATTCACACGTCTCCTGTGCGTTTTTTCTATATATAAATTTGTTCAAATTAATTAACTATTACGTATTCCATTGACAAGGACAATGTTTTGATTATTGTTTCCGGATTTCCCCCCGTTCAATATTTACATTTCAGTAATCGTTTTTACCTGTAATATCGGTAATATATCGACATAAATCAAGTTTATAATTTTCACGATAGGTGACTACAGAGTAAAATTCTTATAGAAAAGTTGTCAAAATATCAGATACAAATAAACATTTTTCTTTTTTTCTTTAAAAATGAGTAGTTTATTTATCTTTTTTTTCTGTTAATTTATTTTATTTTTGAAACAAACGTTCTGTAAAAATAATGTCTCAACACAAGGTAAAGTTTAAAAACAAAATTCGAAAAATCTATAAATATATGTAAATGGAAAATTTTAATTTTCAAAGTATTTTTATTTTGCATGTTTTATCTATAAAAATAAATTGTTTTATCATGTAATTATTAAAATTTACATTTAGTACAAGTTATTTTTTTTAATACTGTCATTATTAAATTTATTATTGCTTTTGAATGTAAATATTTTTTTATAATCCGGCTTGCGAATTTGTAGGTTAGAATTGTCAAAATTCGTATAGTTAGTTAGAAATTTGAATAAAAAAAAATTAATTATATAAACAGCATTTTTTTTGCAAACAAAATATTTCTTAACTCTTAAAATATTTAAAAAAAATTATTTTTTAAAAAAATTTAAGAATATAAAAAATTAATAATAGTAAAAAAAGCCACTAAAAATTTTTATTTTATAGTTGTTTTTTGATATACTCAAATTCATAAAAATTTATTATTAATTGAAAGATAAATTCAAAATATTTATAAAGAAATTTTAATTTTTATCTTTCGTTTTTTTTTTTTTCTATAATTAAAATAAAAATTGAATTTAAAATTTAAATTAATTTAATGATAAATAAATTCTCGAACTTATTTATTATTTATTTTTCGATCTAGAAATGTTAAAAATGTATATATTTATATATCTTTTATTCTAATCACAAAAATTTATCATTTATTATAGAATTTTATTTTGTAAAAATGAATTATTTGATTTCTAGAAAAATACATGGGTATTGCCATCATTTGATTGTCCACCATCAAAAACACCAATTAAATTTAAACGTAATGCCTCAATGCCAATTAAATCACCCGATAGTCCACCAAAGAGAAGTTTTACAAGAAAATATTCCGATGAATTTTCAATTAAAAAAGAAAATATCAGTAGTCTTTCATTATTGATGACTGCGTGTTATCCAAAAATTGTTGCCGATTTAGCAATAAGTCGACAAAAACAACAAGAAATCTCAGCATGGATTGAAAGTAAAACATGCCGAGGAAAACCTTGTATATTAATTATTTCCGGTCCATCTGGTTGTGGAAAAACTGCAGCCATTCGTGTTATTGCCGAAGAATATGATTTTGAAATTACCGAATGGATTACTCCTTTAGATCAACTTATGGATGAAAATAGTAAGAATAATAATAATAATAATAAAAATATTTAAAAAATAATAATAATATTAAATTAAAGATAAAATAAAAAGAAATATTATTAAAAAATTAAAAAAAGTGGTCGAAATTGAAAAAAAAACTTCAAGAAAATTTGTTTTCTATTTTTTCTATTATAATTACAAAATTTTATTTTTATTTTCTCACTTTCTAAAAATCCGTAATGTTTAGAAAAAATTTAATTTTTGATTCATTAAAATCTGTTAAAAATTGATTGAAATATAAAGAAAAGAAAAAAAAAAAATTTTAGTATAAAAATTGAAAAGTATAATGTAATTTATTAATAAATTGTTGTTGCTTGTGTGATTTATGATTAAATTTGAATTGTTTCAACAGATAGAATAATGAGACAAGGTGACAAATTTGAAGAATTTTTAATACGAGCAACTAGATACAATTCAGTATTAAGTAATAATTCGAGACGTATGTTATTAGTCAAAGAATTGCCAAATGTATTCATCGATGATAAACAAGGATTCCATGCTGTTTTAGAGTAATTTTATTTAATTATTCATTTTTTATTTATTAAATTTACAATTTTTTATTTACTCTAATTAATTGAATTTGAAATATTTATTAATTTATTTATTTTTATTAATTAAATAATTTCCCCTTATTTTTAACAATTAAATTGTTTATATATTATAAAGTCCAAACAAATATATATTTTTTTTTATTTTTTAAACTGGAAACAAGAAACAAAATAATTAGAAATTAATGAAATTTATTTAATTCGATTAAAAATTTTTGAATTTCATTAGGAAATATTTTTTTCTCTTCAGAAATTACATCAGTTATGGAAGAGAACCGCTTGTTTTTATAAATACAGAAACTGGAAATTCGAGAATGATGCAAACTGTATTCGCAGCAAATGTTAGAGAACAATTTGGTATTGATGTAATTAAGTAAGTGTAAAAAAAAAAATTGAAAAAAATATTTTTAAAAAAACATAAAATAGCTTTAAGAGAAAATAATAATAAATTTAAATTTTTAAAGAAATAAAAATTATCGTAATAATTATAATTATAAAAATAATAATTTATTTAATATTTTTTTTTAAATTATAGAAATTAATCGTAATTTCTATTCGATAATTTCGATAAATTAATAAAAATTTGTTTTACTAAATTGAGAATTACTTTTTCAGTATAAATGCAACAACACAAGTGGCAATGAAAAAAACACTAGAACGAATATCGAAAATATTAAATAGTAAAGCGAGTCATTTTCTAAATGTTACACAAGATAAAATAAGTGAAACACTCGCTAATCAAATTGGTGATGTAAGAAGTGCAGTATTGAATCTTATTTTTGCCTCATTGAAAGGTAGGAAATTTTATAATGAAAAAAAAATAAAATAAAATAACTGAAAATCTAAGATTTAGACAAAAATTATTTGGCACAATTTTTTCAGTACCTGACAGTGTCAAGAAAAGTACATGCGAAGGACGAGAGGAAACTTTAACTCTTCTTCATGGTGTTGGAAGAGTTATAAATCCAAAAAGTAAGAATTTGCAAAATATATTTTTTAAAAAATTGTTTTTTTAATTCCAAAAAAGTGGTTGAAAACCTTTTTTTAAAATTATTTTTAAATCTAATAAAAAAAGTAATAGGAATAGTTATTAACTTTAATTTATAATTTTTTTTAAATATAAGCTAAGGTAAAATTAATTTTTAGAGATAGAAATTTAAAATATATTTAAATAAATAGAAATTGAGTTTTTATTCAATTTCAATAATTAGGTGAATAATAATTACTTTTTTTTGGACTTTGAATATTTTTTTTTTCTTTTTCTTAAGGAATTAATGAGGGAAAATCGTCAAAATTTGTCCATGATCCTGACGATACTGCGTCATTTTTTCAATCGCAAGCCGCAAATTTCGTTCATTTTCTTCATGAAAATTATTTAAATACATTGCGAGATATCGAACGAGCCGAATTAAGTTCCGATATTTTGAGTGCAGCCGATGTTCTAACATCTGAATGGCGGGTAAGCAAATTTAATTATTAGAAAAATAAAAAACTTAAATAATTAAAAAACAAAAAGAAAATAAGCGAGAAACTTTGTTAATTATTTAGTTAATTAATAATTTATGTAAATTTTACTTCATTTAAAAATACAGTTTTTAAAAAATTTAGTCTAAAATTAAAATTCTATTTTTATTATTTTCCTATCAGTTATTTTGTTTTTATTTTTAAAAATTAATTAACAAATTCGCGGCTATTTTCAACTTTATACATCGAAAAATAATAAATATTTTAAAAAAATTTTTTATAGGATTCAAATTTAAACAAAGTCTCATTATCATTTTGCGTGAGGGGATTAATGGTTGCCAATAATAATCCAGTGAGCGGTTGGAATCCAGTTAAAAAACCTCAAAGCGGTTTTTTGAAAACGTAAAATTATATTTAAAAATTATCTTTTAAAGAATATTTTCAGAAATCTTTTTGGAAAATCAGTAAAATTATTTTTTTCAATTAATTAAAAAAAAAGTGATTAAATTAATTGGACAATTTTTTAAAAAAATTAATTCAAAAAATCAGTTCGGAAATTAATTTAAAAAAAAAATAAAACATTTCTTTTATTAAAATTGTCTAATTAATATCGATCTAAATCGAAACAAAATTTTAAATTTATTAAAAAATCAGATTGGAAATTAATTGAACATTTTTTCTTTTATTTATTAATAATTAATAATTAATTTTCAGAGATAGAAATTTAGCTTCAGCTGAAATTTCCTGGTATAAAACAATAATTAAACCAAATTCAAAAAAGTCCAACGAAGGAGAAATTGATAATGCAGTTGTTGATGCAGAATCAATAATTGAAGATGTTGATTAGTCGTTTAGATTCTTTTTTTTTGTATTATATTATAATATTATATTTTTTTATATTTTCTGTAAAATAATAAATAAAGAAATCTAAAAAGTGTTTTTTTTTTAAAGAAAATAATTAAGAAATAATTATTATAAGTTGCGATTGAAAAAAAATATAAGAAAAATTTGACAATTAAATTATTTAAAAATGAATTAAAATTATTTAAAATTATTTGAAAATTATTTAAAATTATTTGAAAATTAATATCAAAAAATTGTTTCCGTCTTTATTTGGGTACAATTAATTTAGAATAATTTAATTTTAAATAAATTATTTTATAATAAATTATAAAATTAAATTTTTTGTATTTTACCGCCAATAACGTGTTTATATTAACAGTAGCTAACTTCACTTCAGTATGATAATGTTGACAAAGTTGTCAATATTTTTGTTTAAGTATTGTTTGGTTCTTTCTGGTAAAAAAAATTAATTTTATAAAATTTTTATCGTAATTTTAGTGTTTTTCTTTTTGTTTAGTCAATGATTAAACAAGTTTACGAAATACAATTTCTACCTTTTTTGAGGTTAGAAAAATTACCTGCCACATAAAGTCACGTGCGTGTAGAAGAGAATTGCAAGTTGGAGAATAATTTTTATTTTTTCTTATTTTAATTGTTCATCTTGTGACAGGAATAAATTAGTAGTAAAAATTGCTATTAAATCAGTTTTACATTACGAGGAAATAACGACAAGACTAATAATTCGTTAACAGTTATTATTATTCTGCAAAAATTTGTTTATTGATTGCGATATACAGTTTGTTATTTATTTTTTTTTAAATCTATATAATTATGTATAAAGCAAAATTAGAACCATGTTTAGAATTAAATCTATCGAGTCAAGAATTAGAAACTGTTACACAGAAGGCAAAAGATTGGGCAATTATGAATGGTAAGTTATTTTAATAATAAAAACAAAATATTATTTTATTATTAAAAAAATAGTTAAATTATTATTTAAAAAAAAAATAATTAAATTTTTTTTTTTTTTTTTTATTTATTTTACGGGTTTACAAAATAATCATTAAACTTAAATTTCTACATTAAATTAAGTTATAGAAAAAAGAAGTTTATATATTTATTTATGCAAATATAACGATATTTTGTTTGTTAATAAATTATTAAACATTATTGTCGAAACGAAAATCTTATTTCAATTTTCAGGTATTAGTATGAGATCGAAAGAATTTTTTAATTTAGATCAAGTGCAAATTGCACCATTTTTACTATTACCATCGACATTTCCAAAAAAAGAATTCGAAAAAGCAGCGGAAATTCAAATTATTATAAATGAATTAATGCACAATGTTGCACATGATCATCAATTTTTAATTGAGGTTTTGAAAAGGTAAAAAATTATTCAAATTTTACTTTCAAAATTATATATTTTTTTTTTGAAATATTCATCATAAATTTTCTAGTTTTTACTGGTATATCCTTGAAATTTTTTTAAACAATTTTTTTTCTGTACTTCTCGTTTTTTTCGTATAATAATTAACAATTAAGCGAAAGGAAATTATATAATTCACTTTGAATTTTTATGTTATTTTCCAAATGTTTGCTTAAAATAAATAATTATAATAATTGAAAAATTGTTTTTTTTTTTCATCTCGTTTTTTTAGTACAATCGAAGTCGATGATTTTACAAGGAAATTGTTTGAAATTTATGAAATAGTTCATGCTGAAGGTTTTAAGCAGGTGATCATTATTATTTATTATGATAAATATATAATTATTTATTTAAATATTTGTTTTTTGAAATTTTGAATTCTAATTTTTGCTTCGGAAAATTATCTTAATTTTTTTTTATAATTAAAAACCTCAAAATATTTTTTCATTACGGTCAGGGAAAAAATTTAAATTCTTTCTAAAAATAGAGAGAAAAACAAAATAAAATTTTTCTGGAAAATAAATTTATTTTATTTTTTATTGCTTTATGTATTAGATTAATTTTTCTTTTTTTTTTTTTGTTTTTTTAACAAAAAATTGGAATTTTAATGAGAGTAATTATCGAGTTATTTTAATATTTTACAGACAATTAGTCTCGGTTTGTTTAGATCAGATTACATGCTTCATAGCGATGGTGATAATAAAATTCAACAAGTAGAAATAAATACTGTAGCTTCAAGTTTCGCTGGTATGGCAAATGCAATCACTGAATTTCATAGGTAAATTCAACGATTTATTAAATTTCTTCTTTTTAGAAAAATTCTGGAAAAACATATTTAATTTTACATTTTTCTAAATAATTATTATTTTTAGTCTATGAAAAAAAATTGTCAACTCAGTATAAAATAATTACAAGAATTTTTTTTTCCCACCAAATGAAAATAAGTAAAAAAAAATTAATTTAAAATAATCATTTTACAGATATATTTTAAAAGATTTGGGACATTCCGATAAATTAAAAAATGTAAGTTCAGTTTTATTGAATGAAAAAATGTAATTGTTATTTATTCATTTAATTACATATTTTAATCCATGTTTAATCACATAAAATTTTATAACACCTAAATTTGTTTTTTTTGTAATTAAAAATTTAATTTAGTTTTTATTTTTAAATAAAAAATTTTGATTCTAAATAAATGTGCGTTATCAATTTTAGATTCCTGACAATAATTCGGTAACAGGATTTTGTACAGGTTTAGTGTGCGCTTGGTCCTTGTATGGAAATGAGGAGTAAGTTATTTTCTAAAATATATTTCGATAAAAAAATAATTATAATACTTTATTTCCTGACATCTAAATGCGAAGAGTTAAATAATAATAATAATAATAATAATATTATTAATAATTAATATTAATATTAAAAATAATAATAATAATAATAATAATGTGAAATTAATTTCAGAGCTAAAATATTGTTTGTCGTTGAAGACGTTACTTACAATATAAGTGATCAAAGATTTATTGAGTTTGGAGTGCAGCGTTTAAATCCAAAAATCAAAATTATCAGAAGAAATTTAACTGAATTAGTTAAACAAGCTAAATTGGGACCACAAAATGAATTAATTGTGTAAGTAAAAATAATTAATTAACATTAATTTGTCGGGAAATATACAAAATATTAAAATTCACTTCAATTTTACAAGAAATTTTTCGTCAAATTGAGAATTTTATTTATTAAATATAAGTTTTTATTTATTTTCTATTCATTCGAATTTTCATTTAGCAGAATTATTCTTCAATAGAATTTCTATTAAGCTAAATTTTTAAATAGAATAATTTTTAATTCACCGAATTTTCATTTGACTGAACCTTTATTTTAATAATAATCATTCAACCGAATTTTCTTCTAACCAACTTTTTATTTAGCTAAATTTTTATTTAACAGTTATTCTTATGTCAACAGTTAACAGTTATTCAACGATTTAAAAGAAAAGTATTTTTCTACGAAAATTGCTATAACTTTTTTTGTCTTGAAAATTTTTTCGAATACTAGGACTCGATTAACAATTTTTAAATGAAAAATTTGCAGGCAAAATTTTTTTTTATTATTTATCATTTTATTTTGATTTATTATTTTTTGGATGAAAAATATTTTTTTTTCTAATCGTCGATCACACAAACGTTGTGAACTTCAATTGATGTTAAATTTTACTAATTAAAAATTAGAATAAAAATAGTAATTAAATATTAAATTAAGTAAAATTAAAATTTGGCTAATTAGACTTTTTTACATTTAATAATTATGCTAAATGAAAATTCTGCTTAATGATAATTCGTTTAAATAAAAACGCAATTAAAAGAAAAGTTTTATTAAGTGGAAATTTGATTAACCAATGATTGTGTTAATAGAGAGTTTATTTTGGTATTAATTTTGATAAAAATGTAAAATGATAATAATTAGTAAATACTAATTATTAAATTAATATGGCTGAATAAAATTTTTCATGTAAAATTTAGCTTTTTAAAAAGATAATTTAGTTTCATTTGTCACACATTTTTCTGTAAATTTGAATTGAAAATATATTTAATGAGAAAATAAATTTTTAATTTTATCAGAGAGGACGCGATAATTTCTGTGGTATATTTTCGTTCAGGATATGGACTTGAGGCTTATCCTACGGAAAAAGAATGGGACGTGAGATTATTAATGGAACGTTCTCTTGCTATAAAATGTCCCTCGATACAATATCATTTAGTAGGCACTAAAAAAGTATGTTTTTTTTAACTAGTAAATATTTATATACTTTTTTTTATAAAATTTAGATAATTATAAAAATTTATAAAATAAAAATTATTAAATAATAAATCGTTTTTTTTTGTTGCAATTTCTCGTTTTCAGAGAGCCAAAAAAAAATTTTTATAAAAATTTCTTTTCAAAATAAATAGGTTCAACAGGTTCTATCGTTACCTGGAGTTGTAGAACGTTTTCTCACGGATTCTACTTCAGTCACTAAAGTTACTGATACTTTTACTGGTCTTTATTCTTTGGACTTTGTAAGTAAATTTATATTGTGTCTTTATGAATTTTTCTTATTTTCTTTATTTTTTCTTTTGGGATATTTTTTCAAAAAATTTTCAATTAAATTTGAAGATTAATTTAATTGTCCAGAAAAAAATTAATGTATTTGAAGAACGTAAATTTTGAAGAATTTCACTTCTTATAAATAATAAAAAATAGAGAATTTTATTTGGTAACAATAGAAATGTTTTTTTTTCTGAAGGACGAAAATGGTGAAAAGGCAGTAGCTAAGGGAATCAGTGAGCCTAGAAAATATGTATTAAAACCACAACGCGAGGGAGGTGGTAATAATTTTTACGATGATAATGTTAGAGAACAATTGGAAAAATTTAAAGATTCAAAAGAACGATCTGGATGGATTTTAATGGATCGAATTTTTCCACCACTTTTGAAAAATTATATAATTCGAGCTGGTAATGAAGAAAATAAACCACAAGATGTAATATGTGAACTGGGAATTTATGGCGTAATAATTGGGTATGTTTTTAAAAAAATGATTTTTAAATTTGATTTTATTCTTTAGCAATTAAAAATTTTGAATATATTTTTATAATATTACTTTCTTTTATCAAATTTGTTTATAGAAAATGATATTTAATTAATCAAATTTCATTCTTTTTAAATGTTAATTTAAAATTCTTTTTTTTCAAAATTACTTTTTTTTCTTATTAAGAAGGAAATATTTTAAATGTTTCAGAAATAAAAATGAAATAAAAATAAATGAACAAGTTGGACATCTTTTACGCACGAAATTATCATCTTCAAATGAAGGAGGAATTGTTGCTGGAGCTGGTGCAATTGACAGTCCCTATCTTGTAATTTAAGGTGAATTTGTTTTTTTTCCATTTTTTTTCATATATAATATATACTACAGTAATAAAAAAATTTATAGAACTATTTTTATAGAAATTAATATTTATAGTTTATAATCGTTAAATGATTTATTTTAAAATTTTTATTTTCTAAAACAAATATTTTTTTTTTTGAATTTAGAATTATTTTTGGTTTTAAAAAATATGAAACACTGTTAGAGGCAATAAAAATAAGGAAAGATTAAAAAATAATTTTATTTTTTCGGTCAATTTCTATAGCAATTTTATCTTTTTCTTTCTCTTCAAATTTTCTTTAAATTACAATATATAAATATATTTAAATTATTTTATACATATTGAACAATTTGTCTTCAAAAATATATGATTTGTTTAAAAAATAATTTCCAATCAGTTTTCAGTTAATTTTACAATTAATGTCATACTATTAATTTTACGATTAATTTTCAGTTAATTTTATAATTAATTTGACAATTACTTTTTTAATTAACATGTAATATTTTGAAAAATAATTTTAAATATAAATATTTGATGAAATACAATTTTTCAGTGTTCTATTTTCAATTCTTAGAGTAATTGTTTCAACAGGTTTCAACATGACATCGACTTTTAATTTAATATCGCCAATTGGTGTTACATTGTCCTTTATTAAAATATATTTTCGAAGAATTGTAGCTAAAAGCACTTTCATTGACATCATTGCATATTTGAAACCTGAAAAATAAATGAACCGATTATTTTAATCGTAATCGTAATTTAATTATCGCTTTATCAAATAAAAAAATAAAAAATTTTCTATATTTTTTTTACCTATGCAATTTCTTGGACCAGCACTGAATGGAATGTATGAGTATGAATGACGTTTTGCAACTTCTTCGGGTAGAAATCTGTCAGGATCAAATTTCAAAGGATTTGGCCAGTGTTCTTCATTGCGATGTACTTTTATTATTACAAGAACCACGGAACTTTCTTTTGGTAAAACGTAATCTCCTGTTAGAAAATTATTTCAATTTTATATATATATATATATATATATATATATTTTAAATTCTATTTAATATAAATTGGCTTATATTTTTTAAATTTTATAATTTTAGCATGAAAGTAAAATGATAATTAAATTTTGAATATACAATAATTTAAAAATAAAATTCAATTATGTGAGAAATTAAATTAAAATCATTTAAATTGAAATAATATAATTAAACAAAATTTAAATTAAAATAATTTATATTCAAAATAAAACTCAGAATTCTTTTTATAGTTTTTAAAGTTCTCGTAATTTTTAAAATTCTTGTAATTTTAATAAGTATTTGAAAAATATTTTCAACTCGAACCCATGTCAAGATCATCGGACAATTTTCGTAAAATAATTGGACCAACAGGAAACAAACGCATTGTTTCCTTAATAACACGTTCCAAATAATCCATTCTTTGTAAATGTTCATGTATAACTGGACAGTCTTCAGGATCGGAATCTCCATAGATTTCATAAAGTTCTTGATAGACTTTTTCCTAATTTATCAGATATTTTTTTTGTACAGTACAATTAGAATTTTTTTTGGGAAAAATATTGAGAAAAAAAAATTGAATTGCCTTATTTCAAAAATTATAAACAATAAATTTTTTACTTGTATTTCGGGATATGATGCCAACATTAGCATAACAAAAGAATTGACACTGGCTGTTGTGTCATTTCCCTAAAAAAAAAAAAAAAAATTAATATTTATTCTTATCATTAATTTGAAAATTCTTAAAAAATTTTTTTCCGTAAAATTAAAAAAAATTTACCGCAATCATCATAGTATCGACTTCTTCGCGTAATTCTTCGTCAGTGAATTTTTTTCCATTGTCAGATAATTCCATTAATAGATCCAAAAATGGTTTCCAGTGTGTTTTATTTAAATCTAACAATATATTTAGAATTAAAAATAAATTTTTTAATTTTTTTAATTTTTAAATAATTTTTTTTTAAATACTTCTCACCCTCTTTTGCAGCAAGAACATTTGCTTTTAATTCTTTTTTCTTGCGAATTACCTTTAAAATTACAAAAAAAAAAAATAAATAAATTACACGGACATTTTTTTATAGACAATCTTTTTGGATTTTCTTTCAGAATTTCTAAAAGTAGAAAAAAAAATCAAGTGTCATATATAAGTGACTTTTTGTTGTCGATTCTCCTTTTTCTCAGAAATTCTAAAAAAGAAAATTTCAAAAAGTGAAAAAAAAAATAGAAAATCACATTTACATCATTTGTGACACTGTGCAAATATTGAATAGATTCATTCATCTCTCGTGATAATTTTGTAAGTTTGAAAATAAATTCTGGATGAAGCCAAATTTTTGCCATTCGATGAAAAACCACTTGAAATACCCTAAATATTTTTAATAATCATTAAAAAAATATATAAATTGAGAATTAATTTTTAAGAATATTTAAAAAAAATGCATATATCTAAAAAAAAATTTAATAACACCTTTCAGCTGCTTTAACATATTTATTGTGTTTATCAGTTTCGGAAGTTGTGGAAATACCCATAGCACTTTCTAAAAACAAAAAAATGTTAAAAATTAATTTTTTTTTTAACATTTCGAAAAATTTGTTAATAAATTCAAGATTAATAAAAATTTTCTAATATAAATTTAAAATTAATAAAAAAAATTTGTTAATAAATTTAATATTAATTGTCAATAAATTCAATATTTAGTAAAAATTATAAAACTGAAACTTAATATATAAATAATAAACTATTCCAATGTGGAATTTGTATAAATTTTGAAAAAAAAAAATGATTGCATTTCCTTACCACAAATTGTATTCAATGTACAAACGGATATTGATTTGAATACATCAAATTCTTTGCCATTAACATGAGATTCTAAATTTTTCACTAATATTCTTGAATGTTTATCGAAAATTTCAACGAATGATTGTAAAATTTTTGGATTAAATGCTGGCATAATTAATCTTCGATGAATTCGCCATTTCGCGGCTAAAATTGTCAAATAATTATTTTTAGCGTTTTATTATTATTAAATTATATATCTAACTATTATTTCTCATTTTTAGCATTTATTATTAATTAAAAATTTTTTATAAATTATAAATTATATGAATAATAATGAAACATACCCGGTGATGTAAATAATCCAGTTCCTAACCATGGACGCATAAATCTATAAAGATCGTCTTTTTCAATAGCTTTTGGACTTAAAAAAACAGCCTTTTAAAAAATATATGAAAATATTAATTATTGATTTTTTTTATGTTTTATAATTTTTTTTTTAAACTCAAATAAATATTGCCGCAATTTTTTAATTTTTTTTTTGCAACAATATTTGATTTTTTTTCTCTAATTAATATTTTACTTATTTATTTATTTATTTTTTGTATATTTAAAAAGTTAAATTTTTTTTTTAACTCTCACTTTTAATTGTTCTGGTTCATAGACAGCAATATATAAACGATTTCCCAACCACACACGCAATGGAGATGGATATGCTTCATAAATATCTTTCAATTTATTGAGAATATCTAGAAATTTGCAAATTTAATTTAATTTTTAATTTTCACATGAGTGGAAAAGACATTTTTTTTTCCTCACAGTAAAAAATTTAAAAATATTTCATTAAAAAAATTTTTTAATTCTATGAAAAAAAAAACAAAAACCTCATTTTTAGAAAAAAATTTCCCTTCAGTAAAATATAAAAATAAAATAATGTCCACATATATATTTTTTCAAAAAATAATTTTGGAATATATTTTTTTTGTCAAATAATTTTTGAAATATTTTTTTTATTTATTAAAAAAATTGTTTTTTATATTTTTTCTTAAATTTATAATCGGTTGAATAAATTATGTATTAAACAATTTTCTAAACTTCAATAAAAAAAAATAATTTTGTTTATAAAATATTAAATTTGTTTTCCAAATAATAATAAAAATAAATTAATTAAAATTTTCAAATTAATAAACTAACCTTCGGCATTTCCAATAAATAAATGAGCACTTCCAATAATTGGTAGGGGTTTGGGACCGGAAAATAATGCTGCTTGTTTGTATAGTTTTCTATTTTTCACATATTGAATCACAAAACTTAATAAAATAAATACAATTGCAATTATTAGTATAAAACCCATTTTTTTATTAAGTTAATAAGTTATTAAATATTATTTTGCAAAAAAAAAAAAAAAAAAAAAAAAAATTAGTATTATCTACGATACTAATAAATAAAATATTTTTTTCATTTACAATATAAAAGAAAAATCTTTTTTCTAGGTGAAAATTTTAGTTTTAATTTAAATTTATTTTTTATGTTTTTAACTAATTAATTAAAATTAAAATTAATTATTGTTCTGTTTTGAATATAATTTTTATTTGTTATCTAATCGGAAGCAAAAAATCAACTGTTGAGTATGTGTGACACTATACGAATAAGAGTTGCACCTTTTGTTCCCCCTTAAAATGCAATCGTCATAGTGACATATTTTTTTTTTCTATATATGCAATGAACGATTTGTTAGAATCATTATAGGTAAATTTTTGTCAAAGAAGAAGAATATTTAAATTTATATTTAAAAAAAATTTATTTTTCTTTGAGACAATTTTTTCCAATTTCGTATTTAAAAAATAATGAAAGCACTTAAATGATTAGGGTACAAAAATGTGCGAAAACAAAAATTGCCAAGAAAAATATCCCAAACATAAAAGTTCCAAAGTATATTTTTTTCCAAAATACAAAATTTCCATTGGAAAAATAATAATTTTGAAAATTTGTCATTGGCACATTTATTTTGCTACTTTTGACTCCCTAAAAAATAAAATAAAGTTATTTATTTATTTTTCTTATATTTAATAATAAAAATTGGAGAATTCATCAATTTTTATTTAAAAAAAAACACCAATTAAAAAAAATTTTCGTAATTATTTTTAACAATTAATAATTATTGAATAAAATAAATTTTATGAAACTAAAAATTATTTATTATTATTATTTATAATTTTAATAAATTATTTATTATGAAATAAATAAATAAAATATAATAATAGTAATAATCACTTAGCAATAAAAATGAATCAGTGGTGCAATTCGTACCAAAAATGTTTGACAGTTAAATAAATTTATTTTATGTGAGGTCATACACTGTCGAGTGAATTGAATATAAATTAAGCAATGAATAAAACAATAAAATTTGCTTCCATCAATATACATATATGTGTATGGGTTTAAAGGATTTAATACAATCAAAAGGATTACAGAAAAATATCATAACTATAAAAAATATTTAGAAAAAAAAAGAAAATAAAAAAAAAACATTCTAATTCATATTTGTTAAGAAATAAAGCGCAAGGGATGATTGTTAAATTAATTTCTCCTCTTTTTCATTTTTGTGAAATTTCAAATGAATCTTCTTCATTTAATTAAATAAGAATAATATTATTGAAATTTATAAAAGAGTAAAAGAAATAAATAAAAAATAGTTTTAATAAGTGTTGGTCAGAAAAAAAATATATTTTTGTTTTCCCTATGCGCGCCCGTGAAATAAAAAAAGTTGTGCACGTATTTTTTTTTGTTGACGCAATTTATTTATATTTATGTGATAGGGAAAGTTTTGCATTTCTCGTTATTCGAAACAGTAACTAAATTGAATACAGATTACCGGAATAATCTTTTATTGCTTTTGCATTATATTTATTTGCATTGACCAATCACCACAATATAGAAGAGTTAAAATTTACATTTTAACTAAATTTAAAAAATTTTTTAATCATTAGATGATTTAATTATTATTAGGAAAATAATAATAATAAATAATTTAAGTTTAATTTTTCAGAATTTTTTTAATTATTTAATTATTCAAAACTAAAATGGCCATCAATTTTTCCCTTCAATAATTTATTTCCTTATTTTTAATTTTATGCAGTCATTAGAATTTAATACAATAGTATTTAACAATAGTTTCAATTTTTCTACGTTTTTGACAATATTTGCATTCATAAAAAAATATATTTATTTAGAAGTGATGAAACTTTTCCCGCCTTTCTCTCTTTTTTTTTTTTTTTTTTGCATTTTAATGAAATACTTCAATTTGAAATTCGTTTTTCAATTCTAACAGTAATTGGCTCAACAGCACGAAGTAAAGTGTCCAATTTTAATCGAATATCCTTAATTGGTTTTACATTATCTTTTTTCACAATATACTTGCGAAGAATTGTACTAATTGTAGATTTCATCGACATCATTGAAAATGATTGCCCTTAAAAATTTACAAAACTTAACTAAAATTTTTTTATAAAAAAAAAAATTAAAATTTTGAATTACATAAAAAATAATTTTTTCCGAAAATGATATATAAAAACACATGAAAAAGTGAATTAAAAGAGTATAGAAAATGATAATAAAAGAAAATATAGTAAAAAAAATTTTTAAATCATTAATTAAATTATTAAAAAAATTTAATAATTCCAAATAATAATAATAATAATAATAATAATAATAAGTAATAATTATAAAAGTAATTTCATACCAATACAATTTCTTGGTCCTCCACTGAATGGAAGATAAGAGTATGGATGTCGTTTAGCAATTTCTTCAGATGAAAATCTTTCTGGATTAAATTTACAAGGATCAGGCCAAAATTTCTCATCACGATGAATATTCAATATTGGAACTGCAATAGTTGAACCTTTTGGAGCTGTATATTTTCCTGAAATTTTTTAAATAGAAAAAATTTTTTATTCACATAAAATAATATGAAGAAAAAATTTCAAAAAACGTGAAAATCCCCAGGAAATTAAAAAAATTTTTAATTCTTCTAATTTCTGTAAAAAATTCACTAAAGGGAATTTTTTATTCTCTTTTCTTGTAAGCACGTACATTGTGATTAAATAAATAAAATAATAATAATAATAATAATAATAATAATAATAATAATAATAATAAAAAACGTTACCTAATTCCAAATTTTCACTGACTTTTCGCAGTAAAAATGGTGCCACTGGAAAGAGTCGCATTGTCTCTTTAATAACTTTTTCTAAATATGGAAAATATTGAAAATGTTCAGATGTAAATGGAACTTCTTCAGGAGTTTTAGTACCAAAAACATTGTAAATTTCTTTGTATACTTTGTCCTGTGAAAAAAAAGAAATAGTAATCAATTTCATTGGATTTGAAATTTTATGCAATTTTATGTAAAAAATTAGAAACCTGAATGTCTGGATGAGAAGCTAACATAAGTATAGTAAATGAAATGGTTGTTGCAGTCGTATCGTGACCCTAAAAAAAAACAAAAATTCTCAAAGATTTGAATTTAAATTCAATTAGAAAAAAAAGAAATTCAAAATCTATTTACTGCGAAAAGAAAAGAGTCGACTTCATTTCGCAGTTCCAAATCTGTTAACACTTTCTCTTTATCCGACAATTCCATTAACAAATCAAGAAATGGTTTCATTTCCTTTGAATTATCATCTATAATGTTTATTTTAAATTTAATTTAATTTTGTATATTCCATTTTTAGTTACATTTTATTTATAACAGCACATTTTTTTTTTTTTTAATTGAATAAAAAATTTAATTTTTTTTTACTCTTTCTTTCGGTTTATCTGTATGATTTTATTTTAAAAATTTATATTTAATTTGTTACATTAATTTTTGATAATTATAATTATTAATTACTTTTGTGAATTCCATTAATGTTCATTTTTGTTCTTTTCGTTCGAATTATCTGTAAGAAATTTTAATCAACTTTTTACAATTTTTAAAGAATTGTAATTTTTTTTATTAATTATTAAAAAAAAAGGAACTCACATTGTCTGTAAAATTGTGTAGATAATTAAGACTTTGCTGAAATTCTTTCGATAATTTTGTCAATTTAAATATAATATCAACTTGAAGCCAAAATTTAAAAATTCGTGTATTAATTGTTTCAAGTGTACTGTAAATTAAAAAAAAAATTAGTTTTTTAATAATATTAATTAAAATAAATATTTATTTTTTAAAATTAAAATAAAAGAAAAATTATTATTTTAAAACTGATAAATTAATAATTTTATTGTTTACTAACTGTCCAAGAGCTTTTATATATTTTTTATTGGCATTCTCATCTTCATATTCATCAATTATTCCCATTGCGCTTTCTAATAGAAAATAATAAAAATTTCTTTAAAAAAATGACTGAAATTATCATTTAAAAAGAAGATTTAATATTAAGCAATTTCTCAGAATTAAATTATTTAAATTTATTATTTTTTTTTTTTTTAATGATAAAACATAAATATATATTATTGTTTGCATGAAACATTGATCATAATAATTATAAACAAAAAAAAAATTTAATAACCAGTTGCTTGGAAAAAATACAATTAAAAAAAAAAGCATAATAATCTCACTTACCGCGAATTATAGCAAGTGAATTAATTGAAATATATTGATTTATATTAAATTCATTGCCATCAATTTCTTTTTCCAATTTTTTCGTCAATATTAAAGATTGTTTTTGAAATGTATCGACAAATGTCAATAAAATTCGTTGTTTAAATGTTGGTTGAATAAATTTTCTGTGAATTTTCCATACATCTCCTATAAAGAGAGAAAAAACAATTTCACAAAATTTATTTATAAAATAGATATATTGATTAAAAAAATATATAATTTATATTTCGTTTTTTTTTTAAATTACATGTAAATAATTTTACCATCTGCTGTAATTAAACCAGAACCAAGCCATGGTTTTATTAATGAATATAAATCATCTTTTTCTAAAGTTATTGGATTTTGAAGAATATTCTGCAAAATAAATATTAATTATAATTGTTTTGGTATTATTAATTTTATATTAGGGCATTCTTAGCTCGTGTATTTAAAAAAAAAATAAATAAATAAAATAATTTTTAAATTTTAATATATCTTCTTACTTTAATATCTTCAGGATTGTAGAAAAAGATAACTAATCGAGGACCTAAATAAATGCGTATTGCTTCCGTTTTAAATTTTTCATTAACATTAAATAATACATTGCATATTTCTAAAAAATAAAAATTATTAAAAAGATTTTTTAAAAAAATCTCTTTATCTGTGTATATGTTAAAAACAAATCAGTTAATTTTTTTTTTAAATTTCAATTTAAAAAATAGAATTTTAATTTTCTTTTTAAATATGGAAAATAGAAAAAAAAAAAGTAAAGTAAAAACTTACTTTCAGAATTACCGAGGAAAAGATAACTGTTACCTAAAATAGGAAATGAAAATGGTCCTGGAAATTTTGATGCAAGTCGATAGTATTCTCGATTCTTGTAATAATTAACAATAAATGCGAGAAATGTAATAATTAAACATAAAATTGTCCACGATAACATTATTTTTTGTTAATTATTAACAATCTTATTTGAAATTATTAAATGATATATATATTTTTTTTTTTTTTTGTAAATCATCAACTATCTTTTACAATAAACAATATGCAACTGAATAGTTTTTAATTCACACAATGATTATGAGGACTTTATAAATATTTATTCATAGTTATTTATATGTATATAACAGACGTTTGTTCTTAACTCTTTTATAAAAACGATAATTTGAATAATTCAAAGTACAAAAATTACAATAATCTTTGAACTTGAATAATAATTACTCTCAGCAAGTTATTGAATCAATAGTTAAATTTATATCTTTAAATAAAACAGTTTTTTTTTTTAAATCTGTTATTTAAATTTAAATGAAATTTTCATTTAAAACTTAAAGAAGGCAAATGTTAATAAAGGGGAAATTTTTTTTTAAATATTTTATAATTTTACTGTGATTTTTCAATTGGAAAGAATTGGGGTTTTATTTCTAAATAAAAAAGCATTAATTGAATTTGAAATTCTTTATTTAAATATTTTGCAAATTTATGACAAGCTACATTGACGTGTATTTCTTAGAAGAAAAAATTATTTAAATTTCCAAATTACATGCGCTATTTACCTATAATGTTGATGGAAAAAAAAAGTTCATCTTTATGGACGACAACGTTCGAGAAAACGTGGATATAGACAAACTTCTCTTATATGATATCTGTTTAGTAACCAACAGAGAAATCTTTCCAAACCCAATCCATAGCCACCATGGGGACAAGTGCCGTATTTACGCTAAAATTAAGATTTAAATTTTTTCAAACTGTTAGAACTATTAAATATTTAAATATTAAATTTTTGTTCTACTTTATTATTTTTATTAAATTAATGAACATTAATTATTAACTCAAACAAATTATCCACTATTTTTTGTGAAACAAATTTTATTTCCACAATTATTTTATGATTTCTCTTTTTATTTTAAATTACAATGTTTCACTTTAATAGTTAAAAGAAAAGAAATTTAATAAAAAAAAAAATTATTTTAAAACTTTTTGAAATAAAATTGAAATTACAAAATTTTCTGTATTTTTCCATTTTTTTTAAGGCTTTTTGAAACTACAATACAATAATTAATTACTAAAGAGCAAATTAAAAATGTTTGATTAATGATGTAATTGATAAACAAAAATACAGTATAAAAACATTTCTTAAACATAAAAAAAAAAAAAAAATGTTGAAAAATCAATTCTTTTTTGCGGTAGATTCTCAAATTCACTGAATTTTTATTTAATTCAAATCTTTATTTTTACTGAATTTGGCCCTTTTTTAAAAACTATTTTATTATATTTGTTAAATATCTAGTTTTTTTTTTGGTAAATTTAAATTTTATACCTGATCAGTGTACCAATAATATGGTGTTGGATCGATATTTTCACGCTCGTAGCCCTTCATAAGTTCTTCATAGTCCCAAATACGCATAGAACCACCAACAATTTCACCTACATTTGGTAAAAGTACGTCGACGGATTCCGTGAGTCTTGGATCTTCCGCACAACGTTGCATATAAAATGATTTAATCTCCGCAGGAAAACGGCAAAGCATTATCGGTTCATTTATTTCATCAGTCATTTTTCTCTCTGGCATTTCAGGAATGTCCTGAGGAAAAAAAATTTTCCCTTTTTTTTTTTTTTAAAGAAAACAACTAAAAATATCAAATTATCGCCATCTTTCAATGATTTTTTTCCCATTTTAATTTTCCATTGACAATTAATTGTGAAATTATTAATTATTAAATTATTAAATTATAATAATGCAATATGATTATGGAAATTTTGATTTTTTTAAAAATAAAATTATCAATTTTTCTCCTTTATTATTAATTTTATTATAAATTTTGAATGGCAAAATTCTTACTTCACCAAATTCGTAGAAACTTCCATCCTCCTTGGTGATATTATGCTCCTTCAAGTATTGAATAGCGTCACTGTAATTCATTCTTCGGAAAGGTTTTTTCGGTACTTTAAAATCGGGATTCAATTCCTTGACTATATGTCCTAGTGGGGATTTTAAAACACGATCAACGACATCGCAAACTAAATCTTCCAATCGATCGAGAAGATCGTCAAAAGTAATAAACGGACATTCTGCTTCAACGTGAGAATATCTGTAAAAATTACGATACAATTATAATATTTAAATATTTTTTCAATTTTTAGAATTCGTAGTTTTTCAAAAAAAAAAAAAAAAAAAAATTATAAAGAAAAGAAATTACTCAGCAAGATGACGCCTTGTTCGGGATTGTTCAGCTCTGTAAGATTGTGCGATACAATAAACATCTCCCATCGATGGTATACAAGTTTCAAGATAAAGCTGAGAACTTTGAGTTAGAAATGCCTCTTCTCTGAAAAAATAAATTATTTTAACATTTTTAATTTCAAATTTACTGCAATTATTTCATTGCAAATCAGACAAAATAAATAATAAGTTAAATATTAATAAATAACACGAAACTAAATGTATATTATTCTTTAATAAAAATAATACTGTTTAAAATTTTTTTTTAAAGAATAATAAAATAATAATAATACCCGAAATAGTCGAGTTTAAAAAGAGTAGAGCCTCCTTCAACTTGAGTTTGGACCATAGTCGGAGGTGTTATTTCAAAATATCCACGATCTTTATAATGATCTCTGAATGCTTGTGTCAATACAGATCTCATGACAAGAACTCGTGAAGTCTGAAAATAAATAATATAACATTTTTCAAAGTAATGTTTCCTTTTTTTTAAAATACATTTCCTAAATTTTCCTCATTTTTTTTTTTTAATCTTTTTTCTTTACAAGAAATGTTAAATGAATTATTAAAAATAAATAAATAAAGTTAAAATTTTTACATTTTCTCCACGAATCATGATATGTCTATTGTCAAGTTGAACATCAACTTGAGCCTCTTCGTTTAGAATTGAATCCGCACCACCTGGAGGTGAAGCTCCAATCAATTTCCAATAGTCGACAATCAATTCATGACCACCTGGTGCCTATTAATAAATTAACAAAATGTTAAATATTAATATAGTAATATATTTTTTCAATAATTTGTAATATATGTATTTGTACAATTAATATTATAATTATTAAATTTATTAATTAAAACTTACTGTTTTTCCTTCGGGAACTATTTTTAATGTGCCGAACAATTCGATGGAAGCTTCAGTATTCAGAGTGAGTGCATCGTATGTTTGACAAAGTTTGTCATTCAAAACGCATTGCAAAAATCCAGTACCATCTCTCAATGTTATAAACATTAGAGATTTACCTGAAAATAATATAAAATTATTTTCGATTTACATTCTAAAAAAAATTAGATTTTTTTTTTTAATCAAATTTAATTGTTTAATAAATATTTTACTTTAAATAACTAATGTTATTTGATATTAAATTCATTTTATTAATTTCTTAATAAGAAATAATTCTACAAGAATATTATCAAGGAAATTTATTTCTAATTTAATAAATAATTATAAATATTAAAATCATTAATAATAATTGGACTCTTTTGGAAGAGTTACAGTTAAAATTTTTAGAAATAATTGAATTTCAAAAGATTTTGTTAATTTTCAATAATTAAATTTTACAGAAGTAAAAATAATTTATCAAATAATTTTAGATAACATTTTTTAAAAGTAATTGAATTTTCGAAGATTTACAATTTTTATTTTTAAAATTAATTTAACTTCAAGTTGATTTTTAATTAAAATTTTATGATGATTTCACTAAAAAATTTATTAGAAATTGCAGACAAAAATACAATAATTTGAAAACTTTTTAAGTGAAAAATGAAAATTTTCAGACAGTTGAATTATTTTCGAAGAATATTATAAAAAACATTTAAAATAATTAAATTTCAAAAAAATTTTTGATGGAAAATTTTAGAAATAATTAAATTTGAAAAGCTTTTAAATTGAAATATTTGAAAATAATTGAATTTCAAAAGATTGTGTTAAATTTCAGACAATAATTATAATAAGAGAAATTATTAGTGATTTCTGTTGATGAAGAATTTTTTAGAAATCACACAAAAAAAATTGAATTCCAAAAGTTTTTAATTGAAAAATATTTTCAGATAATTGAATTTTCGAAGAATAATATAAAAATCATTAAAAAATAATTGAAATTTTTGCAAATAATTAAATTTCAAGTGATTTTGAATTAAAATTTTTTTGGTAATTTTATTTGCTAATTTTTTTAATTATAAACAATTATTAAATTTCATAAAAATTTTAATTGAAAAATAGTTTTAAAAAATTGAATTTGTAAAGAATTTCATTAAAATTATTAAAAATAATTAATTTAGTGGAGAATTTTTGTTAAAATTTGTTAAATAATTGAAATAAAGAAGATTTGAAGAACTGCATTTTGTTGAAAAATGTTGTAAAAAAATGTAAAAGAAGTCAAAAAAAGTCGCAGTTTATTAAAATAAGTCGAAAAAGTCATATTTTTGGAAAAAGTTGAAAAAGTTGAAGAATCCGAGGCCTGCAATTCAGATTTTTGAAAATAATTAAACTTTACGCAATATTTGAATGAAATTTTTGAAAATTTATTAGAAAATTACAAAAAAAAAAAAAAAAATGAAATTTAAAAAAATTTTAATTGAAAAATACTTTTAGATAATTTAATTTTCTGAAGAATATAAAAATCATTAAAAATAATTGAATTTCGAAATTTATAGTTGAAATTATTAAATTTCAAAAAGTTTAAAAAAAAAATATTAGTATTAAAATATAAATTTTTGAAAATAATTGAATTTCCAGTGATTTTAAATTAAAATTTTTTGTAACTAAAAATAATTTATCAAATAATAATTTTAGATAAAATTTTTTGAAAGTAATTGAATTTTCAAAGATTTACATTTTAGGTTTTTTCAAATTAATTGAAATTCAAGTGATTTTTAATTTAAAATTTTTAATATCTATTATTAAAAATTTTTTTAGAAATTGCAGTCAAAAATACAATTATTTGAAAACTTTTTTAGTGAAAAATTGTTACAGATAGTTTAATTATTTTCAAAGAATATTATAAATATCATTAAAAGTAACTGAAATTTTTGCAAATAATTAAATTTCAAGTGGTTTTGAATTAAAATTTTTTTTGTAATTTTATTTGCTAATTTTTTTAAAACTATAAACAATTATTAAATTTCTAAAATTTTAATTGAAAGATAATTGAATTTGTGAAGAATTTCATTAAAATTATTAAAAATAATTAATTTAGTGAAGAATTTTTGTTAAAAATTTGTTAAATAATTAAAATAAAGAAGATCTGCATTGTATACTAAAAAAACGTGTTTTGTTTAAAAATTTTGTAAAAAAAAAATGTAAAAAAAAAATCGAAAAAGTCGCATTTTATTAAAATAAGTCGAAAAAAGTTGTATTTTTGAAAAAAAATCGGAAAATGTTGAAAAAGTCATATAATCCGAAGCCTGCAATTTATATTTTTAAAATAATTAAACTTCAAGCGATTTTTGAATGAAATTTATGATAATTTATGCTGCTGAATAATTTATTAGAAAATTACAGAAAAAAAATTGAAATTTCGAAAGTTTTTAATTGAAAAATGCTTTCAGATAATTTAATTTTTTCAAGAATATAAAAATCATTAAAAAAAATTGAATTTCTAAAGTTATTATTGAAATTATTAAATTTCAGAAAGTTTTAAATGGAACATTTTTAGAAAATTTTATAGAAATTTTTGAAAATACTTGAATTTCCAGTAATTAAAATTTGTTTGGTAATTTTATTTGCAGTTATTTTTTTAAAAAAAATTTTAAACCAAGGATATAAATGTAGATCTATATTTTAATGAATTTTTACCTTGCCTCCGAAGTCTATGAACCCAACCATAAATTTTTATTCTCTTATCACGATATTCATGACATTGATTAATTTTAACACGAGACGGTGTTGGTAATGTTTTGTCTTCCTCTATTGTAATTGCTTTAGCGTCTTCTAAATTTTTTAAACGCTTCTCTTCATCCTCCTGAAGTTTTTTTAATTTATCATCATTCTTTTGTTGTTCACGTGCCCAAATTTTTTGCACTTTCTTAAGTTGTGATTTTGCCGCTGGCTCATATTTGGCACCATCTTCTTTTGCGTCTTGATAAATTATTGGAAATGGCTCTTTACCAGCGTGTCGCATTGCTTGTAAAATTGTTTTAAACGGTTTTACTTCCGTTCCGTCACCATTTTCATCGCTACCCGATTTGTCGGATGTGTAAATGCCTTCGGACATTGTTGATTTTCTATAATATTAAAATTCTATGTTTATTGTTTTATTACATTTTTTTTATATACAAAATCATGGTTGACACAAAAATTTTATTTTATTTTTTCCTAATTTACAGATAAAATTTAAATTTTTTCCCCCGACCCTAATGAAAACTATTTCAAGAGGTTTTCAATTATAAAAAATTTAGATAATAATTTTTGCAAGTAAAAGTTTGAATTAAAAATTTCAAAAATTATAATTTTAGTAGCATTTTTGGAAATTTGATATTTTCTTCTGGAAATGTAATTTTTTTTTACAATTTGCAAAATATTTTATACAATAAATTAATGGTGAAAAATTTTTTATTTGCTTTTTTAATTTTATCTTTATTGTTATAATAAAGAATTTATTATCGTTACATTATTTTGTTTTAGATAATTAAAAATTTTTACCGTAAAATTTAAATAACAATTACCATTCCAATATTTAATTATTTAAAAAAAATCAATTTTCAAAAAATTTAAGATAATAAAAAATTACGAAAAAATGATTGTTACTATTTTTCGATCAATATTGCATCAGTGTAAACACAATTGATAAATTTTTATGTTTAATATCTGATGCAATTTGTATATAAATTTTTCGGTTACGCGTTGCTTTTGATTCTTGAAATATAACCTCCAAATTTTACTTTTTCCGATTCTTTTTTTTAATATATATATATATATATATAATAAAGTATCAATAAGTAATGAATACGTTCGAAATTTTTTGTTAAACAATGTTTAATTAATTAAAAAAAAAAATGATTCATTTTCTAAGAATAAAAATAAGAAACAGATGTTAACCGCAATAGTTAAATTATGTAAAAAAAAATAATAAAATAAAATACAGAGAATAAAGAACTATTCATACCTTTTCAACGATCTTTTGTTCAATTAGAATTTTTTTTTTTTGTTAATTATTTTACAATATAAATGCAAATAAAAAAAAATTGCAGTACTTTTTCACACCCACAAATAACAATGATCAATGCACATGGCCACATGCAGTGATGAAATTGATGATGTGTTTTTTAAAGTGAAGTTAGTGCAGCAACCATAAAAATCAAAATGTTTGTTTTTATCATAAATCAATCGGGACATTAGAGTTTAGTGATTATTAAACTTCTTTAAATTAAACAATTTTAAGTTTAAAATAGAATTTTAAAAAATAACTTTATAAACAAATAATTTGACAAATTTTGCATTTATGGTTGCTATGCTAACTTCATGTCAATGGAAATATTTCCAAACTTCATTGGGAAATTTCGATAGTGGTCATAAATTTTTATTTCTGTTATACTTTCTAGTGTAAAATACTAATTTATTAATATAGAAACAAATTTATTTAATTATTATCAAAACTCTTTAAAGTTAATTAAAAAAATAAAACTATATACATAAATTAATTTATTAATTAACTTAACTAAAAATTCAAAATATCCCGCCAAGAGGTAATATTTCCAGCTGTCATGTGTAATTTTTCCCCCACTCAAAATTCTATTTTGATTTTGATTTTTTATTTTTCTTGTTGATTTTCCATAAAATCAAGTATTTAATTTCTATGAAGTTTTAAAAAAATACTTTTTAAAAGGAGGTATAAAAAATAATTCAAAATATTTTACTCTTAACTGTATCATAATATCGATTACAAACATAACCTAACTTTCTTGTGTTGTTTTGCTAACATGCGAAGTGATAGAAATGGTTCCGAGTTTTAAAAAGATATTTGCATTTATTAAACACGTGTTTCAAATGTATAAAACACTGTAATCTGCGGAAAAAAAGAATCTCTTTTTAAGGTGTGAGAAAAATTGTCATAATATACATATATATAGCAAATCGTTTGTATATACTATATATAATTGCTGCGAAAAAAAAATTGCAAATTTCCATTTAATGATTAGCTATGAGAAGAAAATTGTATTATCTTTCACAGCAATAATTGGTAGTGAATTATTTTTCTTTATAATTGTCAAAAGTAATGGCAGGACTTGAAAATTATGAAAGGGTTTATCGTGGACGACAAGTAGACGTACCTTGGGAAGCATCTTCAGCAGGTGTTGGACTTCCAACAAAATATCATGGACGAGAAGTTATTCGTCCTTTAGATATTCCTGTAATGCATCCTTTAGTTGCTCAGGATTCACCGCCCGCAGATGGTAATTATAATAATCTCAGCCAATTTTATATTGTTAACCTTTAAATATCTAAAACTTATTTAAATATACATATAGGTATATAAGTTTAATGCATTAACGAATTATTTTTCGCTTGATGTCAATGTCGAGGTGTCTCGAATAATGTTACTTGTTATTCATGTCTATATATATTCTCATTCTAAAATTAGTTTTGTTTATTTTGACAAAATATAGTTGATTATCGAATTTCAAGGAAAATTTTATTTTTACAAAAAAAACGAAGCAATGTAATAAATATTAATTAATTAATTATAATAATTGTTTTAAAAAAAACTTAATAAATAAATAGTAATAATTAATTAACAATAGTAATAATATAATTGATAATTTTTATAAGTCTCTTTATTACTGTCAATAAATAAATAATTAAATTTAATATAATTACAATCCTCCGATTATACGACTTTTTTTCAAAAATACGACTTTTTTCGACTTATTTTAATAAAATAAGACTTCTTCGATTTTTTTTACATTTTTTTTTACAAAATTTTTAAACAAAACACGTTTTTTTAGTATACAATGCAGATCTTCTTTATTTTAATTATTTAACAAATTTTTAACAAAAATTCTTTAGTAAATTAATTATCTTTAATAATTTTAATGAAATTCTTCACAAATTCAATTATCTTTCAATTAAAATTTTAGAAATTTAATAATTGTTTATAGTTTTAAAAAAATTAGCAAATAAAATTACAAAAAAAATTTTAATTCAAAACCACTTGAAATTTAATTATTTGCAAAAATTTCAGTTACTTTTAATGATATTTATAATATTCTTTGAAAATAATTAAACTATCTGTAACAATTTTTCACTAAAAAAGTTTTCAAATAATTGTATTTTTGACTGCAATTTCTAAAAAAATTTTTAATAATAGATATTAAAAATTTTAAATTAAAAATCACTTGAATTTCAATTAATTTGAAAAAACCTAAAATGTAAATCTTTGAAAATTCAATTACTTTCAAAAAATTTTATCTAAAATTATTATTTGATAAATTATTTTTAGTTACAAAAAATTTTAATTTAAAATCACTGGAAATTCAATTATTTTCAAAAATTTATATTTTAATACTAATATTTTTTTTTTAAACTTTTTGAAATTTAATAATTTCAACTATAAATTTCGAAATTCAATTATTTTTAATGATTTTTATATTCTTCAGAAAATTAAATTATCTAAAAGTATTTTTCAATTAAAATTTTTTTAAATTTCATTTTTTTTTTTTTTTTTGTAATTTTCTAATAAATTTTCAAAAATTTCATTCAAATATTGCGTAAAGTTTAATTATTTTCAAAAATCTGAATTGCAGGCCTCGGATTCTTCAACTTTTTCAACTTTTTCCAAAAATATGACTTTTTCGACTTATTTTAATAAACTGCGACTTTTTTTGACTTCTTTTACATTTTTTTACAACATTTTTCAACAAAATGCAGTTCTTCAAATCTTCTTTATTTCAATTATTTAACAAATTTTAACAAAAATTCTCCACTAAATTAATTATTTTTAATAATTTTAATGAAATTCTTTACAAATTCAATTTTTTAAAACTATTTTTCAATTAAAATTTTTATGAAATTTAATAATTGTTTATAATTAAAAAAATTAGCAAATAAAATTACCAAAAAAATTTTAATTCAAAATCACTTGAAATTTAATTATTTGCAAAAATTTCAATTATTTTTTAATGATTTTTATAATATTCTTCGAAAATTCAATTATCTGAAAGTATTTTTCAATTTAAAACTTTTGGAATTCAATTTTTTTTATGTGATTTCTAATAAATTCTTCATTAACAGAAATCACTAAAAATTTCTCTTATTATAATTATTATTGTCTGAAATTTAACACAATCTTTTGAAATTCAATTATTTTCAAAAATTTCAATTTAAAAGCTTTTCAAATTTAATTATTTCTAAAATTTTTCATCTAAAATTTTTTGAAATTTAATAATTTCAATTATAAATCTCTTGAAATTTAATTATTTTAAATGATTTTTATAAATACTCTTCGAAAATAATTCAACTGTGTGAATAATTTCATTTTTCACTTAACTTTTTGAGGACCTAATTATTTCTTAAAAAATCGCGATTTTTGATCTTTAAATATGTTTTTCAGCGAAACTAATTAAGGTTTTTTGTCTCAAAACCAGAGTTTAGAATTGGAAATTTATTAGACTAAATGAAAAAAATTGGTCTAATATTTAGTTTTAAAAATCAAGGAACTTATGCTTAAAATAACAAAAAAATGTTTATGTTGCCTGAAAGCAACAATTGTCCTCAAAGGGTTAAAAAGTTTTTAAATTATTGTACTTTTTGTCTGCAATTTCTAATAAATTTTGTAGTAACAGAAATCATCAAAAATCAGGGTGTCTAACGATCAGGGAAAAGTCAGGGAATTTCTTTAATTTACTGAAATTTTTTATAAATAAATTAAAATAACTATTAGTCTCAAAAATTTTTTTTTATTTTTTTCCCAAAGTAAATGCAAATTAAAAAGTTAGCCATCACACTCAATTATTAAGCATGTGATATATTTTATATTCATTAAGTAAATAATTATTTACTACTATTTATTGAATTTAATAAATGATTTTTTAAACTTGGATAACAAATTAATTAATTTTTTTCAGTGAAATATTTGGTTTTTTAATAAAAATAAAAAATTATTTGATACAATTTTATTTTATCAGTTCAATTTCAAATAAAGTAAATTATTCATTAATACGAATAATTTATCATTTAATGCTAATATCCACATTTAACTTAAAAAAATGTTTACGGCGTTGAATATTAAATTATCGAATTTCTATTTAGCAAAATTGTATAAAGTGAATTTTATATTATACAAAATTTTCAATTTACATTTAACTAAAATTCGATTTAAAAGAATTTCTATTTAGCAGAACTCTTATAAAGCATTTTTTCTAATATTTTTTAAAAATTTTAAATTAATATAATTTCAATTTAACGAACTTTATGTCTATAAAAATTGACAAAAAAAGATTTAAGTTGAACTTTTCTTAAATGAGAATTCTGTTAAATAAGAATTAATTCGAATTAAAATTTTCTTTAATAAAAATTTTGTTAATTAAAAATTTTGTTAAATAGAAATTCTTTTAATTGCAGATTTATTCAATGACAATTCTGTTAAGTAAATATTTTGATAAATTGAAATTTACTAAAATAACAATTCAGTTAAAAAAAATTGTTCTTTATGGAATTTTTCTTGACATAAATACCGATAAATTCAAATTGTATATTAATTTGAAATTCGATGTACTAGAAAATCTGCTTTATATATAATTTTATTAAATAAAAATTTGATAATTTAAGATTTGACGACGTAAAAATTTTTTTAAATTAAATATTGAAAATATTTATACATCCCCAATTAGTTTATTTATTTCACTTAAATATTTTATTTTTTACGAAACATTTATTTATTTAGTGAATGATTTATTTGTATCAAAATAAATATTTTTTAATGTAATTTAGGTCTGGGAAAAGTCAGTGAAAAAATTAGGGGAATTTTTTTCCTAGCAATTGTTAGACACCCTGTTAAATGAAAAAATCGACTTTCTTTGGAATATAAATCGACTAAAATGACTTTTTTTTACTCCTTAAAATCAAATCCGAGGCCTGTAATTAATAATATATAATTATAATTTAATTTAATATATATAGTTTCTGCATTTCTTTTCAAAAGAGCGAAAATTCGAAATAAAAATAAATATATTTACATATAGATGTTGCTGTAAAAAAATATGTTGGTTTGGGCTGTGGATTGGCGAGTTTAATTACTGAAAATTTATTAATCCATCCATTTATCGTAATACGAAGACAATGTCAAGTAAATCCTGTCGCTACAAAATATCATTTGGTACCAATAACATTGATACCGGTAATTATTCGTTTACATCAAACTCAAGGTCTCAATACTTTATGGAAAGGAATTGGATCGGTTTTACTTGTTCGAGGATTGAGTTTAGCTATTGAGGATTTAGTTTCTAAAATCACACCATGGCCCAAGTAATTTTTAAAAAAAATTTATATCCCATTATTTATTATTTTCTTTATTGTCAAAGGCATATTTGAAACTTTTAACCTTTCATTAAAAAAAAAAAAAATTATTATTATATTTTATTTCTAGGGAAATAACGTGTAACAGTTCAATGAAAGCTTTTGGACAACATATTCTCTTAAAATGGTAAATTATTTTTTAAAAAATAGTCTATTATTGATTTAATATATTAAATTAGTTAGTAAAATTATTGTACCTGTAATAAAAAATTTAGTTAAAAAAAATTGAAGGAAGAAAAAGTTGCTTATTAAAATTTATTTATCAATTACATTTTCGTGACATTTTTTACTATTTTTTTTTTTTACCATTCTTGGGCAAATATTAAATTCTGTTATTAGAGTGAAAAAAAAGAGTGTAAAGAATTTGAAGTGAAGCAGTAAAATTGTATTTTAAGTAAAATATTTTTTTAAAAATTAATTGAAATTAATTTACTATTTTAGTTAATTTAATTTTGAATGACATTTTAGAATGTGTGGAAATTGAAAAATAAAAATAATTTTGTTTTCAGTGTCTCAATTGGATTGGTAACGCCATTTTATTCAGCGTCACTCGTTGAAACTGTACAATCGGAAATTGCTTCGGAGAAACCAGGAATTTTGGATGTATTTCGTGATGGTGCAATTCGTTTGCTTGAAGTTGGCACAAAAGGACGACTTATTCCAATTTACGCTTTGATACCACCTACAATTGCTTATGGTGTTGTTAAATATCTATTTACTCTCATTGTAAGAGGAGTCAGCAGTCGTATGATGCATCTTCGACGAAAACACATTCAGGAGTTAAAGGTAAGTTACAATTCATTTTCTAAAAAGCAAAAAAAAAAAAACAATTTTTCTTAATTTGGAAAAATTAATTTTTTAATTTAATAAAAAAAGAAAATGGTTCAAAAAATAAATAATTTTTTTTAGAAATAGGACATTCTACCATTTTTTTTTCGTTTTGTTTTAAATAAATAATAAATTTTATTTTTTAACATAAATTATAAATATTTATATAAAATTGTTTTTAAATTCAATTTGTAATTTAAGTTACGTTGAGTTTTTTGTGAAAATTATATTTTTGAATTAATTAAAAAAAAAAAAAGAAAAAAATGTTACTTTTTTTCTCTCTCTTTCAGGGTGCATACAGTCGAGATATTCTTTCGGATAGTGCGATGCAAGATATTGAATTGCAATCAATTTTGGTGTCAATGTGCGCTGCCGATGTTGTTTTCTATCCCCTTGAGACTGTCATTCACAGGTTACATTTACAGGGAACGCGTACGATAATTGATAATTTGGATACTGGACGTAGTGTGAGACCATTATTGACTGGTTACAGTGGCGCTGTCGATTGTTATCGAACAATTATTGCCACTGAAGGAGCAATTGGTTTGTACAAAGGTTTTGGTTCACTTGTCCTTCAATTTGCTGTTCATTTTATGGTATTGCGTGCCACCAAATGGATTCTCACTGAACTCACCTCCATTTTGAGACCGAAACCCGTTCAAAAAGTACCACCACAGTCTTACTATAATGAAATATAGAAAATTTTAAACCAAAAAGAAAAAAAAAGAAAACAAACAAACGAAAGAAAATGAAAGAAAAGAACAACTTTTTTCGATTATGGTAATAATAATTAACTTTTTTTCGAACGCTAACTTTGATTCAATTTTCAAATAATTATCTATGAAAAAATTTTGCTGTGATTCAAAAAATATTGATTTTCAATTAATAATCTCGAGTGATAATTGAAATGATTAATTTACAGAGGGATTAAATTATGTTCTCAATATTTGATTCGTTAATTTCATTTTTGATTAATTTTTTACTGAAACGTTCTTGAATTGAATTTTGTTAATTTTTTTCTTTCTGATTGTGTATGAAATATTTTTCGCTCTTTTGATTTTGTTTATTATAAATTTTTATTTTAACAAAAAATTTTTTGTAAATATAAAATTAACAAAATTAACCAAACGAATTTATAATAAATAAAAATAATTACTTTTTTTTGTAATTTTTACGAATACATTTAATAAAGTACAAGAAAAGTAGAGTTTAAAAAATAATTAAAAAAAGAAAAATGTTTGGAAAAATTTATTAAAAATAAAAAAAAAATTAACCAAAAAAATTCATAATAAATAAATAAATAATTTTTTTTTGTACTTTTAATTTATAGGTATTCAATAAAGTCCAAAAAAGTAAAGTTTAAATTAATAAAAAAAAGTAAACGAAAAATTAATTAAAAATAAAAGAAATTAACAAAAAGAATTCGTAATAATTTTTTTTTGTACTTTTTATTTATATTCAATTAAGTACAAAAAAAGTAAATATTGAAATAATAAAAAGTAAAAAAAAGAAAAATTGTCTGAAAAATTATTGCGCGAGGAAAATTTATTACAAATATTTATTTTATATTAAATTAAATGATTACTTTTAATAGGATCTGATTTTTTTCAATAAATTTTAATTGATTTTGTGATTCATTGAAAATAGATTATAAAAATATAATATTATATTATAATAATAATAATAAATAATCGAAATTGTGTTTAAAAAAAAAATGAAAAATAATTTCAAAATATATAAAAATAGATATAAAAAAACATTTTTTTTTAAATTGAATCAAAGTTAGCAATTATTAATCGAATTTACATAATTTTTACCTTGAAAAATAAATTATTGCTATTAAGACTATTTAGCAAAAAAAAAAAGTAGTTGACTTTAACAATAAACAAAAATAATAGAAATAACACAAAAAACATAAAAAATACAATTCCTTATAAGAGGAAAAATTGCAATTTCACTGTAAAATTTCCAAGATTTTTTTTATTCAATTTTCCTTTTTCCTTTTTTTTTTTTTTTTTTTTTTTAATAAACAGAAGTAATTTTTGTTTAGATTTTAAAATTTTTTTCCAAAAATCAGAATTTTTCTTCTTTTATTTTCGTTGTTAACAAAATTGTTAAAAAAAGAAAACACGCGTTAAATTACAGTCGAAAAATAAGTGAGAAAGATAATTAAAAAATTATCACCTTGTAAATATTTGTAGTTATTAATTTAAATATTTAATATAGAATTTTTGTTTGCCGATTGAAGAGGATATGTGCTTGAAGAAAGTGAAAAAAAATGACTGTTATTGATGTTTAATTAATATTATAATAAAGAAATCAGAAAAAAAATTACAATGTTTTTTTAAAATGGATATTAAAAAGGATAAAAAAAAAGTTTTAAACTTATTTATTATAAATATAAGTTCATACAGTGTAAATTAGCTATAATTATAAACCAGTGATCTCAATTTCTTAAATAAAAGTCACATGGTTCTATCCACTTTATTTATTTTTTTTGTACAATTGTACAAATTCGGAACAAAAAAAAGAAAAATTAGATCACACTTTATAATTTAATTTCTTCTCATGAAACTGAAATTGACGTTAAAATTTTCTAAAAAAAAACTCGAATTAAAATTTTTTTTTTCTAAATAAATAAAATATAGACAATTTAAGAAATTTAATTATTCGTACAATTAATTAAATTGTAATTTCTTAACATATTTTTTTCCCTTAATTGATAAAAATTAAGAATTAAATTAAAAATTTAGATTTTAAATAGATGAATAATTTTGTTCGAGAGAGATTATCAATTTCAATTTCATGAATATTGCTTACAGAAATTTTCGTTAATATATATATATATATAATTGTCAAATCTGACAATAAAAAACTCTTGTTTTTTGTTTTCTCAAATTTCTTGCGTAAATTATTATAATTATAATAATAATTGTAAAAACCTAATAATCACAAGCAAAAAAAGTATAAGAAAAGTTTGAAGATATTAAACGAAAAGCGCTTTTAATGAAAATGATGTTCTCTCAATGATTTTTTTTTTTTATTTTCTTGCTTACGTTTAAATTTCTTACTCTGGAAAATTAGACTATTATCATTAACACCGCACGTTAATAAAGGAATGAATTTGTTTTGAATAATATATAATTCGATTGTGTAAAATTAAATTTTTTTTTAAGACACATTTTTTTTCTGTCTTAAAAAAAAAATTATCGAGGTAATATTTTTTTTTAAAAAGCAAAAATGAATAATAGTAATTAACTTTTTCGACAAAGTTATGTATATATATATATATATCTTTTTTTTTTAATTATTCTCTTCTATTTTTCGCAATGACTCTACTTATATTTCTTGCTATTTACAATATATTACAAAAAATGTTAACTATCTAGATAAATTTGCGTAAAAATAATTTTTTTATTTTTACTTTTATTTTTTATTTATTTATTTATTTGAAAATCACGACGTGGATATCTCACTTTTTAATTCAGGTGCTATGAATTTCGATCTCGTAGCCTCTCCATCTCCCATAATCTCGCAGTATCGTTCAATAGTTTATAACGATGCAATGAAAGAATGTCTATTAAGTACTGGAAAATTCCCAAAAACAGAAAGATATACAATATTTATTACAAAAAATAATCTAAGGAAATTAATTTCAAATTGAATTTTGCAAAATTTTTTTTTTAAATTAAATTTGGCAAAATTTATTTTAAAATTCATTTCAAAATTTATTTCAAAAAAATTTATTACAAAAATTAAAAAAAAAAAAAAAACATTTAAATGCAAAACTAGTTTTACAAATTCAACTACAAAAATTATTTTATTTTTTCTATTTAATTTTAAATTGAAAATAAAAAAAAATTAGTTTTTTTTTTAAACGAATGTCGAGTGTGAAAAAAATTTGGAAGAAACCTTGTTCGAAATTCAAGCACCTGTTGAAGATAATATATTTTTTTTTTTTTCGATGGAAACTAAGTGACATTAAAATGATTAAAAACTTGGTATTTTTCATTAGATTCATCTCAATCCGTTCTTTTTTTTGGAACACTTAGAATAGATGGCATTTTATTGGGCGAGGGGGAGAGAGAAAGATAGAAGAAGGAGGAGGAAGGGACTGAGAATATTCCAGATGTGTAAAATACGATTTTTTTTTTTGCTTATTCCCTTTTTTTCTGTATATATATATATAGTTCAAAATAATTTTGCAGGAGCAGTTCCTAAATTGAATATTTGCTAATTATTTACCCGCTGCGCTTGCTGTAATTCATCGTCTGAAGATTCGGTTCTTCTAATGTACTGGGGCTTATCAATGCCCCTAACACAGCCCTCGGTTACGTGAACAGTCAATACATCGCTTCCTGGCACCTCAAACATTGGTTCCAATAGAAGTGATTCCATAATGGCTCGAAGACCTCGTGCACCGGTTTTTCGATCCATTGCCAATGACGCTATTGCATCAAGTGCCTCTGGCGTGAATGTCAATTCCACCTAAAAATGGAATTTCAATTATTATCCATTTTTTTTTTTTTTTTTTTTTTTTACTTATAAACATAAATTATTGTATATACTCTTTCTTTTTTCAAAATTGTTAATAACACAAAATTTCTTTTATTCAACGAAACTGAAGTACGCAACGTTTATGATAAACGATTTTTAAAGAAATAATTTTTTAAAATGGAAAATTATATAATTTTTTGCCTAAAAAGTATTTCTTGTAGTTTTCATTAATCAGCAAATTAAAAAAAAATATTTTTTAGGCAAAAGATTATAAAATTTTTCATTTTAAAAAATTATTTCTTTAAAAATCGTTTATCATAAACGTTGCGTACTTCAGTTTCGTTTTATTCAGGCCTCGGATCGACTTTAAGGCACAAAAAAGTCGATTTTTTATTTTAACAAAATTTCATTGGTTAATAAATATTTTACTTTAAATAACTAATTATTATTAGATATTAAATTCATTTTATTAATTTTGTAATGAGAATAATTTTATATTGAATATTATCAAGAAATTTTATTTCGAATATTTGAGAATCGAACTAATTGTGAGACAAATTTTCAAAATTTCATTTAAGTAGGACAAATTTCTCAAAAAAAAAAAAATTCTTAATGTACCATTTTTATAATTTTTTCAAATCTGATTTAAGCAATTTATTCGAATTAAAAATTTTGTCTTTTTGTTTTTTAGTTTTGATAATCAAAAAAATTTCAGGCAATACTCAATCAAGTTTTACAGATTTTTATATAAAAAAAATTTTTTTAAATAATAATTTTTGAAGAGTTAAAGTTGAAATTTTTAGATATAATTGAATTTCAAAAGATTTTATTAATTTTCAGACAATAATTAATTAAAGATTTACAATTTTGATTATTGTAATTAATTGAACTTCAAGTGATTTTTAATTTAAATTTTTTTTAAGATTTCACTAAAAAATTTATTAGAAATTGCAGACAAAAATAAAAGAATATTATAAAAATAGTTAAAAATAATTGAATTTTCGATGGAAAATTTTAGAAATAATTAAATTTTAGAAGCTTTTAAATTCAAATTTTTGAAAATAATTGAATTTCAATTGAATTTTGGATAATAATTTAATCTTAGTTGATTTTAAATTGAAATTTTTGAGAATAAATGAATTTTAGTTGATTTTGAATTGAAAATTTTGAAAATAATTAAATTTCAATTAAAATTTTGGAAAATAATTGAATTTCAAATAATTGAAGAATTTATCAGAAATTATAGACAAAAATTGAACTTAAAAATCTTTTTAATTGAAAAATGCTTTAAGATAATTGAATTTTCAAAAAATATTATGAAAATAGTTAAAAAAAATTTGAAAATAATTGAATTTTAGTTGATTTTAGATTGAAATTTTTGATAATAATTTAATTTTAGTTGATTTTTGATTGAAAATTTTGATAATAATTAAGTTTGAATTGAAGTTTTTGAGAATAATTGAATTTTAGTTGATTCTTAAATTAATTAAAATTTGGATAATTTAAAACTTCAATCAATCAAAATTCGGATAATTTGAATTGAATTTTAGTTGATTTTGAATTTGAAAATTTGGAAAATAATATTGAATTTTAGTTGATTTTGAATTAAAAATTTTTGGTAATTTTATTTGATATATTTTTTTAAAATTATAAACAATTATTAAATTTCATAAAAATTTTAATTGAAAAATAATTTGAAATAATTGAATTTATGATGAATTTCATTAAAATTATTAAAAATAATTAATTTAGTGATGAATTTTAGTTAAAAATTTGTTAAATATTTGAAATAAAGAAGATCTGAAGATCTGCATTTTATACTAAAAAAAATCGTATTTTATTTAAAAGGTATTTTTTAAAAAATGTAAAAAAAGGCGAAAAAATCGCATTTTATTAAAATAAGTCGAAAAAAGTCGTATAATCCGAGGCCTGACTGTTTAAAACTTTGTTAATAAATTTTAAGTAATTCTAATTTACTAAAATTTTAGAAATCAAAAAAATTCGCTAAAATTTAAAATTCTTGAATTCTATCATTTAAAAAAATTTTTTTTTTTTGAAAAAAGTAGCATTTAGTGGCTTTTGGACAAAATTAGTAGTAAAAAAAAGTAGCCTTGTCGAAAAAAAAGTATCAAAAAAAGTAAAAAAGTGTGTCACTTCGAAGCCTGATTTTTATATGGCTTTGAAAAATAATGTTATATAATTTACCTTATCCATTGAGAACAACATTTGATATTGTGGAACCATGGCATTTTTAGGCTCAGTTAAAATCCTAACGAGCATCTCCTTGTTTAACGTATGAAATGGAACAAGTACGGGAAACCTGCCGACAAATTCCGGTATCATACCAAAATCAATGAGATCACGCGCCTCAACTTGTCGCAATAATATATCCTTCTCTCGATTATCATCCTCCGTCGATGGTGACATATTTGCAACATCAGCAAGATTCGCTGCTCTTCTACCAGGACTCTCTGACGCTGGTGTTGCACCAAAACCAAGATATTTTTCATTTTTACGCCTTGACACAAGCCTATCTAAACCATTATAGGCACCCGATGCAACAAACAATATATTCGTTGTATCAACTTGTAATGTATCGCCACGTAATTTACGCGAACTATTTCTCTCTGGTACATTGACAATTGTACCCTCTAACATTTTCAACATTCCCTGTTGCACACCCTCGCCACCAACATCTCTCAATTGATGTATCCCTGGTACGGCACCAATTTTATCCACCTCATCGAGAAAAACAATTCCCATTTGTGCACGATCAACAACATAATTTGCGTCTTGTAACAATTTTGCAATAACACTCTCAATATCCTCGCCAACATAGCCGGCTTGCGTTAATGTTGTACAATCGCATATTGCAAATGGAACATCTAAACATTGTGCTATTGTTTGGGCGAGAAGTGTTTTACCTGAGCCAGTTGGTCCCAATAGAAGTATATTACTTTTTTCCAATTTTAATTGATGTTGTTTACTATCGAGAATATCGGAGCCAAGTGTCGATTGTGAACTTGATTTCGATTGTTGTTCTGTATTATTGTTATTATTTTGTGAGACTTGTTGAAAACCAACGCCCAATGGATTTCCAATGTTTGATATATGCAGTAAATCTGTGAATGGAGAAAAGAAAAAATTTTTATTTTCTTTTTTGGAATTTTTTTTTAATTACTTTTAAATTCTAATGGAAAGAAAAAAAAAATTTTTTTCTACTTCTTTTTGCAGAAAAAAATATATATAACAAGAGTTGCCACAAGAATAATTGAAAATTATTATTATTATTATTATTATTATTTAACGAAAATAGGTGATAAAAATGCTGATAGTTAAAATGAATTTAGAAAAAAAAAACTAAAAAGAACAATTAATTTGTGTTTATAAAAAATTTTAATTACATCGAAATTTTTTTTATCAATTATTTAAGCATTAATAATTTTAAAAGGTTTAAAATTTAATTTTGAACAAATTAAAACTTAAATCAATCAAAATTTGGATAAATTGAAATGTAGATAATTCTAAACTTAAATCAATTTAAATTTAGATAAACGAAAATTCTTGTAATTTAAACTAAAATCTCTAAAAAATTTGAATGATTCTAAATTTAAATAAATTTGAATAATTTAAAACTTCAATCAATCAAAATTCAAATAATTTGAAACTTAAATTAATTAAAAAATTAAAAACAAATTGAAATTTTGATTATTTGATGCTTAAATCACTTAAAATTTGGATAATTTGAAACATAAATCAATTAAAATTTTTAAAAAATTATTTTTTCGATAATTAGAAACTTAAATAAAATTAATCTTCAGCCTGTTTGAAATTTCATTAATTTGCATGTGATTAAAATTTCAATTAATAAGTTTGTTTTGTACATTAAAAATAGAATTGATTGAAAAATTGATCTTTTGGAATTTAAATTTAAATTAAAAATTTAAAACAATTAAAATTTTTGGATAAATTGAAATTTCTAAAATTTGAAACTTAAATCTGTTAAAATTTAGATAATTCTACATTTAAATTAATTAAAATTTGGACAAATTAAGTTTACGATAATTTGAAACAAATCAATTAATCTTTAGCCAATTTAAAATTTCGATTGATTAAAATTTGATATAATATATTTGTTTTCACCAATAAAAATTAGAATTGATTGAAAGATGGAACATTGTAAATTTAAATTTATATTAAATTGAAATTTTCATCAATGATTGAAGCATTAATAATTTAAAATTTGTTTAAATTTAATTTTAGACAAATTAAAATTTACATCTAAAAAAATTTTTTTTTGGTACAATTGAAATTCGCATAATTTGAAATTTAAATCTGTTAAAATTTGGATAATTTTAAATGTAAATCAATTAAAATTTGGAGAATTTGAAACTTATATAAATTAATCCTTTACTAGTTTGAATTTTCATTAATTCTAAGTTTTGTTCGATTGAATTTGCATTTGATTAAAATTTGAATTGATTGAAAGATGGATATTTTGAAATTTAAATTGCAATTTGTATCAATTAAAACTTGAATCGTAGAAAATTTTATTTAAATTGAAATTATGATTAATTAAAATTAAATAGATTCAAATTTGAATAAATTGAATTTTGCATTGATTGAATTGAGGATCGATTAGAATTAGAATGAATTTAAATTTACATCGATTACAATTTTAATCAATAAATGTCTCTGCCAATTAAATTTAGATTTATTGAAATTTACTTAAAATAATTATTATTAAATTTAATTATTTTTTCAATATTTCATCAGCAAATTAATCAAATCATAAAGAAGATGAAAAAGATAAGAAATTATCAAAATAGATAAAAATTGATAACAAAATTTTAAATAGGTAAAAAAAAAGGTAAATAGGGCATAATCCTTCCCTTCTAGAGGCAAATATTGTGGCTACACTGTATACGTAAAATATTATTAATCGATTAATTAAAAAATAATAATCTAAACATGAAATAGTAAAATTTTTAAAAAAGAAAAAATTCAATATTTTCAATAACAAAAAATTGAAATATAAAATATAAATATAAAAAGTCAAATTTTTTGTATTAATTAAATATTATAATTTAATCGCGAAGCTAAGCGAATAAGTGTTTATTTACGTGTTTTAAGACCTCTATGAGTGAACGGATGATTAAGATCTTGATTGCCAACTGGATTGGCATTTGATTGTCCTGAATTTTGAACAGGAAGATTATTGTGAATTCGTTTGTAATGATTATAAACGGCAACGCTTAAAACTTTTTTTGCGTACTCCTGACCCACTACGTGTTTATTTAAATACTCGTAAATCTGTAAAAAAAGAAAAAATTTTTAATTCCTTTTTTTTTATATTTATAATTAAATCAACAAATTTCAATTGAAAATATCTGTAATTTGAATTAATTTTTGCTTTAAAAAACATTTAATTATTTATTTTTTCCATATATAGAAAGCAAATATTTTTTGTAATAAAATTTGAAATTAAAAATGTATTAAATAAATTTTTTGTCCATTTGAATGTTTAGACACATTTTTACTAATAAAAAAAAAATTTTGAATTTAGAAATACCTTCTTAGGTGGCGGTGGTGGCTTTCTATAAAATCCTTGTTTCGATTCCTCTGGTCTTAAAGCTTCCTTTAAGCTTCGTTTCGAATCAATTTCCGACAATACGACAAAAAAGTGATGACACTTTTCGCACTTTACAAACCTCGTTGAAGCTGCAAAAAAAAAAAAAAAATGAAAAAAATTACAAAATTATTCACATATAGAAAAATAGGAAAAAAAATTAAAAATACTTACAGACGAATGTTTCAACATGTGTACAAGGATCCCCACATTTCGGACAAGTCAATGTATTTTTTTTACCACCGCCACCACCACCACCACTTCCATCTCTTCCAGTTGTTCCCCCTGATGCTGTTGCTCCAGCGTCCTTATTTGGCGTTGTCGGCTCTGTTGGAATTTTATTTACAATTCCAGTCGTACAAATTGGACGAGAAGCCACAACCCTAACTATTTTATGTACTGTGAATACAAAAGAAAACACAATTTTATTTTTTACAAATTTAAAATTAACTAATTTAAATTTTAAATTAATTATTAAATTACTTTTAATTCAAATAATTAATTTTTGTTAATTATTATTATTATTATTATTTGAACGAACTTTCGGTTTTTGATTCTGTAAATTTCCCTTAATTATTAATCATTAAAGAATTTAAATCTAATATTAAAAAAAAAAAACAATTTTTATTCGAATTTCAAACGAAACATTTCAATTTTTTTTTTAAAACTTAAATCAATCAAAATTCGTATAATTTGAAAATTAAATCAATTAAAATTTAAATAAATTAAAATTTGGATAATTTAAAATTTAAAACAATTAAAATTTAGATAAATTGAACATTTTTAAGTTTAAAGAACAATTATTGAAAAAAAAAATTCTCACCGTGATTTGCGACATGATTCGATGAAGCTAATCGGCTGACACCAACTAAACAACAGCGGGCACAACTCATTGTATTGCCGATTCAGTGAAAAATCACTGCAGTTTTTTGTTTTTGTTTTTCTTTTTTTTTTTGTTGTTAAAAAAGAAATTAAATTTTGGAGTATGATGTTAATGAATGCTACGTCTGGAATAAATTTTTAATCACAATTAATTAGTAAAAAATTTGTTAAATTTACTAAATACTAAACTAATTAACTACTACTATATTATTTAAAATACATAAAAATTAATATAAATAAGTCATTTTTTACTACAGAAAGTAAAAAAAAAAAAATTGTAAAGAAAATTTTTCGAAAAAATAGAAGAAAAAAAAACTCGTCACTGTAACACAGCAAATTTTCATCTTGATAATAATATACATGTATTGAGTATTTATAATTTTGTCGTATTGCCCATTTGCAATCTATATAATCTGCAATTTATATTTAGAAAAATAAACTTCAAGTTCACGCGATCATAACTTTGTTTTCTCTTCAATTTTTTTTTTTTATTATATTTTAAAGCATTACTTAAAATAAAAATAAAAAAAAAAAATTAAATCGATAAAAAATTATTTCATACACGTGTCAATGTTTTGCAAATAAAAATTCTATATGCATTATTGGATAAACTCCAAAAAGATTTCGTAAAAAAAAAAAAAAATTAGTTAATTGGAACAACTAAAAAAAATTGTAGTAAATACAAATTGTAAGTATAAATTGTAGAAAATAAAACAGTAAGTACAATAAACAAAAAATATAACGAAACAAGTAGCCAAAAAAAAAGAAAAATATAACAAAACAATTCAGAAACTTGCAACAATTATCATTAGATAAGAAACTTGAAAAAAAACAAGTCGCATGCAACAAAGAAATCGATAAATGGATATTTTTTTTTTTTCGAAAAAAAATGTCAAAATATAGGTTATTTTGTTTCACACGAAAATTCGTATATGGAAGGGAGAATCAGCTGATTGCTATTTCTTACACGTCAAATCGCCACTTTTTATTATTACAACATATCTATATGTACGTTTATTAAATAGAACAATATTCAATGATATCCTATTAATTCGCTCAAGTGAAACGTCACAATCACAATCATTTCAATGTTTAAACAAACTTACAATTGATTTAAGCGCACTAACCTTGCAATCTGCAATTTTATTTCTCAAGAAACAAGAAAATAAAGAAAAAAAAGAAACTATTTCTCTACACGAATATTCAAATTTTTTAAATAAAAATATTATGTTTTTCTTTCTCCCCTTTTTTTTTTTAAATACCACGCAGCTGTCAAAAGTACGTTGGTCTTGAATTTAAATGTACAAGGATAAAGGGTATTAATTTTATCAGACGACAAATTTTGACATATCGCGCGATCAAAAGAAAACAATCACATCACGACACATGCAAGTGTTGTAAATAAAATAAAAAAAAATTACATCGAAGGTCAAAGATGAAGCACTACATACTTGGATTTTCTTCCTCGCAGTATTATAATACGATAACAAATTGAATATTTTATTTGAGAAAAAAATTAATAATATTTACTAACCATATATATCACATATCACAAATTGTTGTGTGAAATTTACCTTTTGTGACGTATATTTAAAAAAAAAAAACGTAAACTGTTTTGTGTTGGAGCAATCCAAAATGATTGCCAAGAAGGGTCCCTAAAACAGTTCCCCAGCCGCGCGTTCCCCAACCCAATTTCACGACTGCTGGAATTTTCGATAACAGCGACACCTGTTTTAAAAATGACGTATATAGCACATATATATATATTACACGACGAACACACAAAATAAAGTCAACCTCGAAAACTTTGCCAAATATCAAGCTATTTCATAATTTTTTCATTGTAAAAAAACAAAATATATAACATCTATTTGTTATTGTATTTATTTTTTAAAAAATAATCTCATGGTATTTATAATCACTTTAATTTAACTCTTTAGAACATATAAGACGTGACAATTAACACGTCCTTGAACATTTGTTTACAACAACAGTTTAAAAGTTATTAAAAAAAAAATTAAATTTTACTTTGGGAATTTAAATTTATTTTTTAAAAAATTATTTCTACACTGATGGATGAAATTCAAGGATTAAAAGAAAACATATTTTTTTATGGAAAAAAATGTACAAATATTTAAGGTTATGTGAAATTGATAATAATTGTATTTACATTACCGATAATCGGTAATTATCGACAAACAAGTCACTTTCACAAAACGTGTTTTATTTTTCTTGTAAACAAAAATACTGTTCTGTGTATTTATTTATTGTATTTAGAAAATAAATAGTTAAATTAATTTCAAAATGGGTAAAAAGGAAGTTAATAATGAGGTGAGTGCATTAATATTTTTTTCAGATTATCGTTTTTAGTTTTTTCTTTTAATTTTTCAGATACAAATTTTTAGGTTATGTTTTCGGCTATTTTGCAAATATTATTTTAAAATTGCAAATATTTTTAATTCTACTTTTATTTGCGTAAAAAAAAATTAAAATTATTAAAAATTAAATTATTATTTAGGCTATTGAGAATAATTGAGATTTAATTAGTTTATTGGAAAATTTAATTTTTTATTCTAACGAAACCAATTATACATTATGTTTGATAATAAAATGACAATTGCCTGTCTATAGGGATAATATTTTCATAAAATTACAAATTTATTGAATTTATTAAATTATTATTTATAATATGAATTTTATTGAATTATCATAAGAGACCGTTGTGTTTTATTGTAATTTCAATAGATGTCGTTTATTTTAAGCGCGTAAATTTCAAATATTTGGAGGGAAAAAATTATTTTAAAAACTTTTTATTTGTATTTAATTATTATTAAATTAAAAATACAAATTTGTGAATGTAAATTATTTTTCCAACTATTAAAAAAACTTTTTTTTATATCAATATTCCAAATGGGGAAATAAATATTCCGATTTTTAGTATTTTTCAGTGTGGGATTTTCTGATTCGAAATAAAATTACATTGAAAATTTTGAAAATAATTTCAATTATTTAATTAAATATTTAAAGATAATTTTAATTTTTTGATTAAATATTTGAAGATAATTATAACTATTATAATGTATTATTATTATTATTATTATTATTATTATTATTATTATTATTATTATTATTATTATTTGATTATTTAAAGGTAATTTTAATTATTTGATTTAATATTTAAAGATAATTTCAATTATTTGATTAACTAATTTAGATTTTTGAAAATTTTTTTCTTGAATTAGAATTGTAATAACTTTTACGAGTTAAAATATTGGAAATTATTACATTTCAAAAATTCTTTTAAAATATTTATCTCAAAAATATTCCATAAATTGTGAATCTGTTTAAAATTTGGAAATTTTCTTGATTTTATTTCAAAAATTTTGCCCGAAAATTTGAATTAAATTAATTTCTATAAATCAGAGTTGATTTTTTTTTTAAATATCATTTTTGTAAATGTTGGATTTTTTTTTATTTCTTAATATAATTAAAAATAATATTTTGATAATAATATTTTTTATCTATATTATTATTTTTATTCTATTAATTATTTTTTAAATTAGATATTTAAATAAATAAAAATAAATAAATTTTGACTAAATGTTGAAAAATCAATATCGATTCTTAAAATTATTTTTTAAATACTGTTTTTAATAAATATTAATATTTAATATTATTTTTAATTTCCATTTTCAAAATAAATGAAATTAAAAATATTTTTATATTAAATTATTACTAATTTTTTTATTTTTTTTTTTATATAATATTGAAATTTTTTTTTTTTTAAATATAAATTTTTTGTTTTATTTTCTAGATCGTTAAATTACGACATTTAGTACGAAAATCTCGAGTTCGAATAATACACAATTTAACAAGAGAAATAAAAATATTACGTGAAAAAAATCATGGCGATGAAAAGAAATTAGCAAAATTTCAAAGACGCGCCGAAAGACTTCACGACGAAGTGATGGCGTCAAAAAAAATTCACGACGATGAAATAACAAAATTTGCCATTAACAATGACAAAACATTGTATTCAATTTTAAATGAAACATCATCAGACGCAACACTTCGTGTAACAGCAAAAATTGCCGATTTTCCACAATTAAAAGAACAAATTGTGTTATTGAAAAAAAATTTTCCCGATTACGAACAATTTTTGGGACCCGGAAGAAAAAAATTAATGAAACAAGAAATGAAAGCAGCAAAGAAGGAATTAAAGAATAAAGAGAAGGAAAAATTGAATGAAGAAACGACGAATGAGGAAATTGTGAAAAATGAGAAGAAAAAGAAGAAGAAAATAGTAACGAAAGAAGATTCTGATGATGATAATGATAATGATAATGATGATGAGGATGAATGTTTGGATGATGAAATGGAAGTTGATGAGGATCAAAAATCAGAAGTCGAAGAAGATGAAGAAACCGCGGAAAAAAATGAAGAACAAGAAGAAGAAGAAGAAAATCAAGAAGTTTCAGGAAATAATGAAACTGAAAGCGAAAATGAAGAAGAGGAAGAAGAAGAAAATCAAGAAGTTTCAGAGAAAAGTGAAAGTGAAGAAATAGATGAAGATGAGGAGGAAATTGAAAATACTGACAAAATCGAAGAAGACGAGGATGACGAAACTTTTGAAGATTCAAAAACGAAAAATAAAAATTTTAAAATCAATTCAAAATCAAAAAATAAAAATTTGAATTTAAAGAATTTACAAAATAACAAAAAATCGACAGAAATTGTAAAAAATTCCAAATTAAATTCAAAAATTACGGAAAAAGTCACAAAAAAATCATCTCAAATTGTAAAAAATGTAGAAAAGGAAAAATCGAAAAACAAAAAGAAAGAATCAATAAAACCAAGGGAAATACATCCAGTAAGCAAAGAGGCGACTGTTAAAAGATTTTCTGAACTTCTTAAAGAAAATGAAGACGATGAAATAGAAGAAATTGAAAAAATAAGAAAATCATCAAAAAAAATAAAAATGGACACAAAATTTCAAGAACTCGGTTTAAAAAAAGAGGAGGATAGTTTTTTCACAACAGTTGACGGTGATCAAAATTACATGAGTGTTGTCATTCCAAAAAAACAAATACAAAATTTAAATGACGATAATCGCGAAACAACACAGATTGGAAAAAAATTTTCACGAAGTAAAAATGAAAGTTTCTTTTCAAAAGTTAAAAATTCTGAAAGTGGTGAACGTTTTGATAAATTTAAAAATAAATCATTAGATCGACAAAATTTTGATCGTAAATTTGAGTCAAATAGAAAAAGTCGTCGAAATGCCGAATTTCGTGAGAATAAAAATGATGATAGAAGAAATTCGGGAAAATTTGATAATAAAAGAATGGAGAAAAAATCTGCAGCTACAGATGAACATTTACATCCCTCTTGGGCGGCTAAAAAGAAACAACAGGATGTCTTGAAAATTGGATTTCAAGGAAAAAAAATTGTCTTCGGCGATGATTAAATTTTTTATGTAAATATATATATATATATATATATATATATATATATAGAAAGAAAAAAATTTCTACTGTGTTTTGTGTGTAAAAAAAAAAGATTTTATAAATAAATTTTTTGTTAATTTTCATTGAAAAAAAAGAAATGTTTTATTTACGTAATTATAAAAATAATCATAAATAATTATTAAGTGGTATTTTTAATTTTTTTTTTCAATAATAATAAAAATAATCATATTTTTATAAATAAAAAAATTAATTCACGATTTGTTTTTTTTTTTTTTTAAATAAATTCAACCATTTACCTGTTATTTAGTTTTATTAAAATTGGTAAAATTAGATCCATGATTACTAAAAATGAAAAAATTTGTGAGTAGAGATTTTTATTTTTATTTGAATTAAAATTAATTTCTTGGTTTTAACAGTTTTTGTATATGATTTGATGGAAAAAATGTGAATTTGGTGAAAATTATTTTTTTAGGTTGACATAATTTTTGAATAAATAAATAAAAGAATCTCAATTTTTTGAAGTTTGTAATTTTTTCGACAACTGATAAATTGTTCTTGTTTTTAAAAAAAAAAATAATTGTGAACTTTTTTTTTTTATTGAAAAAATATAGATTTAATATTATTTAAATTTTCTTTTTGTTGAAATTGTTTTTTTAAAAATTAATTTTCTAATGAAAATTATATGAAATTAGTTATTATTAATTATTAATTAAAATTGTAAAATTATGTTAAACCAAAATAATTGTACAAGAGATTTTCATTATAAAACTATTTATATTAATATTAAAATTTTCTAAAAGTTAATTTAACCTAATCAAAAAATTTTTAATAATTTTATTTAATTTTTACAATTAAAATTTACCTTTTCACCATTAAACAATTAACATAAATCAAGAATAAAGTTTTACAATTAATAATATTACAAAAATAATTTTTAAAAGATTATTTACTTATTGTGTACATTTGAAGGTTAAGTTTGACAACACTTTCAGTCAAGTTATTTTTGTTTCCATTTTCCCAGCACTCTTTGACTAGAATTAATTTCTCGATAACTAAAAAGAATTTTCATTGTTCTAGATTCACTGTTAATCACTCTCGATTATTAATTTTTCCATTAAAAATAAATACTAAAAAAATAAACGAAATTACATTTTCGAACCGATGACAGTTTGTTTGTTGCCCGCCAACACAAAGCAGGGTTCAGAATAAGAAAGTAATATTTAATGGTACTTCTACAACTTTTTTTTAAGCGTAACTTACGTATATTTATATATTTCCAAGTCTCAACCCTGGTGTCCAACAAAAATTGTGTCACACTTCGAACGTTGTTTCTAAACGTTTTACATTTCAGATCTTCTACTTTATTATTATGTTCATCTTCGCTATCTTCCGAACGCTGTTGTACTTAGCGCGAAACGATATTATAACAGTTTGTGAAAAGAATTAATTTTTTTTTTATTTTTAAAATTTTAATTAAAAAATTAATTATCGAAAGTGATTATAGTAGTGAAACAAGATAATTGAATATGTCATCTCAGTTACATAAAGAAATTGTTTCGACGTGCAAACAAAATACCTGAGAAAAAGGTAAGAAAATTTCTTTACTAAAAATATTTGTCAAACTTAACCTTCAATTTCTACAGGAGTTTCTGATTTTCTTTAAACTAAATACTATATTTTTGTGTTTATAAATTATTAAGTAAATTATTATTATTATTATTATTTTGTGTCGTTTATTATTATTATTATTATTATTATTATTATTATTATATTATATAAAATTTATCGATTTTATAAGAAGTAGAAAACAGTAGTTTTGATGATTTTAAAAAACTTTTATTTTTACATTGTGTACAAAACAGAGATCAATATCCTATATAAAACCATTTTTTTCATCAGTAGTTAAAATTAAATATCGTTTTGTTTAAATTAAAGAAATACATTAAAAATTTAATAGCACACACATTTTTTTCAGAAACGAATAAAATATAATAATGACTATTAAAAAAAAAACATTATAAAATACAGAATAAGTTATATCCTTCGTTGAATAAAATAACTTTTTGCGTTTTTCTTTTCAATTATCAATTATGATTTCTGTTACACAGGAAAAATTTAACTATTACATACTATTTTGGTAAATTGGAACTGTACAGAATTATGTTTTTTGTTTTAATCACGCAATTATTTTTCTTTTCTAATAAAATTCTAATAAATTCTAATAAAAAAATTATTTTAAGTGAAATTGTGAATATTTTTTTTTTGATACTTTGCATTATAAAAAATTTCTATTGAATAAAAATTAAAAATTTCTGATATTAGGAAAAAATATTACAGTAACATAAACTACAAATTTTATTGTTTTTTTATCTCAGAAATTTTTAATTTTTTTTCAATTCTAATTTTTAATAGTCCAAAATGGCGAAAATAAAATTGTTTACACTTTTACTAGAATAGTTTTTAATTATGATTTGATTTTCGACTTGAAAAAAAGAAAATACAGAGTTGGACTAAGTTTTGTTTGTCCCATTTCTTTTTTTTAAGAAATTTAAGCCATTAATTAATTACATATTTTTAACAATATGAATATTTAACATAAAATGAAATATACACTGAAAAAAAAATTTATTTGATTCAAATACTCGATTACTTGCGACTATTATCAAATAAATATTTATTTGAACCAAATAATTTTTATTTGAATTAAATAAATTGTATTTGAATCAAATAATTTTATTTTCAGTGTAATATAGTTTCACGTAGAAATTAATGACGAATATTAATTATATATTTTTAATTAATTTAATTATTCTTTTCATTAATTTCTATTTTCGCAATAAAATCTTTTAATTATTCAGAAAGAATAGGACAAACAGTCAAAACAAAAGTTAGTTCAACTACATATTTTCGTATTTTCAAATAAAAATAAAATAAATAATGCTTAATTCAACAGGTTTTCATAGTAAAAATAAGAGACATTTTTTTAAATCAAATTTTAGGTTGTTACCGAAATTGTTTCCTATTGTCAAAAAAAAAAATTGTAATTTTGATTAAAATTGAAGTTGAACTAATTTTATCTCCGATTAATTATCTGATTCTTTCTTACAATAGGTATTAAAACAAAAAAATTTAATTTATTAATGTGCCTGATGTTCTGAACGTTCAGATGAATGAAATCATTTTTTTTTTGGTTTAAAAATTATTTTAAAAATTACTAAAGAAATGAAAAATAAAAATAATAATTTATTTTTGTATACAAAATGAAATATTTTATATAATAAAATTTTTAAAAAAGCAGTAAACAAATTTTTCGTTCATTTTAAACGTTTAGAACTTTAGGCACATATTTATTATACTATTATAATGGCAAATTTAAGAAAAATTTCCAGAAAAATCTGTATTAAATTCAATAAACTTTATATTAAATTTAATTTATACATTAAAATTACATAAAATTTAATATAAAACTAAATGTAAAATGTAATATTAAATTTTAATACTGGATTATGTGCATAGCTTAAAAAAATATTAAATTTAATACAGATTTTTCTACAAAAAATTTTATTTCTTTTTATTTTTCTAATGTACAATATATAACCAATTTATCTGTAATTTTTTTTCATCAAGTTTTCTGCAAGCTTATTATACACGTGATAGAGAACAAATTCATTAGATTTATACCTCTGTTAATTATTTATGCCATTTCATTTATTTTTCTTAAGAGTGCGTTGTTTCTCAGCGTGCATGACGAGTTGAGAATCAACTGGAAGTCCCTTTCGACGACGAACTGCGTCAATGTATTTTTTTGCTCGATTTCCACAATCAGATTTTTCGCCGAAATGCTTGTATTCCTCCTCTGTCGATGGAACCCAGAATGGATCTTGTTCAATAATCTGGAACCAAAAAGCAATGAAATCCAATTTAAAAAAAAATCGAAAATAAAATTTTTTAGTTTAATTAACTAATTTAATTTCTAAAAAGTACTTTTAAACTTATATATGGGTCAAATTTTCTAATGTGATCCAATAGGTTGGTTTCCATTGTCCCTGCTTGCCAAAATCCCTACTCGCCATTAATTTGTCGTAATTCTAGTCAACTACTGCACCCTGCTCTAGTAAAAATTTAGTAACTTTATAGTAACTTTTTATTTTAACAATAAAGTTACTAAATTTTTAGTATAGAGCAGGGTGCAGTAGTTGACTAGAATTACGACAAATTGTACAATATTGTACGCATGGTAAACTATTAAATATTACAGTAATTAAATTTAAAAAAAAAGAAAACTTATTGATTAGTAATTAAAGTTAATAATTAATTTTTTCCAGATTATCCTGACATGGTGCATTTCAATTTTGAAAGGAGATAAATTAAGTTATCGCAGTGAAGAAAGAAAAAAGGTTGTTTAATATTAATGATGAATAACAATGAGCTTAACTGCTTAATAATAATCTACATTCGGCTACTACTTTTCTAGTAACAAAACAAAATTATTATTTGTCATAATTCTCGTCAACTACCGCACCCTGCTCTTGTGAAAATTTAGTAACTTTATAGTAACTTTTCCCCCTTAATCTCTCGGAAGATTAAATTTATCCACATGGTGAAAACGGCCTCATAGGATGAGGACAATTTTGACCTATATGTTTCTAAAAGGTTTTTTTCCTGCTCTTTCGAAAAGTGCCAACCTTTTTTTTTTTTTAAATTTAAAATTACCCCCTTTTTAATCATTACTTTGAAACTAGTGGAGGTAATTTAGCATTTATTTTGTTTAAATAAAGTGTTAAGTTTATATTTTACTTGTTGTTGTAACTCTAGGGAGTAAAATGTCTCTTTTTAATTCTACAGCGAGTAAAAATAGCGCTTTGTAAAAAGAAAAAGAAAGAAAAGAATAATATTGTTTAGCTTTTAAAGTATGGAGATTTTTGGACGACGTCAAAGAAGAATATAATTGCAGGTCGCTCTTTTATTTTCATGGAAGGAATGCGAAGGAGGTTCTCATTAAACGGCAACTCTTTAAAACGCAAATGTACGACCACGCGCAGTCGTTCCAAAAGTGTTTTCACTCACGCTACTTGAGAATAAAAGAGACCGGCTCCTTGGTGGACAAAACTTGTTCAACCTGACGTCTTGCGTAAGCCGGTAGCACTCCGAATTAGGCCCCTTCTCCGATCTTCAAGACTCTCTTTTCGTCTTTCCCCCCCTTCTTTCTTCATCGCAGCCCTGTCACCGTGCCTCTTTGGGTCCTTTTTATCTTTTTGTATAAGGTGGTACCTGGCCTCTCTCTTTCTCTCAATTTCTATCTCTGTCCCTCGCTTCTCTCTCTTTCTCTCTCTGTACCCTTCTCTCCTCGTTACCACTCTCTCGTCTCCCTTCTCTCCTGGCCTTCTTCCTGCAGGTTTTTTACCTTCACCCCTCTCTCCCTAACCCCCTCGCCGTCCTCACGTATTGAAATTTATAAGATGCGGACACCTGGCTCTGGGGAATCCAACTGTAAAGAAATAGGCACCCGAGTAGCGATGCTGTGATCCTCAATGTTTGGACCAAATTTTTTAAACGTCGTCCCACGGCGCGAGCAGATGGTAGCCAAGAGTTTTTGTTTCAGTCAGATTTGTTTTCGTAGTGCTTAGGGGCCGAGGCACTCTTATGGTATATAAATGTTGTTGGGATATGTATATATATATATACATATATACGAAAACCACGATGAACCAAGCACACATCAAGTGATGCGTAGCGTTGCGGAGAGATCACCAGAGAGCAACCTGTTATGTTTGCCTTCTCAATGCGCTCCAGTTATTCAAAAAAAAGTAGGAGGGCCTCCACGTCCTTTAATTTTACTCTGACGATTTTCAGGATTGCTGTCGCTCTTCGTCTCCTTCTTCTTCTCCTTTCCTTTTTTTCATCTTCCTCCATCAAATTCAGCTTCCTGCTCTTCCAAGAGCTCACTTTTTCTCTATATATTTATAATCATTATTAGCCACAAGATCATTCTACCGTACCATTTTCAGAAACTCATCGCACTATCCACTTATTATGTCAAAAGGAAAAGGCAAAAAAAAAAGAAAAGAAAAAAAAAAATTACTTTTAATCACTTCTCAGGATTTGAGTAATCAATCTTAGAATGAAAAGACCCCAGTATAGGAGAATGTGTGACTAATTTATTTTTTTGTATTATTGGTTTATCAAATTAATTTTTCATTAATATCGTTTTTTTAATTTATATTTTCATTTTTAAATAAATAAATTTTATTTTTTACAAAACTCTTTTGCGAAAAGTACGTATTTTTTTTGGAAATATTTCGGGGTTCTGGTGGTATCCATTCACAGAAAATTAAAAGGCATTAAAATAAGCTGCAACGCTTATTATTTTAATCCAATTTTGCTTATTTTAATCCATTTTGGTATTAAAATAAGCAAAAATGGATTAAAATAATAAGCGTTGCAGCTTATTTTAATGCCTTTTAATTTTCTGTGTTGTCCCCACTCTCCATTTGTCATAATTCACGTCAACTAACGCACCCTGCTCTAGTGAAAATTTAGTAACTTTTACTTTTAACAATAAACTCACTAAATTTTCTCAAGACCAGGGTGCGGTAGTTGACAAGAATTATGACTAATGGCGAGTGGGGATAATGGTAACAACCAACCTTTGTACGACGAAGTAAGAATAAGGTGACTTCACATTAAAGCTAAAATTGTCCCCATTTGCTATAACAGCATTCTGGAAAATTCGAATAAGCAGAGGTGGGATAGGAATATTTTGACACCATTTCTATTTTATTCTACAAGTCAAAAGGTCATTAAAGGCAAGATTTGATTCAGCTCCTCCAGTTCCACAAATCCAAAACAGCCCCTCTCATTCACTGTGCTAAATGAAAAGAATTTATTAATCAAACGGTTCTCAAGTGCTGCTGATGGAATAACGTTTGCCTATTAGTTATCTTATAAAAAGGTTAATTTAAAAAAAATTATTAAAAACCCAAAAAATTTTTTTAAATGTTTTAAAAAAAAGGAAAAACGAAAAATTACTTTTTAAAGTAAAAAAAAAACTAAAGTAATGTGGGCTTTATATGTTAAATGTGATGACAGTGTCAACCCTGTAAAACACATATACATATACATCTTATTTCAAGTTTGAAATTAATCTAATAATTTTTTTACAAAATCATTCGCAATTTTGAATTTTTGAAAACTAACACCGGATTCGTAATCAGCGACGCCAAAAATCCCTAACAAATTTGCGAAGAATCTGAGTAAATTTTGAAAATTCGTCTGCCATATTGGATCTGCCATTTTGAATTTTTGAAAACTCATCGGATTGGTAATCCACGACCCCAAAAACTCCTGAGTAGCAATTTTCAAGTGAATTTAATTAATTTTATAAAAGTTAGTCGCCATATTGGATCCGCCATTTTGAATTTTCAAAAACGCCACTCGGCATCAAAAAGAATTTGTTTTTATTGAAGTAATAAGCCTATGCCCGATTTTTTATATTCAAACTATTTTTTTTATAATAGTATTTTACAAGTTGAGAAAAATATATTACTATAATATTCAAATTTTTATAAAAGAAATTCTAAACTGTAGAAAAACTTGCATAAATTTAATACGGATTTAATAAAGTTTAGTAATGAATCAAATAACGTTCACCAAATTTTAATATAAACTTATTTTTTAAATTTTACGACTTTTTTTAAAATATTAATATTTATTATATAAAAAATTATTTTTCAACATATTTTTCATGACTTCTGAAATAATTTTTTTTTTATTTTTAATTTTCTTGCCATGTATATATATCATACATATATATATAATTTAATGTAAAAAAATATGGCGTAACAATTTTTAGTTATATTAAAGTCAAACTCTTGGATTATAATATTTTCTTTGGAATTTGAGGTTAACGAAGATAATTAAGTCGGATTAGTTCGTAGAAAGGCAAATTTGCTGAGCTAATTGAATTTAACTCAAAGTTATAAAGCGGTTCACTTTCGGAAATCCGGAGTCATGCATAGCACACGCGTTTAAAGGGGGACGATGAATAAATTATTATTATTATTATTATTATTATCATTATAATTATTATAAATATTATTATTATTAATTTTTATTTTGAAATAAATTCTTTAAGATAAAAATGCTCCCACAAGTCATAATCGAAATTATTATTATTTTTTTTTTTTTATATCGACGATGATTAAATATTGAGAATATTCAAATGATATTAGACTTCCAGGAAATATAAATAATATACTGGCGAAATTAAATTACGGTAGCAGCAAAAAAAAGGATCTAATGAATAAAATCAACGGAAATACCAAAAAATTTAGTACTATTAAAGAAAACCAAACAACCTTTTTATTTAAATTTAATAGCTCTTTCCCAGAATTTCTATTTCCTCTGTATCTATTTAATTTCCATTTCTGAGTATAAATGATTCAAATAAAAATACTAATCACTTCCTCTTCAATTTCTATATGTACCTTTGAAAAGCAGCTCATATTTTTTCTTTCCAAATATGATTCAATATTTATTCATAAACATTTGTTTATATCGGTTTTTCTATTGTATAGTATATATCAATATTCTTTTCTTTAATTTTCATTTCTTATTTATATATTAGTTATGTATTTTATTATTTATTATCTATTATCTAGAAATAATTTCATTATTAGTCTATTCCATTAGTTTTGTTATAACATTTGCATAAAATTAGACTCAATAAAAGTGAAATCTAATTCTAAAATTTCCCAATAATTCTTTAAAATTCATATATTGAAATTCCGGAGATATTATACTATATATATATAGAGAGAGATTCATTCCTTTAGAGATAAAAACTTCCGTTGTTTTGTTTGTTTCCACTGGCGAAAGAAGTTGAATCGGTGTC